GGCGAATACTGGAATCTTGAACTGGCTACCCACGAGTTCTGGAGTGAAGCGAACGCGGGCCAGCAAGACGTGGTCGCCAACGCCAAGCCCCGAGAGTGCCGTCGAGCCGCCGATATCGCGGACGCGACCGTTCGCGTCGTCGATCGTACCGGTGGTCGCGGTGTTGAACAGACTACTGTACTGAATCTCAACCGCATCCATGATGCTGGTGTCGTAAGCCAGCGTCACGCTGCCATCGAGAATCCCATTCGCGTTGGGCGAAGTGGCCCAGATTTCCACCCAGAAGTCACTCGTTTCGGGAATGAGCAAATCTTCTGCAGGCAGCGAAGCCTGAGTCTCACCCACTGTGGGTGTAAGCACGACTCGGGGCGACACTTCGATCGGCGTCGTTGGATCGAAGTTGGCAAAGAGGAAGTCGTAGAACGTGTCCATGTCCGACTGATCATACAAGTGACCACGGCCCTCCTGAATGAAGAGCTCGTAATTGTAGTCGGCCGGGGAGAGCAACAGATCGTCGGCGGTATCGTGCACCTGTTCGAACATGTTGGCCGCACGATGGATACGCAGCAGACCCTGCAATTGGGCAGAGAAGCTGATATCGCTCACAAACTCGTCATTCTGCCCAGTCCAGAACATGATGGGGTGTTCAAGGAACGCCTCAGGGTCCAGCGTCACGCCATCTGGAGCGGGACGTGCTGGATTGGAAGCAACCCCATAAGGGAACTGAGCTGGGAAAGTTTGACTGTCGAACGTGATCTCATCGATCGGGAAGATGTGATTATCAGCACCAGCCACCACGAGCGAAGCAACCCGATCTGGGTGAGCCATGGTGAACCGTTCGACAAAGCCGGCACCTTGCGAGAACCCAAACATGTACAGTTCAGATCCATCACCCACACCGGTCGCGGTCATCTGAGTGATAAAGTCCAACAGGGCTTCATCTGCATTGAGACTATCAAAGTTATCCCACGACAGATCACCATAATTGACGTAGGCACTGTCTTCAGGGAAGAACGGAGCAACCACAATCAGGTCATCAACGCCGTTCGAAGGATCTTCAACATACTGCTGCCAGTAAGTTGTCATTCGTATCACTTCACGCAGCGTTCCGTGCACCGACACCAAAATAGGAGTATTGGCGTCAACATTACCGAATGATGCAACTCGGAAGAACAAGTTCGGGTCATACGAGTCAACCCGATGGAACACATCGCTCGGTAAAGTGGGGTCGAAGAATTGCGCATCGTCATAGACCTTGATATTGTCGATGGCCCAACCGTCTTGCGTGAACGACGAATCGTCGTACTGCGACCACTTAATCATGAAGCTGGACGAGAAGCTGACGACCGTCGCTTCTTGTTCTTCATTGATACGCTCGATGTTCGCGCCGAGGTCATACTCATGCAGCATCCATAGGCCATCGCCAACTCGATTGATGTTCGCGTCGCGGACGTCGCGCAGAGCGTACCAAGTAACTCCGTCGTTCGAGATCGAAACGCCGTCGCCCAAACCGTCGCCCGTATGGACATTGGGCAAAATATCGTCTTCATCGTCATCAAGCGTTCCAAACAGGCCTTCCAATTGATGGAAGACCAGCATGGCATCGGTCTGACCAGAGAGGTCGAGCGTGAGGATAGCCTCGGCCGAGTCCTTCGCGATATCGCCTCCAACCGAGTCCAGCAACAATGCTTCTGAACCGCCAGGCACTGACAGAGTATTGACAACCGTGGCCTGCCCTGCACCTGGATTGGTAAAGTTCCAGACACCCGGCGTCGCTCCGCCTTCAAAATCTTCTTCGAAGATCAATGGTCGTTCGATACCGAAGAAAATCGACTGCGAATCGGAGAGGAACTGGTGCCCGTCGTCGGTGACGCGAATACCAACCGCCACGTTGTTGGGGTCAGACGAACTTGGTGTCCAAGTCAACACCGCAGTGGTGTTATTTATCTGATTGAGAACCACCCCCGCAGGAGCGCCTGGTGCAAGCGAGAAGGTCAAATTGTCAGGCACATCCGGATCGGATGCAGTCACCGTCAGCGTGAAAGGCACACCCTCGGTGACCGTAAAGTTATCAGGGGCAATCGGTGTGAGTGTCGGAGCCGTGTTGTAAGGCGTTAATAGTACGCCTTCAAACTTATCCGAGGGGTTCCGAGCCAGGGCAACGATCTGACCTGAGTTGTTGATATCGAACGCTTCGATAATGGTCCAACCCGTGCCCGTTGAATCGACCACATCGTTCAGATCGACCGTATCCCGCTGAAGACTCCAGATAGTTCCGTGCTCGACACCGCTCTCGAAAGTCGCGCTACCGACCACGGACCCGAAGATATTAATGGAGTGAGCAATACCCACGCCGGCGACTTCAGGAAGGCCTGGATCTGGGAGCAAGTCGAAGAGTGGAACTGGCTCAGGATCATTGATGAACACACCTTCGCTGTCGTACAGTTGCCAGCCAGCGGGTGTGAGAATCGATTCTCCACTTTCGGTATAGAGGGCGTGCCCAACAGCAAAACCATTCTCGTTAATGTCGAGCATTCTCGTGAAGGAATTGCCTGCGTCGACAGTACCACCGTCGACCTTCACCATGGTCGGCGACACGGCCTCAGTATCATAATAAAAGGGCGAATAGTTGTTGGCTGAGGTTTCGGCCATTCCCACCACAACGCCAGCATCGTTGATCGCGTAGGCAACACTGTTGCCATTGGCAAGAAAGCCTGCTGAGTGGGGAATCTTGAATAGCCCACCACTATCAGTCCAGACGAATGCTCTGAAGCTGTTCGCATCTGCACTAGTACCAACCACCACGTTGTTGTTGTTAATACCGTGAGCTTCAGCCGCCACGTTTCCACCGGCGAAATCACCTAGGTCCGTCCAACTCGTGGTGTTCGGATTCCAAAGCAATGCACGGTCACCGCTGCCCGGAACAGCCGTGAAATCGGTGTGATCAAAACCACCGCCGAGGTTCGCCTGGCCAACACCCTTGCCAACGATGTAACCGGCGTTGTTGATGTCGTTTCCATAGGCCCCAAGGTCACCGGAGGTGAACTCTCCAATGCTGGTAATGGGGCCGGGGTAGGAGTAAGTGACCCCCACCTGAGTGTCGACCGACATCAAAACCGGATCGACACCATTCACCGAGAAACCGGTCACTTGGCCTAATTCATTGATGCCAAGGGCACCACTTTCAAAGTCACCGCCCGAGATATCGCCGATGGGCGTCAAGTTGTATTGCAAAGTCAGCAGACGCCGTTCTTCCAAAGGGTCGATCGCCATTTGGCGGCTGAAACGTCCTTGGCCGACTGCGTTGGCTGAAGTTTTCTGTGCCCCTCGATTGATTCCGAACAAATTTTTCCATGTACGCTTGCGCTTGGCAGTTCGCGTCATCTTGGGCAGGCCTCTAACGAATTAAAGTAGTGGTGTTTTGTGGGGTACGGTTTTCTTTCGCCACTGTGGTTCCAAAACAGTGGCGACACTCACGTGCCTAAACGCGGTGAGTGCTGCCTCGACTTCCCTGACTCTTTCAAACCGATTCGTGGTGCAGCCACAAGGATGTTGTCTTCGTTATTCTTTGCCTTCTCTTCTTCACAGAGTTGTTCACAACCCGGGTAGGTAATTCTTTTTGCCACGCAACTTCAACGGCCATCGCTCGTTGTGGACATCTTTAAACCGGGGATATAGTTCGTGCGGGAATGCCAACGATCGGCATCGCTAATGCGATGAAGACCGGAGTTGCTTTGGTGGATAGAGGGAACGGTCATGCGATGTTACTCAGACCTTCCGGTCTGAAGGGGGTGCCGAAGCGCCTCGCAAACGCAAGGCAGCTAGAACGTGGTGCTCGCAGCACCGCTACGATCGACACACTTTGATTTGGCGCCAACTTTCCTTCTAACCCTTATCATTGCACCCCCGACTCACGATAACTCCCAACTACCAAACGGACAAGGAATTTGTCTGAAAATCCCGTGAGATTCGCTTTACAACCAGAGAACCCGGGGGATCGTTGCCGATAGTTTGGGGCCCAGATTCGCTTGGCCGCGGCCCGGCAAACCTGAATCATTAGCCTGCTTATCATATGGGACTCTATCGATTATAGGAATCGCCCGATCGTGGAGGCATCGCCCCCCATTTGCGTAGCGTGGCATTTTGTCGCAGACACCACGACACCTCGAACACAAGCCAACCCACCCACCTGCTTAGGGACCCACCTGCTTAGGGACCCACCTGCTTAGGGACCCACCTGCTTAGGGTTTGTGTGGACGGATCGCAATCAAGGACACCAAGAACCTCATCTCGAATGACACTCGCAAGTCAGGAAAACCTGCGCAAGTGAAACCCAACACCCAACGGCAGGGTAATTGCAAAAGCGAACATGGTGAGCAAAAGGTCTCCCCCCAACCCCAGGGCTAAACAGCCACCCTCGATAGAGGTCAATAAGATCGACCGAATTACGCCCGAAATCCTTGCGATTTCCCCAATAGCGACTATCCTGGATTCCACGTTGACGCTTGGTTCTGGGACCGGTGTAAGTCCTATTTTGAAGGGACGTTTAGTCTCTGCCGTCAAGTCACATTTGGCGCATGTGATTAGCCCCCGGTCGTATTCGTGGTGTTTCGGTCTGCGCCGAAACAAGCGATGCCCCCACATCAGAACCAACGGAACACAGGAAAAGAAGAGGCTTGTCTAAACGCGATCTTGTCACTCTGGCCGTGGGCAGGCCGGCCCGACCTACTTGCAGATTTCTTCAATGGATGGCCCCACGATCTGAATGACTGGTCAGTCGAGAGTCTTCCGAGGAGCGAAGCACCGACGTGAATAGATCTCGCCCAAGCGAGCTGACCTCCGGACATAAGGCACCTTACGATCTCGATCCGATCGTGGTTTCCTTTGCCGGTTTGTACCAAGCAAGCCTACCGATCGCCGCCGCCCGCGCTGGTGCCGTCGGCCTGTTCGACATTTCGCACGCAGACGACGCGGCAGTCTATTTGCCCGAACTGCGACGCATGGTCGAGTTGGTCAACGATCAGCGTTACGGTCTTCTTATCGACGCACAGTTCGGCACCGCGCAACGCGCTGCGTTGGAATCAATTCGCTCTTGCGAAATGATCGTGTTGAGTGGCGGCACCGGCAAGGTATCCAGCGACACCTTGCAACGCGTTCGCCAAGTAGCCTCCCGCGTCGGCATGGTTGTGACTTCGCTCGAGCAAGCGACTCAGGCTGCGGAGTCAGGTGTCGACTTTCTTCTGGCCAAAGGTCTAGAGGCCGGCGGCGTTGTCGGTGAACTGACCACATTTATTCTGCTTCAACAGCTAACAGCGAACTCGCGTTTGCCGGTCTATGCTTGGGGCGGGATTGGCTTCAACACCGCAGCCGCATGCCGCGTGGCCGGCGCCGCTGGCGTAGTGCTCGATTGGCAGTTGGCCCTCATGAACGAGTCGCCCCTGCCACCGCAAGTAAAGGCAGAACTCGAGGAACCCAGCCCGCCGCAAACATTCACCCTCCCGGCTCCCGAAGGCCGCGAGTTGCGGGGTTTCTTTGCAGGCACAAACCGTGCGCACAGCGAGCTTCCGAGTTCACTTCACACGCTCAGCACCTCGAACGCGGCAGAGTGGAAGGCCGAAATTGCCCGTCAGCTTGGCAACACGGAAGACGCCTCCCAACTATTCTGCATGAGCCAGGACGCGGCTCTGGCCGCCGCTTGGCATCAAGCCGCGCCGTCGGTCGCTCGTGCACTCAAACTGCTGAACGAACGGGTAACCACGGCTATCGACGCGTGCACCAGCACTCCGTTAGCCGAGGGCTCGCCACTAGCCGATTCACACGGCACGAAGTTCCCCATCGCCCAAGCGCCCATGACGCGGATGAGCGATGTGCCGGCCTTCGCATTACAAGTGGCCGAAGAAGGCGGCTTGCCGTTCCTGGCCCTGGGCCGTCGCAAGGCCGATCAAGCCCGCGAACTTCTGCAAGAGGCAAGCAAGCTGCTCGCCGCGCGTTCCTGGGGTGTCAGCCTCCTTGGCTTGGCCAGCAGCGAAGCTCGGCCCGAGCACATCGCGGCGGTGGAAGAAACTTGTCCTCCATATGCCATCGTAGATGCTCGACAACCTCAACTGGCCTCCTCGCTCGAAGGTAAAGGCATTGCGACTTACTTGAAGGTCGCCTCGCCCGAGGCACTCCCGGCTTTGCTCGCGGGTGGCGCTCGCAGGTTCATTTTTGAAGGCCTAGAGTGTGGTGGCGTGGTCGGACCGCTGTCGAGCTTCGCCCTTTGGGAACAGGCGATCCAAAAACTCGCTGACGCCAAGCTGTCCGCAGACGAAGCCTCGCAGGTTCACGTGCTGCTTTCCGGCGGAGTTCACGATCGCCGCAGTGCCGCCATGGTTACGGCGCTCGCTCAGCCCCTTATCGAACTGGGGATGAAAGCCGGTTTCCTCCTGGGAACGCCTTACCTGTTCACCGAAGAGTTTGTCAGCACCGGAGCCATCGTGTCGGGCTTCCAAGAAGAAGCTCTAAATTCCGACCACACCGTCTTGCTGAAGACCGACGACGAGCACGGAATGCGGTGCGCGGCCACCAATTTCATTCAAACGTTTGAAGGCGAGAAATCGCGCCTGAAACAGGAAAACGTTTCGGCCGAGCAGATGCACGACGAATTGGTGCATCTCATGCTGGGTCGACTGCGGATCGCTTCCAAGGGTAAGTCCCGCCGCAGTAAGCCGGCCGCTGGCGAGAGCCCCGTGGTCGACGTCGATCGTGAGCAGCAGCGGCAAGACGGTCTCTACCCACTCGGTCAATTAGCCATCCTGCGTAGCGAAACCTGTTCGCTTCACGACCTACACCAAGATGTCTGCCAAGGTGCCGCCGAACTATTGCGAGGCCTGGAGCCGAGCACTCGAATCACCGTGGTCGAAGAGCACCCCGCACCGCCGCCACTCGATATCGCCATCATTGGTATGTCCTGCCTGCTGCCTGGGGCCGACAACCTCACCAGCTACTGGGACAACATCCTGCAGAAGCGCGACCTCGTCGATGAAGTGCCCGACGACCGCTTCGACACCTCGCGGTGGTTCGATCGCGATCGCGCGGCCCGCGACAAAATCTACAGCAAATGGGGCGGCTTCCTCGACGACGTCGAGTTCGACCCGTTGAAGTACGGCATTCCTCCCATGGCCCTGAAGAGCATCGAACCGATGCAGCTTCTGGCCCTGGAGTTGGTCGATCGATCGCTCCGTGATGCCGGCTATCGCGACAACAACCCGCACAAAGAACGAACCAGTGTCATCCTCGGTGCCGGGGGTGGTATCGCAGAACTAGGCGCCGGCTACGCCCTGCGTTCTGCCTTGCCAGGACTCATCGAAGAAATCGACGAGCGCGTGCTGGGGCAATTGCCCGAATGGACTGAAGACAGCTTCGCCGGCATTCTGCTGAACGTGGTCGCCGGGCGAATCAGCAACCGCTTTGACCTTGGCGGTGTGAACTTCACCGTCGATGCCGCGTGTGCTTCTTCGCTAAGCGCCCTGTACTTGGCATGCCGCGAGTTGGCCGATTACACCAGCGACATGGTCATCACCGGTGGCTGCGATACGCTGCAAAGCCCTTTCACCTACCTCTGCTTCGCGAAGGCCGGGGCCCTCTCGCCGCGTGGTCGTTCGCGCACGTTCGATGCCACTTCCGACGGTATCGCCATCAGCGAGGGGTTGGCCTCGATCGTACTCAAGCGTCGCGAAGATGCGGAGCGCGATGGCGATCGCATCTACGCCGTCATCCGCGCCGCCGCCGGTGGTTCCGACGGCCGCAGCAAAGGCATGGCCACGCCGCGGATTGAAGGCCAAATGCGCACCATCGAACGCGCCTACGCCCAGGCTCGCTTCAGTCCCGCAACCGTAGGTCTGTTCGAAGCCCACGGCACCGGCACCTCGGTGGGCGACCAAACCGAATGCCAATCGCTGACGAACATCCTCACCAAGCACGGCGCCCGTCCGCATTCACTGGCGGTGGGCAGCGTGAAGTCGATGATCGGTCACACTAAGTGCACCGCCGGCATCGCAAGTGTGATCAAGTCGGCTTTGGCGCTCAACCATCGGGTGCTTCCGCCCACGATGCACGTTGACGAACCCAATGCCAAGGCCGGTCTGGTCGATGGCCCTCTGTATGTAAACAGCGAAGTCCGCCCCTGGATTCGCGGTGAGCATCCACGTCGGGTTGGCGTCTCCTCGTTCGGTTTCGGCGGTACCAACTTCCACGCAGTGCTCGAAGAGTACCAAGGGCACGCCCTGCCGCCGGGAGAACTCACGCCGCATCGCCAACGCGAAGCCGAACTGTTCGTCTTCTCCGGCGATACCCCCGAGGCACTGGCCGCCAACCTCCGCGAGTTGCTCGACCCACTGCGAACCGCACTCACGGCAAACCACGCTCCGGCCCTGGCCGACCTGGCTTACACTTGGCATCGTCGCCAACCCTCGACACAACCCCAGCATCAAGCGACCATCGTTTCGGCAACCCCGAACGAGCTTGCCGATCAACTCGCCGCGCTGCTGGCCCAATTGCAATCCGGCTCGGGCGAACTCGATTCGCGCCGCCTTCCCGCAGGCGTTCACTGCACATCAAAGCCGTTGGGCAAAGACCGCCCATTGGCGTTCTTGTTCCCAGGCCAAGGCTCGCAGTATCCCAACATGCTGCGTTCGCTGGCGGTCGAGTTCTCCGAAGTCTCCCGCCGGTTCGAGATGCTCGACCGCGAGTTGGGCGATGCCTTCGAACAACCGCTGAGCACCTATGTGTTCCCGCCGCCAGAGTTCAGCGACGAAGAACGCAAGCAATCGGCCGAAAACCTCAAACCAACCGATCGCCTGCAACCAATCCTCGGCGCCTCAGACACCGGCATGTTGCGGCTCCTCGAATCGTTTGGCCTGCGGCCCAACATGGTAGCCGGCCACAGCTATGGCGAACTTGTCGCCCTGCACGCAGCAGGGAGCATCGACGAGTCTGCCCTCTACCGCCTGTCGTTAGCCCGCGGTCGTGCCATCAGCGAGATGACCGCCGGCAACCAGGGCGATCTCGGCTCGATGTTGGCCGTTCGCGCCGGCGAGACCGAAGTCGGTCAAGCGATCGCCGAATGCGACGAAGCCTGGCTGGCCAACATGAACAGCCCCCGGCAAACCATCATCGCCGGCTCGCGTCGTGGAATCGAAGACGCCGTAAAGAAACTGAACGCTGCCCGGCTGGCGTTCACCCCCATCGCCGTCGCCTGTGGGTTCCACAGCCCGTTGATGGACCCGGCCCGCAAGCAGTTGGATTGCGCTCTGAAGCAACTCGATTTCCGCCCGCCGCGAATCGATGTCTACAGCAACACCACGGCCAAGCCCTATCCCAAGGGCCCAGCCGAAATCCGCGAACAACTTTCAGAACACCTGGTTCGCCAAGTTCGCTTCGCGGCCCAAATCGACACCATGTACCAAGATGGTGCACCGGTGTTCATCGAAGTCGGCCCCGGTCGCGTGCTCAGCAAGTTGCTTCGCGATGTACTCGGCGATCGCCCGCACGTGGCGGTGTCCACTCAGAACAGTGCCCAGGGCGGATTGCGTCAATTGCTCGACGCCCTCGGCCAGTTAGTTTCTCACGGTGTGGAAGTGAAGTTCGACCGGCTGTATCGCGGTCGTCCGCTCACCGAGTTGAAGCTCGAAAGCCTCGCCAGCGAAAACAGCAAACCTTCGCCTCACACTTGGCTCATCAACGGCAGCTACGTCCGTCCCGCGACTGAGCCCAAGCGTTCGCATCCAATACGCGTCGCACTCCTCCCTGAAGGAGCGCAACCCTCGACGGCCAGCAAGGGGCAGGATGCAGCACCACCAACCAAGCCCGCCGCCCCCGCGGCGACGCCCTCGGCACCCAGGGCGGTTCCCCAGCCGCAACCGTCGCCGGTGGTCGCATCCAACGGAAGCCCCCCTGCACCGGAACCGAGAGCAGCCATGGAAGCAACACCCAAGCCCGCGACACCCCAGGTAACCACCGCACCCGGCGCGTCGTCCATCGATGACTTCGCCCTCTCCGAATTCCAGCAGACAATGCGGGAGTTCCTCAGGGCACAAGAAAACGTACTCACGGCCTTCTTCGGAGGCAGTCCTCCGGCAGCCGCACAACAAATGCCCGCCACGCCGGCCGCACTTCCCGCTGCCGCCCCGATCGCCGCACAACCACCGGTAGCGCAAACGCCACCACCGGCGCCGGCTCCCCAGCCAGCCCCCGTACAAACCGCCGCGGCGGCGCCCGCCGAACCGGTCGAACCGGCTCCCGCAACCACGGAAGCCGCCCCTGCGGTTGCGGCACAAGTTTCAACCGATGGATTCCGCGACACGCTGCTGGAAGTCGTCAGCGAGCGAACCGGCTATCCGGCAGACATGCTGCAGTTGGATGCCAATCTCGAAGCCGACCTCGGCATCGATTCCATCAAGCGCGTCGAGATTATCAGCGCATTCCGCCGTGCGGCTTTGCCCAGCATCGACGAACCGCCGGCGTGGTTCATGGAACAAATGTCCGGAGCCGGCACCCTCGATCAAATCCTCGGTGGCATCACCCAACTAGCTGCCGAAAACGGAGCCACCCCCGCGGCAGCTCCAGCCGAGGCGGCACCCGCAGCGGCCCCGGCCGCTGGTCCTTCGGCCGATGACCTCCAACGCATGTTGGTCGAAGTCGTTAGCGAGCGCACCGGCTACCCGGCCGACATGCTGCAGTTGGATGCCAACCTCGAGGCCGACCTGGGCATCGACTCCATCAAACGGGTTGAAATCATCAGCGCCTTCCGGCGTTCCGCCCTGCCGAACGTCGACGAACCGCCAGCCTGGTTCATGGAACAAATGGCCGGAGCCAGCTCCTTGGATCAAATCCTCGGCGGCGTCAATCAACTGGTCAGCGAAAGCGGCACCTCCGCTCCGGCACCAACGGCTACCCCCGCGGCAGCACCTGCTGCGGCCCCAGCCGCTGCTCCGACAGAAGACTTCAAGCGGATGCTGGTCGATGTGGTCAGCGAACGCACCGGCTATCCGGCCGACATGCTGCAGTTGGATGCCAACCTCGAGGCAGATCTGGGCATCGACTCTATCAAACGCGTCGAGATCATCAGCGCATTCCGCCGTGCCGCACTGCCCAGCGTCGACGAACCGCCCGCTTGGTTCATGGAACAAATGTCCGGAGCAGGAACACTCGACCAAATCCTCGGCGGCATCACCCAGTTGGCCGCAGAGAATGGCGGTACCCCCGCCGCCGCACCAGCAGAAGCGTCATCCGCGGCAGCTCCCGCCGCGGGCGCCTCGACCGAAGACCTCCAGCGTATGTTGGTCGACGTCGTCAGCGAACGCACCGGCTACCCGGCCGACATGCTGCAGTTGGATGCCAACCTCGAAGCCGACCTGGGCATCGACTCCATCAAACGCGTTGAAATCATCGGTGCCTTCCGCCGCTCGGCATTGCCTTCGATGGACGAGCCGCCGGCATGGTTCATGGAACAAATGTCTGGAGCCGGCACCCTCGAGCAAATCCTCAAAGGCGTCGAAGAACTAACCGCCGCCGAAGCACCACAGGCGGCCGAGGCCCCGACCTCATCCACCGATGCGGCCGCACCCGCCGCCGCCCCAAGTGCTTCGCAAGATCTGCATCAACTGCTGGTCGATGTCGTCAGCGAACGCACCGGCTACCCCGGCGACATGCTCGATCTTGATGCAAACCTGGAAGCCGACCTGGGGATCGACTCGATCAAACGCGTCGAAATCATCGGAGCCTTCCGCCGTGCCGCTGTGCAATCGGAAGAGGAACCGCCGGCTTGGTTCATGGAACAGATGTCCGAAGCTGCGAGCATGCGAAACATCCTCGACGGTGTTCAGCGACTCACCGCCCCCTCGGCCGAATCAACCGCTGCACAACCGGTTCCCTCAACCAATGGAAACAGCAACGGCTCCGCACACACCAACGGCAATGGTCACGCGGCCCCGGCAGCCGTCGCCCAGACGGATCAAAGCTGCCCTCGCTGTGTGATCGCTACCGCCGAAGCCCCGGCCGATGCCTACCAGAAGCTGTCGCTCTCGCCCGGCGTGCACGTGCTCACCGACGACGGGCACGGCATCGCCCAGGCCTTGGCAACTCAAATAGAAACCCACGGCAACCGCACATGCATCCTCCCGGCCGAAGCGCTGAGTAGTCGCGAGGCCGCCGAAGAGGCCATCACCGAGGTCCGCCGCGAGTACGGCACGGTCGGTGCCATCCTGCACCTACTCCCCCTTCGCGCGGCTCCCGCGTTCCCGGAAGTCGACGACACCACCTGGAACGAGCATGCGGCCACCGAAGTGCGAGGGCTGATGTTCCTCATGCAGGCCATCGCCCGCGAGCTGTCGGCGGCCTCCAGCGGCGACGTGCTCATTGCCTCCGTCACGCTGGGTGGTGGCGACTTCGATAGCGGATCGGATGCCGATGCGGTCCATCCCTGGCGTGGTGGCCTGGCCGGCATGATGAAAACTGCCGCCAAAGAATGGGAAGGTGCCCGCTTCCGAAACGTCGATTTCGCCGAACTGCCCACCGCCGAGTTCCTCCTTGAAGAACTGATGGTTTCCGGCCCCGTCGAAGTCGGCTACCGCGATAACAGCCGCCTAACTAAGGTTCCGGTGCGGCAAGAACTACCCAGCGGCGTTCCCCAAACCCCGGCCGTTCAGCTCGATCGCAACAGCGTGGTGTTGGTCACCGGTGGCGCCCGCGGCATCACAGCTCAGGTTGCCTGCCGCCTGGCCCAAGAAACTCAAGCCCGTTTCATCCTGCTGGGTCGCAGTGCCGTTCCCTCGGCCGAGTCGTGTGCCTGGGCACGCGGCATTTCCGACCCGATGGCGTTGCGAACCCAACTCATCAATCGCATGCGAGAGTCGGGCGAGAAATTCACGCCTCGCGATGTCGAGTCGCAACTCTCACGGCTAATGGCCAACTGCGAGATCCTGGACAACCTGCAAACCATCGAACAAGCCGGCTCGCAGGTCGAATACCTCTCGTGCGACCTCCGCGACGAAATCGCCCTGACCAGTGTGGTTCGCGATCTCCAATCGCGATTCGATCGCATCGACGCCGTCATCCACGGTGCGGGGGTGATCGAAGACCGCTACATCGTCGACAAGACTCCTGAATCGTACGATCGTGTGGTCGGCACCAAGCTCGACGGTCTGCTCACTCTCTTGCGATTAGTCGACCCGAGCCAACTCCGCATGCTGGCCCTGTTCTCCTCCGTCTCAGGGTTCTTCGGCAACCCCGGTCAGGTCGATTACGCCACGGCCAACGAAATGCTCAACCGCATCGCCGTGCGATTGAAGAACCTGTGGCCCGGCAAGGTGGTCGCCCTCAATTGGGGTCCCTGGCAAGGGGCCGGCATGGTCACTCCCGAAGTGGCCCGCCAATTCGAAACACGCGGCGTGCCTATGATCAGTGTGCCCGCCGGTTCCGAAGCGGTGCTACAAGAGTTCCGTCATCCATCGCAAGCCGCCTGTGCCCTCTACGGTGGCGGTCCTTGGATCGATGAGGCCGATGCACGAGCCACCGAGTCGGTTGCCTTCAGCGTCGACACTCCGCTGCTAACCGGCCAACAGGTCACCCGCACTTCAGACGGCGTGGTCGAAGCCCACGTGGTGCTCGATCCCAGTCGGCATCGCTACCTGGCCGATCATCAAATCGACGACAAGCCCGTCCTCCCGGCGGCGTTCGTCATGGAACTGATGGTTGAAACCGCCCAGGCCGCGGCCCCGCAGTCGTGGCACGTCACCAAGGTCGAGAACTTCCGTTCGTTCTCCGGCATCATCATTGAAACAGCCAAACGCACAGTCGGTCTGCGAGCCGAACAAGTCGCCGGCGACAACGACACGGCCCAATTCCGCGTCCGGCTGTTCGATCCTCAAGTGCCGGCCCGCATGCTGTACGAAGGCACCATCCACCTGGCCCGCATCGCCCCCGAGCTACCCGATGCACCCGAGTTGGGCAAAATCACCGATGCCTTCCCGCTGGATAGTGTGGACGAAGCCTACTACCGCTGGCTGTTCCACGGTCCCACGCTGCAGGCCATCACCGAGTTCCATGGGCTAGACAACTCCGGCGTCGATGCCGTCTTCAACCCGGGCAGCGCTCGCGAGTGCGTGGGTCCGCATGCCGATGGCGATTGGCTCATCGACCCCGTGGTGCTCGATGCCGCACCTCAATTAGGAATGATCTGGTCGCGGGCCGTGTTCGACACTAGCCCGTTGCCAAACCGCGTGGCCGCTTATCATCGCTTTGCCCCCGTGGGCGACGAGCCGTTGGTGTGCCTGTTCCGCGTCGATCCCGAATCGAACGAGAACTGGTACAAGGCCGACGTCTGGTTGCTCCGCAACGGCAAAGTCATCGGGCTAATGCAGGGGCTGGAAGGAGCCGGCAGTGCAGCGCTCAATCGCATTGCCCGGAGTTCAACTCAATGACAGCCGGCAGCTCAAAGCAACTTCAGCCACGTCGCTCCGGCGATGCTGGTCCTCTGGACGATATTGCCATCGTGGGCATGTCGTGCTTCGTACCCGGGGCCGACAAGCTCTCGCGGTACTGGCATAACATCGTCAACAAGGTCGATTGCGTCGGCGAACCCTCGTCCGACTGGCAAAGCGAACTCTTCGGCGACGAAATCTATGTCCGCCGCGGTGGTTTTCTCGGCGACTTAAGCCGCTTCAGTCCCATCCGCTACGGCATCGTCCCCTCCAGCGTCGAAGGCGGCGAGCCCGATCAGTTTCTGGCATTCCGCTGTGCACTCGAAGCGCTCGACGATGCCGGCGTGCCCGACATCCCGTTGAATCGCGAGAAGACCGGCGTCATCCTCGGCCGCGGGATCTTCATCAACCGTGGCTTGGTCACCATGATCTCGCAAGGCTACATGATCGACCAATTCATCGGCGTGCTGCGCCAGGTCGAGCCCGAGCGCGATGAAGAAGAGCTGAAGTTCATCCGCAGCGAACTCAGCCGTACGATTCCGCCTTTCAGCGCCGAGACCGTGCCAGGGCTCACCCACAACATTCTGGCAGGTCGGGTCGCCAACAAGTTGGACCTGAACGGACCCGCCTACACCGTCGACGCGGCCTGTGCTTCCACACTGCTGGCCGTCGACCACGCCCTCAACGCCCTGCGCACCCGCGAGTGCGATGCGGTCCTTGCTGGCGGAGTGCAAGTCACCACGCCCGGCATGGTGCATCAGGCCTTCTGTTACCTGGAAGCCCTCAGCCGCCAGGGCAAGATCGCTCCCTTCTCGGCCGAAGCCACCGGCACCCTGCTGGGCGAAGGCTGTGGTGTGGTTGTGCTCAAGCGACGTGAAGACGCCGAGCGCGACGGCAATCGCATCTACGCCTGCATCAAGGGCATCGGCATGTCCTCCGACGGCCGCGGCTCGGGGCTCCTCGCCCCCAGGCAAGAAGGTCAACAACTCTCGCTCCACAGGGCATACGAATCGGCCCAGGTCGATCCTGGCACGGTCAGCCTCATCGAGGCCCACGGCACCGGCATTCCCTTGGGCGACGCCACTGAGATCAAAACCCTCACCAGTTGCTTCCCGGCCCGCGATGCAGCCAAGCCCACCGTCGCGGTCGGCAGTGTGAAGTCGCAGATCGCGCACCTCATTCCCGCCTCGGCCGCAGCCAGCTTGATCAAGACGGCACTCGCCCTCTACCACCGGGTGCTGCCTCCGATGCTGCATGCCGAAACGGCCAACCCCAAGCTCGAACTCGACAAGACACCGTTCTACCTTTCGACCACCCCGCGCCCCTGGGTGCACGGCCGACGCGACGTCCCTCGACGAGCCGGCGTAAACGCCTTCGGCTTCGGCGGCATCAACGCCCACGCCATCCTCGAAGAACACACCGGCGTCGACGAAAAGACCCTGCCTCGGCTCGAAACCGACTGGCCGGTCGAACTCGTCGTCGTCTCGGCCGAAGATCGCGACGCGCTGGTGCAAACCGTCCAGCAAATGGTCGCCTGGCTGGACAAAGCCGAAGATGTTTCGCTGCTCGACATTGCCGCATCCGCCGCCCAGCAACCAGGGAAAACATGTCTGGCGATCGTGGCCAACGACGTGGCCGACTTGCGTAAGAAGCTCGATAGCGCAGCCCAACGCCTGGCCGAACCCGAACGAGACAAAATCCAAGACCGCGGCGGAGTGTTCTGGTACGCCGAGCCCCTGGCCGCAGAAGGCCGTGTGGCGTTCATGTTCCCCGGCGAGGGTGCTCAATACGCCAACATGCTTTCGGACCTGTGCCGCCACTTCCCCGAAGTGCGTCGCGAGTTCGACCTCACCGACGAGGCTTTCGCCAGGGCCGAATTCCCACAACCGCTCAGCAGGCTCATCTTCCCCCTGCCCGACGAAACCGAAAGGGCCGAAGAAGAACTCCGCGAACTCGGCGGCGCGGTCACTTCCGTCACGCTCGCCGAACGAGCTTTGATGGCCCTGCTGCGAACACTCGAGATCGAACCACAATCGATCGTGGGCCACAGTAGCGGCGAGTTCGGCGCGCTAATGGCCGCCGGCTCGATCGCCCCCGAAGGCGAAGAGGGCCTGATCGCCGCCACCGCCGAAGGGGCTCGCAACGCCGTGAAACTTTCCGAGTCGGGCCTGGTCCCCGCCGCCGTACTCACGGCCGTAGGCGGAGCCGACCGCGAAGTAGTCGATCAGGTGGTCGCAGACTCCGACGGCAAGCTCATCATGGCCATGGAAAACTGCCCCAGCCAACTGGTGCTCATCGGTGATGAAGAAGCCACGGCCAAAGCCCTCGAAGGCCTGCACGGCAAGGGTGGCCTCTGCGAACGTCTACCCTGGGGTCGCGCCTATCACACCCCCGCGTTCGAACCGGCCTGTGCGATCATCAAAGAGTACTTCGACTCCGTCGGCATCCAGAGCCCCAAGATCGAGCTCTGGTCGTGTGCCACCGTCGATCGCTTCCCCAGCGATCCGGAGAAGGTCAAAGAACTCGCACTACTCCAATGGCGTTCCTCGGTTCGCTTCCGCGAAACGGTCGAGGCCATGTACAACTCCGGCGTTCGGGTTTTCGTCGAAGTTGGCCCCCGCGGCAACCTGGCCGCCTTCGTGGGAGACACACTCGGCAAGCAGCCGCATCTCTCGGTACCGCTCGATGTCCCACGCCGCGGCGGAATCTGGCAACTCTGTCGCGCGCTAGGCATGCTTTCGGCCCACGGCGTATCGATGAACCTGCAGGCCCTCTACGCCCGACGTCAGCCTAAGCTGTACGACTTCACGGCCGAGCCTCCCAAGGCCGAAGCCCCCGCACCCCTGCTACGGCTCGACCTCCCGGTGCTCAAGCTCTCAGAAGAGGCCCTCGCCAAGCTCAAACCCAAGCCCGCTCAACCTGCGCCGGCCACCCCAACGCCAAAACCAAGGGCGATGCGCAAGCCGCCAGTCACGCCCGAGCCTTCGCAGAAGCCAGAACAACCCGTTTCGTCCAAACCCGCACATCCGGCGGCCACCCCGGTTCCAGAACCGGCACCGGCCGCCCAACCGCCAGCTCCTGCGGCTCCGGTCGCCAACGCCCCGGCGGCAACCCCGCAGCAGCAAGAAGCCCGCGTTCGAGCCTTGGCCGACTATCAACAAACCATGCGTCAATTCATCGCCATGCAACAACGGGTGATGATGTCGCGTCTGCATAACGAACCGGCCCAACCCAGCCCTCCGCCTGCGAACGATCCACCGTCTCAACCGGCTCCAACAAGTACGCAAAGCCAACCCGCTCCCACGAGCTGGGCGAACCAAAAGCAACCGAGCGCACCTCAGCAGGCGGCCCCCAGCAGCAGTTCCACGGCAGTGAGTACCAAGCCGAGCGAGCCGCAACCTTTCACGTCCGCGCAAAGCTCCACCCCGAAAGCAGCACCCTCGGGCGTTTCGGAACTCACCTCGCCCATCAACTCCGGCACCGCCACCGCTACGATGGAGGCCCCAGCTAAGAGCCCCGCAGGCACGGCCTCACTCGAACAAACCTTGCTCGATATCGTCAGCCAACGAACCGGATACCCGGCCGACATGCTCGACCTGGATGCCAATCTCGAGGCCGACCTCGGTATCGACTCCATCAAACGGGTCGAAGTCATCGGCGCGTTCCGTCGAGCGGTCGCCCCCGAGGTGACCGAAGTGCCGATGGAAGCGATGGAAACGCTCACCCAATCGGCCACACTCCGATCGGTGATGGACGGCGTCGCCGAACTCATCGGCGGAAAGCCCGAAGCAACCAACGGGCATCTCGATTCCTCGCAATCGTCCATCGCGACCGAAACCCCGCAAGAGCCTGAGCCCACCGAAGACACCTCCGCCTACGCGTTCCTTGATTCGATCATCGAGCACGAACCGAACACCCGGCTCGTCGCCGAATGCGAACTCGATGTCGACCGGCACCGCTTCCTGCAAGATCACACCTTCCTGGGGCGAGGCCTCTCGACGATCGACTCCACCCATCAAACTCTGCCCGTCATGCCGATGGCAATGTCGCTGGAGCTGATGGCCGAAGCGGCCGCCATGCTCTATCCCGAGCTGCAGGTAGTCGGCCTGGAGAACGTCACCACCCAACGGTGGCTGGCCATGGAAACGCCCACCCGACGGGTGCGGATCGAAGCCACCGCCGTGGACGAAACCCACGTCGAAGTCAAAGTCACCGAGGCCGATCGCAACGGCGGCAGCCCCGCCGTGGTCACCGCCGGCACCATCGTGCTGCAAGACAAAGAGCCCCCGCTGGGGCCGGCCATCATTCCAGATGCCGCCAAAGAGCCCGCCCCCTGGGCCGAGCACTTGTACGACTGGATTCTGTTCCACGGTCCCGCGTTTCAAGGCATTCGCGACATGCAAGCCTGCGACGCCGACGCCGTGAGGGCCATCGTTCGCGAACCCGATGCGAAGCTGCTGTTCGCCAGCGATGACCACCCACCGCTCATCCTTCCTGCGGCCCTCATCGACGTGGCCTCGCAGGTGCCCGGGATGATCTACGGCAACTGGGACCCGGCCGAACCCGAAGTTCACATGGTGTTCCCCAATCGGTTCACCAAACTGCAGTTCACCAACGATCGCCCCAAGCACAAAGACCTGCAGGCCGTAGCCCGCATGAGTCGCGACGGGACGTATCTGCACTCCGACCTGGAACTCAAAGACAAAGACGGTCGCGTGGTGCTACGAATGGAAGGACGCGTGTGTCAGGTGGTCGATTTCCCCACCGGACTGCACCACTACTCCAAAGCCCCCACCAAAGTGACCTGCTGCGAAGACATTAGCCACCTCTTCAGCGATCTTCCGCTGAAGAAACCGCTGGCGGTTGCCGAAACCGGTTCGGCCGGCGGCCCCGTGTTGCTCAACCGCCTGTGGTCTCAAGTGGTCACGCGGATGATTCTCTCGCAGTTCGAACGCGCGGCACTGTCGCGGCTCAAGCTATCTCCCGCGGCCCTGGCCTACTGGCTCGCCGGCCGCATCGCCGTGAAAGACGCCATGCGGTTGTTCTTGAACGACGAACTCTGCATGGCCGACGTCGAAATCGAAGTCGACGCTCGCGGCAAGCCCTGTGCCCGGATCGATGCCGAAGCCGGCCCCTCAGTGAGTATCGCCCATAAAGAATTCAAAGCCGTGGCCGTGGCAGCCGACAGCAAAGCCTACGACAGTGTGGGTATCGATATCGAGATTTTCGGCCCCATGGATCCAGGCCTCAAAGAAGACGCCTTCACCAGCGACGAACTAGCCCTGTTAGAACGGGCCGCCGAAGAGACAGACGAACCGCTCGACCATTGGTGCCTCTCGGCATGGTCGGCCGAAGAAGCCCTTGGTAAAGCCCTGGGGCGCGGCGTGCTAGGCGGACCTCGTAGCGTCGAAATCATGGCCATCGACACCAACACCGGCAAGATATCAATGGCCCTGCGTGGCCCGATGGCCAAAGCGTTCCCCCCCCTGGCCGAACACAACGGCCAGCAACCCCTAATCGAAGCCTACCGCCGTGTTCATGGCGACTACTGCATCGCGCTGTGTTTGATAGAATCGTTACCTGGCTAACGATTCCCCGCGCGTCGATGCGCGTACCATCCAGAATTCCCTGAGAAAGAGTGACGATCGGATGAAGACCGTACTTTTCGGTTTGGACGGTGCCACATACACCGTGCTCGACCACCTCGTGGCCCAAGGCGTTATGCCGAACCTCGGCGAACAGCTCAAAAGCGGTGCCCGTAGCGACCTCGGTTCCACGCCCCTGCCGCTCACCCCGTTGGCCTGGACCACGTTGGCCACCGGTCGCGGTGCCGGCTATCACGGCATCTCCGATTGGATTCGCTGCCAGGTCGGCGAAAAAGGCACCTTCATCCATCTCTTCAACTCACGCGATAACCACTGCGAAACCATCTGGAAGCGCGTCTCCGATTCCGGCAAACGGGTCACCGTGCTCAACTACTTCGGTCTCGCTCCGCCCGAGCCCATCAACGGGCACACCATGCCGGGCTTCACCTCGGGCCGGCATTTGCGGCGTTCCAGCTATCCCTCCGACTTGTTCAAACAACTCGAATCGGTCGAAGGCTTCGACGTCAAAGTCCTCGGAATGGATTTCGACGTCGAAACCCAGGGCCTGCAGGAGATGGAACACGACGCCTGGTTCGATTGGATCCGCCACCAGATCGAACGCGACACGGTCTGGCTGCATGTGCTCGAGCACCTGATGGCCACCGAGCCGAGCGACCTCACGGCGATCGTCCTCGACGGCGTCGATAAGCTTCAACACCTGGCCTACCGCTTCCTCGATCCGGCCCTGATTCCCGCAGAACCGACCGAGTGGGAACAAAAAGTGATCGAGCTGTGCCACGATTACTTCCGCATGGTCGACGAATCGCTCGGCCGCATCCGCAAGCTCGTCGGCTCGTGGGGCCGTCTGTTCGTGGTCTCCGATCACGGTTTCACCGGCACCCAGGAAATCGTCTACATCAATCGCTGGCTGCACGACGAGGGGCTCCTCACCTGGCGTGGCGAAGTCCCGGAAGATCAGGCCGAAGCCTGCCAGACCGATCGCCCGGCGCAAGACGCCAACCTGGTCGATCTCTCGGCCAGCAAGGCGTTCGCCCTCACGCCCAGCAGCAACGGCATCCACATCAACGTGCCCGAGAGCGAATACGAGGCCTTCCGCGACGACCTCATCGCCCGCCTGCAAAAACTAACCGGCCCCGACGGTGGTCAGGTCATCACCGAAGTGAAGCGCCGCGACCAATGGTTCCCCGGGCCCTTCATGGAACAATTCCCCGACCTCACACTCACGCTTCGCGATCATGGCTTCATCTCGGTCCTCAACGGTCGCGCGGCTGTCGTCCCGCGTTCGGTTCCCAACGGCACCCATCACCCCAATGGCATCCTCGTAGCCAGCGGGCCGGGCATCAAAGCCGGTCAGTCGGTCGAGTCGTGCAACCTGCTCGATATCGCCCCGTTGCTCACGCACAGCCTCGGTATGGAAATCCCGGCCGACTACGAAGGTCATGTGCCCACCGACTTGTACGAAGCCGACTATCTCGCCAGCGACCCACCCCGCGTGGCAGCCGCTGCCGCAGGCACCGCGCCCGTTGAGTCCGAAGCAGTCCCCGCGGCCGCCGACGATGGTGGCGACTTGGACGAAGAAGACGAGGCCATCATCCTGGCCCGACTGAAGAGCTTAGGCTACATCGAATAGAGCACCATGGTTTCCACGTCCTCCGCACCGCCACGGCCCCTGGGGCTAAGCACCGGCCACTTTCGTCGCATCGCGGCGAACGGCTTCGGCGATGCGCACAACTCGTACGCCTATGGCTACGCGTGGTTCAAAGACCATCTCTTTGTCGGCACCAATCGCGACATCCTGGTGCTCACTCGCAAGCGGTTCAAATTCGAAGTGCCCATGGCCGTCTGGCCGGTCGAAGTTCCTGAAGAAGTGACCGACCTGGACCTCAGCGGGCAAATCTGGCGATACAACCCTCGCACCGATCAGTGGAAGCGAGTCTACCGCTCGCCTATGGTGCCGGGCCTGTCAGACTTTCACGTCCCCCTGGGCTCCGGCTTTCGCAATATGGCCGTGTTTCAAGCCCGCGGCGAAAGCGAACCCTCGCTCTACACCATCCCCAGTTGCGGCTCCTATGGCGTCGGGCTCGTCATGCTCCGCACCCGAGACGGGGAGGATTTCGAACAAATCACCGAGCAGGGCATGGGCCTCGACGATCGCAACATCACCAGCGTGCGGTCGATGGTTGTCTTCAAAGACAAGCTCTACATGACCCCCGCCGGCTCACGCGGTTTCGACCCGAACGTTTCCTATCACGCTCGCATCCTCTGCACTGACGACCCCGCCTCGGGCAATTGGGTCGGCGTGAACGAAAGCTCGTTCGGCGATCCGACCAACTATGGCGTTTACGACATGTGCGTCTGCGGCGACTATCTCTACGCCGGCACAATGAACATTCGCGGCGGATGCCAACTCTGGAAGACCGACGGCGAAGGCCCCCCGCCCTACCGCTGGACCAAGGTGTTCGACCAAGGCGCCGATCGCGGGCTTTACAACCAAGGCGTCGTCTCCGTTGCCCCCTTCGGCGAAAACGTCTACCTCGGCACCGGCATTCAGAACGGTGGCCACGATCGCGTGAACAACATCGGCCCCGACGCCGGCGAGGTCATCCGCGTCTACCCCGACGACACGTGGGATCTCGTGGTCGGCCAGCCCCGCATGACACGCTACGGGTTGAAGTCGCCCACCAGCGGGCTCGGCCCCGGGTTCGATAATCGCTTCGCCGGCTACATCTGGCGAATGGCCCAACACGATGGCGCCTTCTACGTCGGCACCTTCGACTCGACCGCGATGCTCCCCTTTGCGAACCTCGATAAAGACGCCAAACAAATCTTCGACCCGGCCACCATGGAGCAGTTCCTCACGCACCGTGGCGGTTGCGAGTTGTGGCGAACCGTCGACGGCAACGATTGGGGCCCCGTCACCCGAAACGGGTTTGGCAATCCCTGCAACTGGGGCATCCGCACCATTGTCTCTTCGCCCTACGGTCTTTTCGTCGGAACGGCCAACCCCTTCGGCCCAAAAGTCGCCGTGCAGGGGCCCGACGGGTGGCGTTACGAGTACAACCCCGGCGGTGGTGTCGAAGTGTGGCACGGAGCCATCGAAAACGCGGGGCCCCAACGGCCGCTCGACGACCGTCTTCCGCTGTCCGTCATCCCCGGAGGTGGAGAAGACGGTGCCGGCGTCCAAGGCGATTCGGTTCTAGCCATGCCCGAGTTAGACGCCGTCGGTGGCTCGGCCATCGACATGGCCCTGCCCAACACCGATAACCTGCTGGCTTCGCTGTGCAAAGACACCTTCGGCGGCGAAGTACCCACCAAGCCCGAGCATTCAATCTCCACCTGGGAGCATCGCCCCCGCGACACCTCCCGGCTCGATCCACTTTACGCCCTGGCGAATGCCGACCCGCATCTCTCCAGCACCGATCGCGAACTGGCCCGCGACATTGCCGAGTATTTCCGCGGCACCAAGATGCGCACGGCCGGCTTCTGGCGCAAAGACTCGACCACTCCGGCCGAAGCCTGCCAGATGCTCGTCCGCGAGCTAATTCATCTGCTGCCTGAAGAACAACGCCAGCGCGACGCGGCAGTCCTCGTCGTCGGTCGCGGTTCGGCCGACATCGCCGCCGAAATCACGACCTATTGCCCAACGTTCAACACCACCACGCTGCCCGACTTTGTGGCGTCCTCCGGCATAACCAAAAAAATGTCTAAGAAGGGCCGAGGTCGCAAGAATACCGCCAGCCCCAACGGAAAGGGCCCTGCCCACACCCGCTTCGACGTGATACTCTGGCTCGAAGGTCCACTGGCCGCTGAGCGAGGTCGGGCGTTACGCAAAATGACCGCCCTGCTCGCCCCCGGCGGATACTTCATGGCAGCCGACTTGATCGACTCCCCGGCTCAAATCACCGCCGACCCGGCCTCCTATGGCCGTCAAGAGTTGATCGATGGTTACGCCAAACAACTGGAATCGGCCGGGCTCACCGACGTCGAGGCGTTCGACATCACCCGGCTCGGCTGGAACCGGTTTTGCAAACACAGCCGGCTATATCTAGCCGCCCGATTCCTACACCACCAAATCGATGCCGACCGCTTCCGCGACATTGCCGAGGCACTCCCCGGCGGTTCGCTCACGGTTGCCGCACACGTATTGGTTCGAGCGCGACGCCGCGCGGCAGCCAAGACACGTATCGATACCGAACATAACGCAAACAAAAACTAATCGTCCCAGATACTCCCCATCAACATTTAAGCGGGCAAGAACGACAGGCGAGGAAACCTTGCAAACTCAATCCATTCAAAAAGACCTGGCAGACATCCTGGAAGACCTCACCGCCGACTGGGACACCTCGCACGACGAGGCCATCGGCCCCGACACAAAGCTCATCGGCGATCTTCACTTCGAATCGATCGACGTCGTGCAGCTCATCACTGCCATCGAAGAGCACTTCGGCCGCCGCGATCTTCCGTTCGAAGAGTTGTTGATGAAAGACGGGCAATACGTCGACGAGGTCACCGTCGGTCAAATGGTCGACTTCCTGGCCAAGCACCTCAACTAACCACACGCCTGACCCCAGGTCGTCATCAGCACATAACGCATCCTCACACAACACGATGCCATAACCAAAGGGCACGTCCATGCAAAGCACGCTGCTAATTGGGCTCGACGGAGCGACATTCAAAATCCTCGATCCGCTCGTCAAGCGAGGCGACCTGCCGAACCTGGCCAAGATCATGGCCCAAGGTGTTCGAGCCGAACTCCTCTCAACACCGCACCCGCTTACACCCCCTGCCTGGACAACCCTGATGACCGGCCGCCTGCCCGGCAGTCATGGCATTTTCGACTTCCTGCGTTCCGAAATCCGCCCCGGCGGAGCGTTCTTCACCCTCAACGACTTCCGCGATATCCGCTGCGAAACCATCTGGTCCATCGTCAGCCGCGCCGGCGGAAAGGTGATCTCGCTGAACTTCCCGCTCATGGCCCCTCCGCCCAAGCTCAACGGTTCGATTGTGCCGGGTCTCCTCTCGTGGCGCCACCTGCGGCGAAACATTCATCCACCAGAGCTGTATGACGAACTCAAGTCACTGCCGGGCTTCAGTGCCAACGAAATCTCCTGGGATTTCGAGCACGAAAAGAAAGCCATGCAGATCATCGAAGACGAAGAACTCGAATCGTGGGTCCGCTTCCACGTGATTCGCGAGAAGCACTGGTTCGATATCACCCGTCACCTCATGCAGAACCACCCAGCCGATCTCACCGCCGTGATGTTCGACGGGGTCGACAAGCTGCAACACAGTTGTTGGCGATTCCTCGACGAGTCGTATCTCTCCGACCCGCCGACCGAGTTCGAACAAACCATGCGCGAGCTGTGCCTGACGTACTTCCGCGAGATGGACACGTTCATCGGCGACCTGGTCGACGCGGCCGGTGACAACACCCGCGTGTTCCTCGCCTCCGATCACGGCTTCGGCCCCACCGAAACGGTGTTCCGCATCAACAAGTGGCTCGAAAGCCTGGGCCACCTCAAATGGCAAGCGGCCGACGATGCCAAACCCAAGGCCGGCCACTTCGTCGCGCTCGATTGGGATCACACCGTGGCCTACGCCCCCAGCGGTGCCACAAACGGCATTCACATTCGCGTGGCCACCGAGCCCGGCGAAGTCGGTGTTCCGGCCGAAGAGTACGAGACTTTCCGCGAACGGATGAGCCGTCAACTACTGGAAGTCAAACACCCCGAGACCGGCGAACCACTGGTGAAGCAAGTGCTCACCTTCGAAGAGGCCTACCCCGGCTCCGAACGCGGTCAGGCCCCCGATCTCACGCTGGTGCTGTTCGATCACGGTTTCTTCTCCGTGCTCGATGCCGAGCCCATGATCTGGCAACGCCCGGAGTGCGCCGGCACACACGCTCCCGAGGGGATCTTCGCCGCCTGTGGTCCCGGCATTCCGCAAGGCAAAGAGCTGCCACAACAAACGATCCTCGACGTGGCCGCCACGCTGCTGCATAGCCTGGGACTACCCATTCCAGAAGACTTTGAAAGCAGCGTGATGACCGACGTCTTCGAACCGGAGTTCCTCAAACAGCATCCTGTCCAATCCGGCCCTGCCACCGTCGCCCCCGGAGACGCAGCAAGTGCCGCGGACGACGCCAGCGAAGAAGAACAGGCCGACAGCGAAGAGAAAATCCTCGAACGCCTCCGAGCCCTCGGTTACGTCGAGTAAGCTCCGCAGGCCCAAACTTCATGCCCAACGCCACGGTCAACGGAGTCAAACTCAGTTACCGTCAGGTCTTGCCTGAAAACCCGGACAAGGCCGCCGGCGACGTGGTGCTCGTGCATGGGCTGGCCGCCAACCAGGCCTTTTGGAATCTCGAACTCGTCGGCACCCTCGCCCAACAATACCGCGTCACCTCGTTCGACCTGCGGGGCCACGGCTACAGCGAGCGGCCCCCCTCGGGCTACTCGCCCCAAGAAATGGCGACCGACCTGCAGGCACTCCTCGACCATCTCAATATCGATTCGGCCCATCTTGTCGGTCACAGCTACGGGGGTCTCATCGCATTGCGGCTCTCGATCGAAGCCACGCCACGAGTCCACTCCCTCACGCTGGCCGACACACGATTGCGCGGAATCGCTCCCGAGCAGATCTTGCCCACTCAGGAAGATTGGCCCGAACTTCAAACCCGGCTGGCCCGCTGCGGAGCCCCGCTCGACGAGAACGAACCCGAAATCGGCATGCAGCTTCTCGACGCCATCTCCCAACCCCGCTGGGCCGCCGCGCGGCAGCGCGTGGCCGCAACCGGCGTGTTCGTCCCCTTCGCCGCACATTCGGGCGGAGGAAACCGCTCGGCCAACCGCTGGCGGAAGTTGCTCGACGAGACCACCGCGCGAGAAGATTTCCTCAGCGACGGCGGCATCACCCCCGCACAGGTCGCCGGGTTGCCCATGCCAGTGCTGCTGGCATTCGGTGAGCGATCCCCGCACATGGCCAGTTGTCGGCGGTTTGGAGAGCTTGCCCCCCACAGTCGCACGGTGGTGGTCTCCGGTGGTGGACACTTCCACCCCGCCAGCCGCGCGGCCGCATTTGCCGGGCATCTGGGGGAGTTCCTTGGACAAATCGATCGCGACCGCAACAATACACCTCAGACGGCTCGCGGTTCGAAAGACACGCACTAACGGGACATCGCCCGATGAAACTCAAACGGACTCTCGGAACCCTGCTCGTGCTTGTGGCAGGCTCAGTCGCCTTGCTAAGTTTGTTGGCGATCTACGGAACGTCCAATCGCGCGCAGGGAGACTCCAACGTGGATAACGACATCGAACGCAAGCTCACCTTCGACGGATACAAGCGTCGCTATCTCGTGCACCTGCCCCCCAACTACGACGGCAAGACTCCGCTGCCGTTGGTGCTCGCCTTGCACGGCGGGGGCGGACGCGCCGAATCGCAACGCACACAAAGCCAGATGAACAAAACGGCCGACGAAAACGGCTTCATCGTCGTCTATCCCGACGGTACCGGTCGACTCCGCTTCCTCACCTGGAACGCCGGCGACTGCTGCGGGTACGCCGAGAAAAACAACGTCGACGACGTCGGCTTTATCAACGCCCTACTCGATCAACTCTCGCGCGAATACAACATCGACCAGAAACGCGTCTACGCCACCGGGCTGAGCAACGGCGGAATGATGAGCTACCGCCTGGCCTGCGAACTTTCGAATCGCATCGCGGCCATCGCCCCCGTCTCGGCCGACTTAGGCGTCGACGGCCCTCGCCCCAAGCGGCAAGTGCCCATCCTGCACATTCACGGCCTCCAAGACCGCAACGTACTTTTCGACGGCGGCGTGGGCAGCAATCAGTATCAGCCCAACCCCCACCGTTCAAACGCCGAGACCCTAGGGTTTTTCCTCGACGCCTACGGCTACAGCAAACAGCCGCTCGAGGTCCAACAGGCCGAAGACTACATTTTCGAGCGCTATGGTCCACCCCCAGGGCAGCCGGGCGTGCCCATCCTGCTGTACAAACTCCCCAAAGGTGGCCACAACTGGCCCGGCGGGGTCGACACCACCGGCGAGCGGTGGAACACCGGGCGAATGATCGAATCCTTCCCCGCCAGCTCCGTAATCTGGCAATTCTTCAGCCAATTCACGCTCGATGGTCCGGTTGCGCAGCCGCAGTAGCCGAACTTTCGGCCCTGTCCCCCGGCGTTCCAAGTCCCGGCCGGCGGCGGCTCGATATATAATCGAGTAAGCTCGTCTTTCCCTTTCCGGCGGTGCTGGGGGCATTTTTGCCCGGCCTGGCATCCCGGAACCGCCCTCCAGGCCCTACTTCAACTGCGGCAAACCGTATTCATGTCCGAACTTATCCCTCGCCTGCGATCACTCGGCAGCACGTCGGCCGCGATGTTGACGTTGGCGAAGGGCCTGTTCGAAAGCGGTCGCCATAGCGAAGCCCTCGAGCAGATCGACCTGGTGCTGAAAGACAACCCCGAGTTGGCCGTGGCCTACTTCCTGAAAGGGTTGATTCTGGCCCGGCTGGCCGACTTCAACGGTGCCGGGGAGTGCCTGGAAACGACCGTTCAGTACGATCCCGAGTTCGTCGGGGCCTGGCTAGGGCTAGTCTACGTCCGCGTGGAGCTGGGACTGATCGACGAAGCCCTGGAAGCCGCCAAGCGAGGGCTCAAGCTCGACCCTAAGAACGCCAACGGCCATCTCCTGCACGGCAACGTTCTCACTCGCTTGGACCGGCCCGAGGAAGCAATCGAAGCCTATCGCCAGGCCGTGAAATTCAACCCGCAACTCATGATGGCCCACTACCGCCTAGGCCACCTGCTCGACAAGCAAGGCCGCACCGATGAGGCCATCTCACAGTTGCTCGTCTCGCAGCGGCTCAACCCTCGCGACTCGATGAGCCGCCTCACGCTGGGCGACATCCTCCGCTCACTCGGAAAAATCGACGAGGCACTCGACCAATACAAGGTCGCTGCCGAGTTGGCCCCGTTGCAAGGCGAAGCTCACGTTCGCATTGGCGATACCTTCGCCGAGCTGGGCAAACGCCGTGAAGCGATTGCGGCCTACCGCATCGCCATCCGTCGCGACGCCCGTCAGCTGCGGGCGTTTCTCTGTCTCAGCAAGATGTACATCGAAGAAGGCTGCCCTTCCGAGGCACTCGACATGGCCAACGCCGCCATCGAGATCGATGCCCGACTCCCCGCCGCGCAGGAAGCCCTCGAGAACGCCACGAAAGCCTGTGAGGGTCTGTCCAAAGAAGAACTCAAATCCGAGTTCGCTTTAGAAGAGCCTGACGAATCCTCGATTGAGTAAGCGACGTCCGCAGTCTCAATCTTTCGTCGCCGCTGCAATTCCCGCATCAACCGCGGCGGCAATCTGGTCGAGTTCTTCCATCGTCGCACTCAGCGGTGGCATGATCACCACCACGTTCCCCAACGGGCGAATCCACACGCCGTGTTCCAAGGCAACATCACACACCCGTTGCCCGCGCCGCTCGGCCCAGGGATACGGCTCACGGGTTTCACGGTCAGCCACCAGTTCGATCCCCGCGATGAACCCACACTGGCGAACATCACCTACATGCGGTAACTCTCCCCAACGCTGCAAGTGCGACCGCAGCCGCTCGATCTTGGGTTGCAGTTTCTCCAGAGTGCCTTCCTCGTCGAACACCTCGAGCGAGGCCAACGCCACGGCCGCCGACAGCGGGTTCCCACCGTAGGTGTGCCCGTGAAAGAACTGCTTCGATTCGGATGGCGCCCCCAAAAACGCATTCCACACTTCGTCGGTCGTCATCGTGGCCGACATCGGGAGATAACCCCCGGTGATCCCCTTCCCCAAGCATAAGAAGTCGGGGTCCACACCTTCCTGCTCGCAGGCGAACAGCGTTCCGGTGCGCCCGAACCCCACGGCCACCTCGTCGGCGATCAGCAGTACACCGTACTTTCGGGTTAGCTCACGAACGCCTTTCAAGTACCCCGGCGGGTGAACGATCATCCCGGCCGCCGCCTGCATCAACGGTTCAATCACCAGGGCCGCAATCCGCCCCGCATGCTCGCGGAGCACACCCTCGAGTTGATCGAGGTAGTACCCGCACGCATTCTCCCGCGTCACCCCCTCGGGCAAGCGATACATCGTCGGCGTCGGCACACGCACCGTTTCGAACAACAGCGGTGAGAACATTGTGTGAAAACGTTCCACCCCGCCCACGCTTACACTCCCCAACGTGTCGCCGTGGTAGGCATCGTCGAGCGACACATAGAGCGTCTTCTCCGGCTGCGGATCTTGGCGTTGCTGCCAATACTGAAACGCCATCTTCAACGCGACTTCCACCGCCGACGAACCGTCGCTGGAAAAAAACACGTGCTGCAACGATGCAGGCGCCACTTCGACCAACCGTCGTGCCAGTTCGATCGTGGTCGGGTTCGAAGACCCCAGCGACGTCGTATGCGCCACCTTGTCGAGCTGCTCACGAATGGCCGCATCGAGCTTCGGGTGACGATGCCCATGAACGTTGCACCACAGGCTGCTCACACCATCGAGAAACTTGCGCCCGTCGATATCGACCAGCGTCTGCCCGTAAGCCTCGGCAATGATAAACGGCTCATACGCGGCCATCTGGGTGAAGGCATGCCACACATGCTCACGATCCCAGCGCAGAAGTTCCTCACGTGTCGGTTCGGCTCGCTCACTCATTCCAATCGCTATCACCCACGAGGTTCATGTTCTCTCACCCCATGATGACCGATTGAAGGAGCAGACGAAAGGAGTCACCGCATCCAAGACTTCACGAGACTCGAATCCCCGTGGGTGCCACCGCTGGCTCGCCCAGCGGTGCTGGTGGCCTCACCTTGTGCAGGTAACCGGAGGCCTTCCCAAGAACCTCACCATCGAACCGAAAACGCATCCCCCACCCGCACCCCAAGCTCCGCCGCCGCACTCCCATCCACCACCGCCACTTCCAAACGACCGGTCGAACCGAACAAAGCAACCAACGTCCCCGCCGGTCGCTCACCATAGGTTCGCACCACCCCGTCCAGCATCTGCCCACCACAAGAAACCCGTAGCGACTCCAACGGCTTTTCCGGCAAACATGCGGCCGTGATATTCGAAATCAAATTCCCGAACGGGTCGACAACCAGCACCACGCCCTGCACCTCATTTGCAGAGACCTCCGGTTCCGGCCACTCCAGTGTCTGAAGCTCACCCAACTCCGGGCCTAACTCAGCCGGATCAACACCCCCAGCCACCCACGCCGCCACTGGGCCCATGATGTCGCGGCCGTGAAACGTGGCCGAAACCTCAGGCAACCAATACTTGGGGTTCTCAACCGCCCGAAGCTGCGTGGCCGGCTCGCGCAGCACCAACCGGCTCAACAAACCATTGTCGGGGCACACATACCGCTGCTGCCCAATCTCGGCGAAGACGATTCCCCTCTTCGTGCCGCCCCCCGGGTCGATGACCGCCACATGAATTGTGCCCGGCGGAAACCAAGGCGTGGCGTCTTCGTGCATGAGTGCCGCCAGGCGAACATCTTGCGGTGGCACACGGTGGGAGATATCGACCACGCGAGCGTTGGGGCAAATCGAGTAGATCACCCCCTTCATGGCCGCCACATAGGCCGAGCCCTCGCCGAAGTCGGTGGTCAGCGTGATCAGCGGTTCGCTCACCGGATAACTCTCATTGCGACAAATGACAGGAATCGTCAACGTCGCAACACACCCGCTCCGGCGTCGGCGACCTCGACTCGTGCATCCTCAGGCATGAGTGTAGCCCATGCCGTCACCCGTCGCCCCTGTGGGTCGCGAGCCACCACGCGAACACTCACTGGCTGGCTCAGATGTCGCGGTGCTTGCAGCGGCCGCCCGACCAATTCCCCGCCCCCAGGCACACAGGCGTCGTCGAACATCGTCGAAAGCTCATCGTCGGCCAGGCATTGCGGAGAAGGATCCACAGGCGAGTCGCCCAAGTCTTCCCAAGCCACGTGGCACAATTCCAGCGGGGTCCCCGACGATTCGCTCAATGCCAACTTCCACTTACCGGGATCGGTCGGTAGCGTCTTCAACCGCAGCCGGGGCAACTCGTCGGGCAGCCGCACCACGGTCACCTGCAACTGCGAGCCCAACTCGGCGGCGATGCGAATCCGTCGCGGTCCGGCTCCGTTGGCAGAAACCACGAAGTATCGCGACGTGGTCCCACAAAGCTGCAAGTCGGTCGCAACCGAGTTATCCACTTCCAGCGATTCGTAACGCGGACCCGCCAAACCCCATTCACCCAATGGGCTGGCCAAATCGATCCGCGGCAGGTTCACACACGTGGCACAGCAAGAAGAACCGTCGGAGGTTTCAATCGTTCGCAGGAACAAGTCGGCTGCGAACCGGCGATACAACTCGTCAAATGGCTCGCCGGTGGCCGCCTCGAGATTGGCCACTCCACTGCGGCCCGAATAGATCAACGCCGGCAGCAAGCCGGTACCGTAATGATCGACACACCACCGCAAGAACAGATAGGTGCTCCCTCGCGGCCCGGCAGCCCGCCACAGCCCGGCCGAACGATAGTTCGGCACCACCAGCGGTGTTTCTTCCGGCGTCTGCAGGAAGCGGGCCACGCGGTGATCGAGGTTCGTCCAGTTGTCGCTCTCCAAGTTCTCGGCCACGTGCGAGATGGCCTCACTGAGCCACGACTCCTCGCTCCCTCCTGCAAACAACAGCGTACGGTGCTGCTGACGTCCACTACTCGAGATGGCGTGCGCGAACTCGTGCGCCATCAAGGTGGCCAGGTGCCGGCCCGGGCGGACATTCGAGTTCAAATACAGCACGTCGGCGTGATTGGAATAAGGCTTCTCGAGAGCACTGTCATAATCGTTCGGGTTGACCATTCCACCCAGCGACACCGTGCCGGCATCAAGCTTTCCAAGCCACCCGGTAACCAGCACAGCGAAGGTTCCGTCCCCATCAACATCATGGGGCAGTCCCATTTTTTCTGCGGCCGTGGGGCGAATCGAGTTTTCGAACAACTCCACAATCGTCTCGGCCGTTTCTTGCGGCAGACGGTCGTCGCGATCGACAAACACTCGAATATGTGGGCCTTGAGCTTGTAACTCGGCGTTAATCTCCCGATATGACGCCGGGTTCTCGCTCTCACTACCGCCCACATGCACCCAGAATTTGCGGCAGACGTTTTCATCTTGAGGACCGAACGCCTCGTTCGTCTCTTCCAGCGAAGCATAGAAGTTGGGGTCCGAAGGCAACGGCGTTGGGTCGAGCGACGCTACCTGACGAAAGGGCATTCGCGTGGCTTCTTCGATGGATGCAATGTCCAGCGAAACGTTACGCGGTTCGAGTTCGCTCGCCACATTGCTCACGACCAGCAGGTACTGCTCCTTCGCGCCATCGAAGGGCAGATCGAAGGTGGCCTGATTGGCCTCGGTCGATACGGCGAATAACTGCCCCGTGGGCAACGGGAACTCAACGCTCGGCTGCATCGTGAAATGTACGACGCCAGCCAGAGCTAGCCCCATGGCTAGACGGATCGATAGCCTTCCCATGCGCGAATCCCCCCCGGTCGTCTTTGCGCATCATCACCCTTGCCGATGCACACGCGCCAGCCGCGATGAACCGCTCCGCGATTCCTTTCGCGTTGGGTTCCTCGTGTGCCTAATCGGTATCGACTTTTCCGATCGGGTCACTTTCGGAGGAAACGGCATAAGATGAGGAACAGGGCGACTAATCGGAGGCAAACTGCCAGAAAAGTTCCACCACTTCGCCCCAACTAACACCCGACCTTTCAGGGGACAGTACTCATGACCGGAAGAGGCAACTGAATTGCCAAAAGAGCGCACGTTCGTGCGCGGAAACTGCTAGCGTTTGCGCGAAATAGTGAGCGAGTTTGCTAGCACGACAGCAGAAAGCATCGCCAGAGTTTAATTGCCGCTGCGGCAAGAACTACATCTCGTTGACCAACTCGATGCAGATTTCGCGAACGCGGCCGGGGTTCACATTCGGGTTCTGCTTCTTGGCCTGACCAATCAGCGCTCCCACGGCCTTCTGCTTGCCTTCCTTCAGGTCGTCAACAACCTTCGGGTTCTTCGACAACAGTTCGCGGCACAGATCGACCAGTGTCGACTCATCGACCTCTTCAATCCCACGAGCCTTGATCGCCTCATCGACCGAGCAGCCAGAGTCGACCATCTCGCCCAGCACGTCACGCCCGCGGGTGGTGTCGAGCTTGCCGGCCACCACCATTTCGATCAGCCGCCCCAGTTCTTTCGCACTCACGGGATAGGCATCGATCGCGATGTCCTTCTCGTTCAGCGTTCGCAGCACATACTGCTGAACCCAATTCCCGGCGGTGCGGGCATTGCCAGCCACAGTGGCCGTCTCGATGAAGTAATCGACCAACTCGCGGCCCTGCCCCACAATCACGTCAGCATCGTAAGGCGTGAGTTCATACTCCGCCTGAAGCCGCGCACGAAGCCCAGCCGGCGATTCACCTAATCCCTGACGAACGCTTTCAATCTCGGCCCCAGTCACAGTGACTGGAACCAAGTCGGGGTCGGGGAAATAGCGGTAGTCGCTCGATTCTTCCTTATACCGTTGCGGTCGGGTCACATTCGCCGCGTCGTCCCAGCCGTGCGTCTGCTTGGGCACGTCGCCCATGCGTTTGCCGGTCTCTTCCCACTCGTCGAACTGACGCGTGGCTTCGTAAGCCAACGCCCGTTCCACCGCGCGGAAGCTGTTCATGTTCTTCACTTCCACGATCGGCGTGGGAATCTTCTCCCCATCGGCGTGCACATGGAGGTTGATATTCGCATCGACCCGCAGGCTGCCTTCCTGCATGTTGCAGTCCGACACCCCGAGGTACGTCAGCAGCAGCTTCAACTCGGTGAGAAACAGCTTGGCGTCTTCCGGCGAACGAATATCCGGCTCGGTCACGATTTCCAGCAGCGGCGTGCCCACGCGGTTCAGGTCGATGCGGCTATCGGCCGTGCCAGCCTGTTCGTCGTGCATGCTCTTGCCGGCGTCTTCTTCCAGGTGCGCCCGAATGATCCCCACGCGGCGCGATTCGGCATCCGACTGCGGATCGGCAATCTCCACATACCCGTCGTGGCTGAAAGGCAGATCGAACTGACTAATCTGATAGCCCTTGGGCAGGTCGGGGTAGTAATAGTTTTTGCGGTCCCACTTGGTGAACGGGGCGATCTCACAGTTCAGCGCCATGGCCGTTCGCAGGGCCAGCTCAAACGCCCGACGGTTCATCACCGGCAGCGAGCCAGGCATGCCGATGCACACGGGACAGGTCTGCGTGTTGGGGGGCGAACCGAACTTCGTGCTGCACCCACAGAACAGCTTGCTCTCGGTGGCCAACTGCACGTGCACTTCCAGGCCAATCACAATGTCGTATGGTGTGCTCACAGCGAGGGCCTCCGCTTGTGCCACTCGGTAGCACCCTGGAACATGTGGGCAGCACGCAAGAGCCGCTCCTCCGCCAGCGGCGGAGCCTGCAACTGCATCCCAATCGGCAACCCCGCACCGTCGAACCCGCAAGGAACCGAAAGCCCGCAGATGCCGGCCAGGTTCGCACTCACCGTGAACAAGTCGACCAGATACATGGACAGCGGATCGTCAACCTTCTCGCCGATTTTGAAAGCGGTGGTAGCCGTGACAGGCCCCGCGATCACATCGACCTGTTCAAACGCCTGGTCGAAGTCCTGACGGATGAGCCGGCGAACCTTCATCGCCTTCAGGTAATAGGCGTCGTAGTAACCGGCGCTCAGGGCATAGGTGCCCAGCATGATTCGCCGCTTCACTTCGGCCCCCAGTCCTTCCGCCCGACTGCGGCGATACATGCTCACCAAAGCGTTGTCCGCCTCCGAGGCACCCTCATCGCGAGTCGGCTCTTTCGAACTGGTGCGATAGCCGTAGTGCACCCCGTCGTATCGGGCCAGGTTGCTCGAAGCCTCACACGACCCAATCACGTAGTAGGTGGCCACACTGTACTTGCTGTGCGGCAGCTTGATTTCAGAGACCGTTGCCCCCAGCGATTCGTAAACCTTCAGGGCCTCACGAACCGAAGACTTGATGTCTTCCGACACACCTTCCTCAAACTGCTCCGGCACGATGCCAATCCGCAGTCCTTCCAGTGGCTGCCCGATGGTTTGCGAGTAGGTCGGCACTTCGCGGTCGAGACTCGTGGCATCGTGCTTGTCGTGTCCGGCCAGCACTTCCAACAGTCGAGCGGTATCCTCGGCCGTGTGGGCCAAGGGACCAATCTGGTCGAGACTACTGGCGAAGGCCACCAGACCAAAGCGGCTGACTCGACCGTACGTGGGCTTCATTCCAGTCACGCCGCACAACCCGGCCGGCTGACGGATCGAACCGCCCGTGTCGGTTCCCACCGAAAGCGGCGCCATCGAAGCCGCCACACAGGCCGCGGCCCCACCGCTGGAGCCTCCGGGAATGCGATCGGTGTCCCATGGATTGCGCGTGGGCTGCATAGCCGAGTTCTCGGTCGACCCACCCATGGCGAACTCGTCCAGGTTCGTCTTGCCGATCAAGACGGCGTCGGCTTTGCGAAGCTTCTCGATCACGGTCGCATCGTAAGGCGGACGAAACTCGCTGAGAATCTTCGAAGCACACGTCGTCGGCTCGCCGCGGGTGCACAACAAATCCTTCACCGCCACGGGAACCCCGGCCAAGGGGCCCAGCGAATCGCCCTTTTTCCTCCGGGCATCGATCGCGGCCGCTTGCTCCAGGGCCGCATCGTTGTTCACGCGAAGAAACGCACCGATTCGCTCGTCGTGCTCGGCGATGCGATCGAGATACGCCTGCGTGATTTCCACCGACGTGCACTCTCCAGCGTCGAGCCAGGAGAGGAGTTCGGTCGCCGTGGCGTTGAGCACGTCCGCGTTGTTCATGTAACCCGCGTTGTCCTTGGGAAACTGCCTCTGAGGACAGTTCACTTCGACATCGTTGTTAGTCGCCTAATACGGCCGGCACCAGGTAACACTCGCCGTCGGCCTCGGGGGCGTTTGCCAGTGCTTCTTCGCGCGGCAAGCTGGGGCGAACCTCATCAGCGCGAAACACATTCGCCACATCGACCGCATGGGCCATCGGCTCCACGCCTTCGGTATCCAACTCGGCCAGTTGATCGACGTAACCGACAATGTCGCCCAACTGCGAGGTCATCTTGGTCAGCTCTTCTTCGCTGAGACTCAATCGGGCCAGCAGCGAGACCTTTTCGACATCGTGGCGAGAGAGTGACATGGTGGGACCCTAAGCGATGGAAGCCCGAAGGAATATCCTTCAGGCGTCCAAGAATACTAATCGCTGTAAGAAGGTACAGCTAGCACACGTCGACCTTAAGACAGGCGACGCTTAGCTTTTGTTCGTGGGCAATCGGAATGGGGCAGCCGCCACACGACGTGTCACAGCGCCACTCCGCAAGCATTGGGTACAGACTCGCATGGTCTTGTTCGTCTTGTTGACGGTAACACGGACCTTCTGCAAGTTCGGCTTGAATTGCCGCCGGTTGATACCGGTGATCTTGGTACCCACCCCGCCAAGGTACTTGGCCTTACCACGCGTGGTGATCGAATTGCCCATGACCGGGCCCTTGCCGCAAACTTCACAAACCCTTGCCATGGGATCTCTCTCCACACACCTGATGAAAGCCATAAATCCAGAATCCACCAATATATCGAGACCCCCGAGCGTTGCAAGGCGGGCTTATGGCGGGAATTCGAATCTTCCAGGGCTCCAAACCGACGAAATCCCCTGAATTCACCCGCGAAATTGCCTCGCTTCGTGACGCAGCTCCACGGCCGACGGTACAATCGGACGATCTGAATCGCCACCCAACCCGGGGTCCCTATCGCCCCGGCCTCCCCCACAGAAACCGAAAAGTGAGCCCCCATGTCCCACCTCGCCCTCGTGCTGCTTGCCGTGAGTGCCTTACCCGAGAGCGGGACGCTCATCACCTACAAAGGCGAAGTCGCCCCCGTAGGCAAAGACCACGTGGTCGGAGAGGCCGAAAAGACCTTCGATCTTACCGTGCTAGTCGAAGCCGACGATCAAGGTGACATCACCTGTCACTGGGTGCTCGAAGAACGCGGTCGCGGGGGCTGGCCGTGGCTCGAACGCTTCGGCCAGGTGGCGTTCAACGCCGAAAGCCAAACCGCCACCGGAGGCGTGGCCCCCTCGGTCCTTTACGACTGGGGCGACGATGTTAGCGTGATCGAACTCGCCCCCCTGCTGCTGTCCGCCACCGAGGGCCTGGCCGAGGGCATCACTTGGAAGAGCGGTGAGCTGACCTACACAGTGGCAGCGGCCACCACCGTCGACAATCGCGAGGTGTGGCCGGTGGCCGTGAGCAACAACTACGGCTGGAAGTACGAACTGGCCATCGATCAAGAGACCGGTCTACTGGTCAACCTCCGGCAACGCGTTTTTATGGGCCAAGGCGACGAATACGAACTTCGACTGCGAACCCTCGGCATCGATCAGCTGGCGGACGAAGACTTCCAGAAAACGCAAGATGCGTTCGCCGCCATCACCGAATACCGACGGCAACTCGCCCGGCCCGAGCGCTCGAAAGACGACCGCTGGACCTCAGCCACGCTCGAGCAGCTTGCTTCGCTGATCCCGAGCTTCGAAGAACAAACAGAGGCCACCGTTCTGGCCCCGCTGGTACGCACGGCCAAGCAGTCACTCACCTCACAGAATCGGCAAGCCGACCTGGTGGCCGAAATCACTGAAAAACAACTCGGGCGGGAGATCGAAGAGTTCACAATCTCGGACCTCAACCGGCAGCAGGTTTCTCATTCCAATCTCGACGGCGCGGTCACCGTGCTCCACTTTTGGAGCTATCGCGATACACCACTGAAGGAACCGTATGGCCAAGTCGGCTATCTCGATTTCCTCTACGAACGTCACCGTGAGAACGGAGTAAAAGTTTACGGCGTAGCCGTCGATGGGTGGTTCAACGACGACGACACCCGAGCCACCGCCGAACGCGGCGTGCGGAAACTGCGCGAGTTCATGCACATCAGCTACCCCATCCTGCTCGACGGTGGGGAGTTAATCGGACAGTTCGACGACCCGCGGCTCATTGGTGCAGAATTGCCGCTTTACGTCGTAATCGATCGCAAAGGACACGTGCGGCACTACCACGTCGGCATGCACGCCATCGATCGCAATCGGGGGCTGAATGAACTCGACGACTTCGTGGTCGAGACACTGTCGAAAGAATAGGCGACAGCAAAACTTGCGAGCCTAATGCTCGCGTGTGATCGCCAACACCTGCTCCAACACGTGGCCGTTCGTAGCGACGCCTTCGTTATTGTGAATCGTTGCCTCGCCCTTCCAGTCGGTGAAGGTCCCGCCCGACTCTTCCATGATGGGCTGCAACGCCGCGGCATCCCACACGTTCATAATCGGGTCGATCATCACCTCGGCCCGTCCGGTAGCCACGAGCAAATAGCCGTAGCAATCGCCCCAGGTTCGGGTGAGCTGCGTGCCGGCCATCAGCTTGTCGAATGCCTCACCGCGACTGAACGTATAGAACGAAGCTACAGAAGTCGCACAGAATAAGCTTTGATCCAGCTTCGCAGTCTTCGACACTTCCGCTCTCTGCGGATCGGCATCACCCCGCACATGCCAGGCCCCCTGCCCGACCGATGCGTAGATGTACTCGCTCAACCCAGGGAAGAGCACCACGCCCACCACACTGCGGCTATTGAACTCTACCCCGATCATCGTGCCGTAAAGCGGCACCCCGTGAATGAATGACTTAGTGCCGTCGATCGGATCGAGGATCCACCGATAGCCGGAGGTTCCTTTCACGTCGTCGAACTCTTCACCCACGATCCCGTCATCGGGGAAGGCGGCTTGAATTCGCTCCCGTAGGAGCGTCTCCGCCTCACGATCGGCCACGGTCACCGGCGATGCATCGGACTTCAACTCCACATTGAAGTTACTTTGCCCGAAGTACTTCAGCGTAACATCGCCTGCTGCCTTCCCGGCTTCAATCGCCAAAGACAAACGTTTCTCTACATCAGCGGCTTGTGGTTCCATCGAACAATCCCGGATGGAAAGTGGTGCGGTACCCGTAACATTGCGGACCGCTAAGCCTACCGACGCAGCACAAGAAATCCAAGTCAGGCAGATCAGTCAACTAGACGAGTGACCCGGGTGTGTCGGAGGGTAACTCCAAGTCCTGGGGCTCCTCACTCGCCGTCGGCAAAGGGTTTGAATTCTCAGGCTCCCCTTTCTCCGCCAGGTCTGAGAGCCGAATGCTGGCCAATTTATTGCGGATGCCCTCATTCAACGAGTTCATCGTCGTTCGCAACTCGTCAGACAGTGGCTCGCAATCGTGAAGCTGGAAGGAAACCCCGCTATCGATCGCCTCAAACACATCGAGTAACGAAAACTCTTCCGCAGGCCGACTTAGCGAATATCCCCCTTCGACGCCACGCGTTGAAACAAGAACCCCGTGGTTGACGAGACCCCTTAGGATTTGCAGAAGAAACCGCTCGGGCATCTTTCCTCGTTCGGCCAGTTCGCGGCATGGCACTGGTTGACCAGGAGGAGTTTCGGCTAAAAGGGCCGCACCCTTCACGGCATAGGTCAGTGTGCGTGAAAGCTTCATAGTTCCTTGCCTCCCAAGGAACGGCCCTTCTTCCCTGATAGAACCATCCCGCTATTAAGTCCGGGCGCAGCACCATCACAAGACTGTGACGGTCGCGTTCCCCCACATTCGCGCCAGTTGTGGCGTCGGGGGCCATAAGAGGCATTTCACGTGCCATCGCTGACGATTTGGGATGCAAAATGAAATTTACAGAAGCGTCAACCAGCTAAAGGTTTACGCGCTTCGCAACCATTTAGCAAAGAAAAACTACAAAGTGGCGACCGACTGAAAGGTGCGTTGTCACACACCAGTCCGGTTGCTAATCGACTCCATCAGCGCTGCGGGGGGGCACCATCGCCGCCATCGGTGTCATGAGAAGAAGGGGGCGGCCCGGGATGATCATTCGAACCGTCCATCCCATCTGAAGAGCCCACAAGTTGGTTCAGCCGAATCGCGGCCAACCGCTCTCGGGCAGCTTCGGCAACCTCAGTCAGCCCCTGCTCGAGCGTCGTTCGCGCCCGTGTGGATATCTTATCCGCTGAAGGAAGACTCGAACGAAGCGGACCATCAACCGCTTCAATGATATCTAACAAAGAGATATCCGCCGCCTCGCGATCGAGCTTATAACCGCCTTCGACCCCACGAGTGGAACGCAAGATTCCGTGGGTCACAAGACTCCGAAGAATCTGAAGAAGAAAACGCTCCGGCATTCCTCCATCAGCAGCCAAGCGACTACATGGAATGGGTGCGGATGAATTGCTCTCCGCAAGTTGCAGAGTTGCCTGGATCGCATAGCCGACTGTACGAGATAGCTTCAAAGACTCGCCTCAGAGTATTGGGCAGTGAGCCCGTCCGGAAGAGTGGTAGGAATAAGGCACGAGTCTGATGCCGGGCTAGGCAAGACCATCCGCCTGAGTGAACCGTTGCTGCTTTTGCATGAAACCTAGCAGACACGCTTGGTTTGTCAAATTAACCAATCATAAAACAAATAGAAACTCCAAAATCAAACGAAAACATACATCCGAATGTCTGTTTAACTGACAATCTGCACACATAACCGACACATCGGTGGCAGTGTTGTATCCATGCAGTCGCAGGTCTGCGAGCGCGATATGAATCGATACGCAGCTATTGAATTGCCAACATAAAATTCGCGCACGAATTGTTTTTAGCCGGCAGGCTGCTCGACAGACTTCTTACTTCGTTCTGCGACTTCGCCGCGAATGGCATGCCACATCAACAGCGCCGCACCGCACACCAAGAGACTGTCGGCGATGTTAAACAACGGGAAGTCGAACGAGATGCTCTCGATCTGGAAGTGGATCCAATCGCGCACGGCGTAAACCGGCTCGCCAATGCGGTCGGGCTGATCGACCAGGTTGTACTTCCACAGCAATCCATGAAACCCCAGACGGTCGTAAAGGTTTCCCAAAATTCCGCCGACAATTCCGCCCAAGGCGATCGTGAGCAACCAATCTTCGGCGGCCCCAAAGACGAATAGCCATACGACGATCCCCACCAGGGCAATCATGGCCAGAATACTGAGCGGAAAACTGAACCCCTGCCCAACGCCGAACAGCCCACCCTCGTTGAGCGTAGTTTCGAACATCAGAATTCGCCCGACGACCTCAATCGAGCGCGAACCTTGGCCAATCCCAAGCGATTCGAATGCCCAGGTTTTTGTCGCCAAATCTGCGATCAGACCGATAGCGGCGATCGACACAAAGACTAGAAAGCGATTGAGCGGGACCGCCTTCATGGCAGGTTCCTTCGATATGTGACAGCCGGAACCGGTTGCCACTGAAGCGACAGCGAATCGAACAAACTATTGTTCGAGTGCGCCGGCACAGTTCACACACAACGCGGTGTAAGGGATCGCGTTCAGACGGGTTTTTGGAATCCGAACGCCGCATTCTTCACAGGTACCATAGGAACCTTCTTCAATGCGTTCCAGCGCAATTTCAATCGCGCCCAGAGTGCCTTCTTCGGTTTCCATCAAGCTGAGGGTGAACTCTTGCTCGTAGTTGTCGCTGCCAAGGTCGGCCATATGGATCGGCATGCTCGAATCGCCGGGGCCTTCGGAGCGGTTCTTGTTCAGCGCCGAGTCCGCCATTTGCGTCACATCGCCCCGCAGACGGGCCCGAAGTGCCACCAACCGCTCCTTGTAAACCTTCATCTCAGCTTTCTTCATCACTCGTTCTCCAACAACCACTTGGACGTGGCCCCATGTACTTCCAAGGTGCACAGACCCTCGATTGTAGGTAGGGCTAAAAATCGTGTCAAACCGCCCAACGGGGGTCTCCCTTGCTGAAATCACAACAAGAAAGACCCGCTTAGCTCGCGCGATTTCGCGTGTTTGCTAGCACCGTTTTCGACAATTATTTTGCCTACCTCCATACTAGTCACCCAGCCAATGGGAGGGCAGGAAAATGTCCGAATTATTCACCCGCGGGGGACACCGAATGCCGTAAATCACGCCCACTCTTTTTGGTCTACAACCCCGCGTCGACAGTTGGCTTGAAGAACTCTCCCCCCCCACGTAGACTAAGGTGTCTCTCTAAACACATTCTCGGTTTCGTTCTCCGGAGCACCTAGCCATTTCCGTTGCAACGAAGACCGATGTGGCTTTCCAGCAATGTGTTTCGCCGGCCTGCGGAGCTACGTACGGAATCGACGAAGCCCTGGTCGCCTGTCGGTCGTGCGGTAGCTTGTTGGATGTCACTTACGACTGGCAGCGCGTTGGGCCGCCGGAGTCGCTGAGCTACTTCGAACAGAAGTGGTCGCGCCGCTTCGACCCCGTCTGCTTCAGCGGAATCTGGCGTTTCCACGAACTGCTGCCTTTTGCGCCGCCCGAGCAGTTAGTCACCATTGGCGAAGGCCAAACCCTGCTGCACGCCTCCGATGGTGTGGCCAAATACGTTGGAGTCAACAACGGCGGGCTGTTCTTGCAGTACGAGGGCATGAACCCCTCGGGCAGCTTCAAAGACAACGGCATGGCCGCCGCGTTCACGCACGCCCGTATGGTCGGCGCCTCTCGAGCCGCATGTGCCTCGACCGGCAACACCAGTGCCTCGCTGGCCGTGTACTGCTCGGTCACCAAGCTCATGCGGGCCGTCATCTTCGTCGGCTCAGGCAAAATCTCCTACGGCAAGCTCTCACAGGCCCTCGACTACGGGGCCCTCACCGTTCAAATCGCCGGTGACTTCGACGATGCCATGGATCGCGTGCGGGAAGTCTCCCGCGACCTCGGCATTTACCTGGTGAACAGCGTGAATCCCTTCCGCCTGGAAGGCCAGAAGACCATCATGCTACGGGTGCTCGAGGCCCTCCGCTGGAACCCGCCCGACTGGATCGTCGTCCCCGGCGGCAATCTCGGTAACTCCAGCGCCTTCGGCAAGGCCTTCGCCGAATTGAAGCAACTGGGCCTGATCGACCGCGTCCCCCGCTTGGCCATCATCAACGCCAGTGGAGCCAACACGCTCCACGAACTATACGAAAAACGCGGTCTCCGCTGGAACGACGGTACCCCCGACAATTCGATCACCGACGGGTACTACGACGAACTCGACGCCCAAGCCAGACGGGCCGACACGATCGCCAGTGCCATCGAAATCAATCGCCCCGTAAACCTGGTGAAGGCCCTGCGGGCCCTCGACGTTTGCGACGGTGTGGTTCGCGAGGTTTCCGATCAAGAAATTCTCGACGCCAAAGCCCAAGTCGGTGCCAACGGCCTGGGTTGCGAACCGGCCAGCGCCGCCAGCGTCGCAGGGGCCAAACTCCTGCGAGAAGAAGGCGTCATCGCCCCCAGCGAACGCGTGGTCTGCATCCTCACCGGGCACCAACTCAAAGACCCCAACGCCACCGTCGCCTATCACACGACCGACCAAGAGATGTTCAACAAGGTGCTGGGAAGCCGCGGAGTCAAGCGAGCCTCGTATGCCAATCGGGCCGTGGCCGTCTCGAACGATCTCGAAGAGATCAAACAGGCCATCCGTCTCTACGGGTAGCACCCATCCGCGGTGCTGCATTGCCTCTTCTAACCCCCGACCCCGTGTAGGCCGGTGCCATCTTCTGTTAGATTGTGGGCGCTCGTTTCTTCGCTTCGATCCTCTCTGACACCCACATTCATGCCCGATAACTCAAACAAAATCCGACTCGCCATCAACGGTGCCGCAGGCCGCATGGGGCAACGCCTCGTGGCCTTGGGCTCGGCAAATCCAAAGCTCGAGATCGCAGCCGCGATCGAGTCATCGTCCCATCCTCGTTACGGGCAAGATGCCGGAGTGGTGGCCGGCGTTGGAGAGCTAGGCGTCGCACTGAACGACACGCTGCCTCAGAACATCGACGTAGTGATCGACTTCTCAGTGCCTCAAGGCACCCAGCGCATCGTCGAGATGTGTCTCGCACAGAACACAGCCTTGGTTGTGGCCACTACCGGGCTGGAAGAGTCTCAACAGGCGATGTTGAAATCAGCCTCCGAAAAGATCCCCCTGCTCTGGTCACCCAACACATCGCTGGCAGTGAACCTGGCCATGAAGCTTTCCCGCGTGGCGGCCGAATCGCTGGCCGGACACTCCTCAGGCGTCGATGTCGAAATCATCGAGCGACACCACCGCTTCAAAGAAGACTCTCCCAGCGGCACCGCGCTCAAATTCGGCGAAATCATCGCCGAGGCGATGGGCCAAACCAAACAACAACACGGCCGCCAAGGAAGACCGGGCCAAAGGCCGCAGGATGAAATCGGCTATCACGCGGTCCGCATTGGCGACAACCCCGGCGAGCACACCATCTGCTTCGGCATGCTGGGCGAAACGGTCGAAGTCACCGTCAAAGCCACCAGTCGCGACTGCTACGCCCTGGGGGCGTTGGAAGCTGCCCAATTCCTGCACGGTAAACCCCAAGGCATGTACGCCATGGCCGACGTACTGGGGCTGTAGCACGAGAAGCCCCAGTCGAAACCCTCTACCACTCCGATACACAACCACGAACACCAGCAAACCGAGTTCGCGATGGCCAAATGCGACGAAGGTTATTTGTGCGATGTGTGCGGGAAAGACGTAGGAGCGATCACCGATAGCGACCTCTACCTGCGGTTCGTCATTGGTATGGTCGACGCCGAGAAGCTCCACACCACGCCCGAGCGCCACATCCGCTGCAACCCCGCCCTGGCCCAATTCATCGTCGACCCCCAGTTCAAACCAATCACGGTCGAAGGTCCACTCGACAAACAGTCGCTCGACCCCACGTTCGTCACCGAGCGCGAAACCCTCGTCACCCGCGGTTGGCGCCGCTTGAAAGAAGTCGCCAAGACCCGCCCACCAATCACCGAGTACCCACTGCCAGAAGTGATCGAACGCATGCGGCAAGGTTAACGAGCGGTTGCCCTTTACTTCTGCACCGGCAACGCATGCTCACCGATATCCTCGGCGTACTCTTCCCGCAATTGCAGCAACTCCTCAACCACCTGCGGGTGCTCCTTCGCCACGTTGTGCATCTCGCCGATGTCGTCGTCGAGGTTCACCAGAAAGAGTTGATCATCCTTACCGAGCGGTCCCTTATTGCTGGTGTCCCGCGGGTTGGCAAGCAACTTCCAGGGCCCCTTCCGCACGGCCCAAGAACCACGCGGGCCAGAGCCGAACTGCCAATACCACCGGTCATGCGGCGAAGTCGCGCTGGCCGACTGAATCACCGGCGAAATATCACTCCCGTCTAGCATCCGCTCCGGCAGCGAAACATTGCAGAGACTGGCGATCGTAGGCAGCCAATCGCAGGCGACCACCATCTGATCGCGAACTTCATCTTCAGGAATCACACCCGGCAGAGCCACAATCGAAGGAACCCGCAACCCGCCTTCAAACAAACACTGCTTCGCCCCGCGATAGAGCCCGGCGTTTCCGCCACCGCCAAACGTGCGTTCCTCGGTCGAATGCCCATGATCCGACTGAAAGATGACCAGCGTGTTGTCGCTCAGCCGCAGCTCGTCGAGTTTCCCCAGCACCTGGCCCACGCACTCATCCATGGTCGAGACAAACGCGGCATACATATCGCGAGGCGACTCGAGGTGCTCATACTCCTTACGCCACTTGGCAGTGCCCTGCAGCGGGTAGTGCGGCACGTTGATGGCCCAATATAAGAAGAATGGCCGCTCCCTCTCTTTCTCCAGGAAACGATTGCACTCCTCAACCATCAAGTCCGGAAAGAATTCGCCGTCGGCCCACACCTCGAGTCCGTCGCGCCACAAGTCGTGGCGGTTGGGTCCATTCCAATAGAAGAAGTGCGAGTAGTTATCGATGCAGCCGCCCATGTGACCGAACGACGAATCGAACCCCTGCCCCAGCGGCGTGGTCTGCGGAGTATGCCCCAGGTGCCACTTCCCCACGTGCCCCGTGTCGTACCCGGCATCGTGCAGCATTTCGGCGATGGTCACCTGTTCGCTGGGCAGGTCGGTGCTGTGATCAAACGGCGACACGTTATTCGGCACGCCGGCCCGAGGAGGAAATCTTCCCGTGAGCAACCCCGCGCGAGAAGCCGAACAAATCGGCGCCGGAGCATACATCTGCGTGAACCGCACCCCACGTCGAGCCAACGCATCGGTATGCGGCGTGATCAGATCATCAGAGCCGTAAACGTTCGTGTCGATGCTGCCCTGATCATCGGTGTAAATCAGCAGAACATTCGGCCGCCGAATCTCATCTGCGGCGAGCGTATGTCGACCGTATGCCGCGACGCAAACACACAACAACACCAACAAGCCGTGCCAACGATCGAACATAACCACCTCGACAGCCCACCAAAACAAAACTGTAGGGAACGCCCTCCGTGGCGTTCCGTGCGCAACGGCAGTCCTCGGAACGCCACAGAGGGCGTTCCCTACAGAATATGCTGAATCGCCCGTGTGAAGCGGAGCCCTACAACAGCCCCTTCAGCGCCGCCATCGCCGCATCGTAGTCCGGCTCTTCAGCAACTTCCTTCACCGTTTGAGCGTAGACCACCTTCCCATCGGCGTCCAACACAAACACGGCTCGGGCGTGGATCTTCAGCTCTTCGATCAGGGTGCCCCAATTCGTGGCGAAGTTGCGGTCCTGATAGTCGCTGCCGCTGATCATGTTCTTGATGTCTTCGGCCCCGCAGAAGCGGTTTTGGGCGAACGGCAGGTCGAGGCTCACCGTCAGGGCATTCACCTTGTCGCCCAGCCCGCCGAGGTCTTTATTGAAGTGCTTGGTCTGCAGTTGGCAAACCGAAGTATCGAGCGAAGGCACCACACTAATGATGCTGGGCTTGCCCTTCAGGTCGGCCAGCGTCACCGTGCTCATCTGCCCGTCCGCAAACCGGTGCAGCGTGAAATCGGGCGCGGCGTTGCCAACCTTCACTTCTTCGCCTGCTAGCGTCATGGGGTTGCCTTTGAACGTGACTACTCCTGTGCGTGACATTTCAACTTCCTTCTTTGTGCGGGTGGCATTGGTCGCTTAACGGAAACGCACGCCTCCGGTGCGAGGAACTTGCTGAGCGTCGGAAACACGCTAGCAGGACGCTGCGCATTATTGCCCATTTTCTCCGACTAGCAATGCTTCGCAGATCGGCCTGCGGTGCTTCCGATTTTGTCGAAAGCAGAAACTTGCACAACCACGCAACAAGCGTATGCTGAAAGGCGGTGGGTCGAGATCTAACGGTGAGGCATCCTATTGCGCCTCGCGACCCGCCAGGCATTGTCTGCGAAGGTCATCGAGTTCCTGCCTGCCATGTTATGCCAGGCCTTCTCACGACAAAGCCTCCCTCCCCCATTCGTATTGACGGAGCGATGCCATGGTACAAACTGCCACGACCTGGAAGGCGGATGTGGAACGAGGCCCGGGTTGCCTCTTCGTGCGGCTCGAAACAACGCCCGAACAACTGCCCAGTTGGGACGGGCTAGCCGATCATCTGTGGTCGATACTCGACGAGCAATTCATCTACCGCCTAGTGCTCGACATGCATCAAGTAGAGATGATGAACAGCACGTTAATCGGCCAACTGGTCATGCTGCACAAACGCGTCCACACCCGGGGCGGAATGCTGCGGATGTGTGGTCTCTCGGAAGATAACCAACAAGTGCTGCACGCCATCCGCATGGACGACCGGTTCCCCAACTATGCCGATCGCGAACAAGCCGTGATGGGTCACCGCCCAGCCAGGCCGCGTTAGCATGTGGTGAAACGAACGCGGCGTTATCGCCAGTTGACTTCGAGTTCGTTGTCGACGCCAGCCAGACCCTCGATTTGAAGCAGGGCCTCTTGGGCCATTTGCTTCTGGAAGTACGTGCCGACGACGCCACGCAATGTGACCCGGCCTTCTTTGGTTTCGAAGCGGAGGTTACGGGCCGGAAGGTGGGGGCTGCCCGAGAGGGCGGTCATTACTTGGTCGTCGAAGTTCGGCTCGAACGTGGACATGAAGAGGTTCTCGGTCGTGTGGGGCGTGGCGGTGGCGAACTCGGTAGCGATGCCCTGAAGTCATCGCTTGCGAGGGCTGAAACCCTCGGCTGACAGGAAACTAAATCGGCACTCTAGGCCACCGACGTAAGATGTTCTTCTTACGGGGATTAGAAAACCGCTTGCAGAGCGCCCGGTGATGCGGATCGCACCGGCTGAAATGCGTCAGAATGCCCACACCGAGGCCACATTCCACAGATGAATGCCCAGGGCGACGATCCCCCCCAGCACTAAGCTTCCGGCAAGGCGTAGCCGCCGCTGAAACCGCCGGATTTCCTGCGGCTCCTGCTGCATCGCTCGCAGCCAGTTCACACGGTCGATCACGCGACCATGCTGCCAGGTACGCTTACCAGGGTCGATGCCGTTGAGCATGGCCAAGCGCTCCAGGGCAGATGTATACAATCCCACGGCCGCAGCCAGCCCACCACCGTTGGGCTCAGTGCGCGACGCCGCAGAAAGGGCCAATTGTTGGCACGCAAACCAGTCGGCCTGGCGTTCCAAACGTTGCGAGAACGCCCCGAACACCCACCATCCATATCCAGCGACCACCGCCAACACGCCGGCAGCCACGAGCCACGGCTGGGTGACCATCCCGGGGGGAACCAATACGGCCCAAGCACAAACCGGCAGCAACACCGCCGCCCCCCGCAACAACAAGTGCCGGTGGCGAACGTGCCCCAACTCGTGCAGAAACACAGCCTCGATTTCGACATCAGTCAGATGCCGCACCAGGCGGTCCGTTAGAAACACATGCCTAACGGCGGGCGAGATCCCGGTGACCGCAGCGTTGGCAATCGAGCCGCCAGTGTGCCAAATCAGGATATGCCGTACCTCGATGCCCGCCTGCCGTGCGGCCTTCATCAGCCGATCGCGAAGTGGTCCCGCTGGAAGCGGTTCGGTTTCCCACAAACGCTTCAACAGCAACGGCAATCCGCAGAACATCGCCGCCAGTACCGGGCCATATATCAGCCACGCCCGAGCGTCGTTCTGCCAGGCGGGAGCCAGCAGATCGATCAGGTCTCTGATCGCAATCAGGGCCAACACCGGAGCCAGCAGAACGACCAAATGATCGCGACCCAACTGCCAAACCTCACGGGCCCAACAGAACAGCTGCACAAGAAGGATCGGCCTCCCCAGCCCACGCACCCCGTAGTAGCCCGCGTTCTGCAGAATCGACCAGGCCAGCAACAGCGACCCGAATACCGGTAAGAGAATCAGCAGTTCGTCGAGCAACACCGTTCGCCCCAGGTGCCAGTTCTCACGCACCACCTGACACCAACCCGTGCCCAGTACGATGCCCGCCACCGACGCAAGCCACACCCCATCGAATAACGCCCGCCATCGACGCCAAACGAAACGCTGACTCCCCGGGCGATGTCCCCCACGACGCTCAGCCTCGCTCAAGCGAGTAAGAAATATCGCGTACAGCGGTGCCGCGCTGGCCAGCACCAGCACCAGCAACAATTGAGCGAAGGAGTGTTCCGCAGGGGTCTTGGGAGCCAACTCTGCGGCCACCAAGGCACCCAACAAACCCAACAGTAGTGAGAATTGCATGAGACGAGCAGCTTCCGCAGGAGGAGGAGAAGAAGCAGGAGCTACTATCTATGCTAAATACCTGGGTCCCCGCTCACAACAAATGGGCAGTGCGTAGACGGAGGAATTCCGTCGTAAAGGTGGGATTGTAGGGAGCGACTCCGCCAACTCGTGTAGCTGAAATCGCCCTTCAAACGAGCCCGTGCGATTACATCCCAGGAATGGGGAGATTCGACGTCTGCGAATTGATCGCATCGGCGACCGGTTCGAGCATGATTTCCAGCAGCAAACTCGGTCGGGCTTCGGTCTGCATCGTCTCGACGACCTCTTCCGGTGCCGCTTCCTCTTCGGGAGCCGGCTCTTCGGTGGCTTCCTCAACGGGCGTCTCTTCGACGACCGCCGTCTCTTCCTCAACCACCTCAGGCGCTTCGGTGGTTTCCGTTGGGGCCGGCTCTGCCGGAGGAGCCTCTTCTGCTGGGGCACCACAACCTGCGGTCACGACACTAAGTGCGAGCACACAAAAAAGCCCAATGAACGTTCGCATAACTCTCAACTCCTCTAAGGTGCTCTGCTTCTTAAACCGCAGGGGGTGTCTATTCCAGTTCCAGGCCAATTATCCTACCAGCCACGAAGGGTACTCACCAGCAGCCGGCAAGCGAATGACCTTCGCACTCAGTACGTCCTTGATCGCGAGTGCCTCTTCCAGTGCCTCTTCCGGCGGGAGGTTATCCAGGTTCAGCACGCCGATGGCCTCGCCGCCGGCCTCAACCTCACGCCGCCCGACCGCCATTTGGGCGATGTTCACATTGTGCTTGCCGAAGATCGTCCCGATGTTGCCGATGATGCCCGGCACGTCTTTATGGGTGAACACGAACAGGATGCCGTCGAGATAGGCTTCCAGCCGATGGTCGCCCAATCGCACGAGTCGAGCCAAGCGATTGCCGAACAACGTTCCGCCGGCCTGGTAGCTCTTCGTGTCGGTTTCCACTTCGGTGAGAATCAACGAGTTGAAGTCGCCCCGCTCCGGGCTGGCCTCGGCCACCAGTTCGATACCGCGATCCTGCAGCAGCACCTGAGCGTTGACGATGTTCACCTCTTCGGGCATCGCCTGGCTCAACAAGCCTGCCGCGAACGAAGCCGAAAGCAGCCGTGTGTCTTTGGTGGCCACTTCACCACGGAACATCAACTTGCAGCGCTGAGCCGCACCACGATCCATCTGGCCGTGCAACATCCCCAAACGGAAGGCCACGTCGAGATAACCTCGCAGCTCCGACAAGGTCTTGGGGTCCAACGGGCTCGAGTTGACCGCATGCTTAATGGCCCCCGTGGTCAGGAAGTCGACCAGCAGATGCGCGCCTTCGACGGCCACATTGGTTTGGGCTTCGCTTGTGCTCGCACCTAAGTGCGGCGTGCACACCACGCCGGGCATGCCGAACAACGGGTTATCCGTGCAAGGCTCCTCGGGATACACGTCCAAGGCCACACCGGCCAGCTTGCCGCTCTTCAGTCCGGCAACCAGGGCCGCCTCGTCGTAGATCCCACCGCGGGCACAATTCACCAATCGTGCCCCGGGACGCATCATCTCGATCTCGGCCTCGCTGATCAGGTTCCGCGTTTCGTCCGTCAGCGGAGTATGCACGGTGAGATAATCCACCTGCGGCAGCAGTTCCTTCACCGACCCCACGGTTTCAATCCCGAACTGCGCGGCCCGTTCCGAAGACATGAACGGATCGTAACCCAGGATCTTCATATCGAATGCTTTGGCTCTCGCGGCCACGGCCTGACCAATCCGCCCCAGCCCAATCACGCCAAGCGTCTTGTCGGCCAGTTGAGCCCCCATGAACTTGCCACGGTCCCAGCGACCCTCGACCAAGCTTTGATAAGCCGGGGCAATATTGCGGGCCATCGCGAGCATCAGCGACATGGTAAGTTCGGCCGTGCTCAGCGTGTTGCCCGAGGGGGTGTTCATCACCACGATACCCTGTCGGGTGGACGACTCTTTATCAATGTTGTCGGTCCCCACGCCGGCGCGAACCAGAGCCTTCAGTCGGCGATTTCCAGCCAGCGACTCGGGGGTGATCTTCACGCCACTCCGCAGAATCGCACCGTCGAACTCCATCAACGCGTCATGAAGTTCTTCGCCGGCCAGGCCGGTTTTCACTTCGTATTCGATGTCGGGCGCGGCATCCAGAACGTCGAGCCCATCCTGAGAAAGCTTGTCGAGAACAATCACGCGGTACATCGTTCGCACCGTAAGCAAAGGAGAATGAAACTAGCCACCGAACCCACTTGGCGGCGGAAGACAGAGGTCTCGACCCCGCGACACCCCACGCATCAATTCACGTCGAACCCAAGGCCAAAGGCGGCCGCGACGCGATGTTTTCGCCGGTGGGCAAGCCAACGATTGTAACGATGGCCCCACGCGATGGCGATGGGGCGCGCCCGTCAAATCGACGTGGAATCTCGCCGAATCGCGAAAAAACCGGCCCAAAGAGCCGGTTCTGCGTCAGAATGCCTCAGCCAGCAGAGAAGAAAGCCGGGCTATCGAGTAGTCCCCAGAAGATGGACGGGATCAGCCACCGGACGAGCGGGCGATTCGCTTCCCCCGTCGAGACGCGCAACAGAAATGCCCGACGAGCCGAGCAAGTCTTTGCGTTACCGCGGGGGCATCGCGTTTCGAGTGACCATACGAGTATCACCACCAGGACCGGTGAGCATCGACGGCGAGAGGGCTGTCTGCAAAGCAACAACGCGAGCCTTCACCTCGTCTTGCATGCCGTTGGCATTCAGCGATCGCTGATAGTCGGCCAGGGCTTGCTGGTGTTCCCCCAACCCTTCGCGGATGCGCCCCAAGGCGGCTAACACGGTCGCGTTCTGAGGGTCGGTATGCAAGGCTTCGACCAGTTGCCGCTTCGCCTCTTCGCTGTCGCCATACTCTTCGTACAGGCGGGCGAGTTCGATCCTCGGGTCGGGCATCGAAGGAGCATGATCGACCCAACCTTCGAGCAACGCAAAGGCTTCATCCGATCGCCCACGTTCCGACATCAACACGGCCAGGCCGCGATAACACTCGCGATGGTTCGGGTGGCGATCCAGGCACTGGTTGTAATACTGTTCAGCCTGATCCATCAGTGCTTCGTCTTGATTCAACTTGCCCATCTGATGATAGGTGGCCGCGATGTTGTAATAAGCATCGGGCGCGTCCGGCGCGTTGTACAAAGCCTGTTGGAATCGCTTCTGTGCCGCGTCGTAGTAGCCCTGTTGATAGAGTCGCACGCCGTCGGCGTTTTCCATTTGGGCAACCGTTCCACAACCGGTGGTAGTCGCCGCCACGGCCGATGCCGCAACTACGGCGCACCAGTTGCGCAACTGAATGGAGTAGCAACGGCATGAAGTCTTAGACGAAGACACGGCAAGTCTCCTGTATCTTTTCAACCGAACCTCAGTCGCAGAGTTTGCCTTCGAACGCGGTTGGTTGGTTCTCAGGTTCTTTGCGAGCGGCTCGTCATGGTGCGTTGTGGCTTCCGAAGAAAACCACTCCGGCACATGCAGCCCCTTGGTCTGTTATTACTCGAGCCTTTGAAGTTCCTCGCGGAAGTTTGCAGGTCGAGCGATCCGACGAACGCGGAAAAATTGAACGGACGAATGACGGGAGTGCGAGAGGTTAGTGAGGGGGGGAACTCACCGCAAGATCAGAATGGCAAGATTCTCGCGCCGGCATGCTATCAAAAAAAACCGGGACCCGGCGCAGCCCCTGAGGCGCCGAGTCCCGTATCGATGGTCAGTCTGGCAGCCGCTCCCCCCTGACGGGAGACTAGCACATCTCCACCCATAAAGCCTCAAACTAAATCGTTTCTCCGACAGAACTCTCCGTAAGGCTCGCATCGCCCTCCAACGGAGCCGGCGAACTCTCAGCAGCCGAAGCATCTTGCTTCACGTAGCCCAGGTCGCGAACCACTTCGAGGATTTCGCTGCAGGTAGGGAACATGCGGCCACTAGTCCGCTTGTAGAGATCCATCGCTCGCATGAATTCCACTTCGTCGTCCGTGTAATCACGTTCGCAGGTCGTGGGGTCGATCTGTCGCCGGCGAGGCGTCTTCTTGCGTCGCTCGCCTTGGCGTTGGTCTTCGGCAACGGCCGTGTTGCTGGTGCGGCGCGACTTCTGACGTTGATCCTTCTTGGTGCGACGGTCCATCTTCACTTCGTCACTCAATTTCTTGGCCTTGGGCACGGGGCTCCCCCTCATCTGGTCAAGTGTGATTTCTCGTGGGTCGTAGCACTTAGCATGCTCTGGTAGCGTCCACGCAAAAAACCATCGACTTTCCGGCTAGAGAGAATACACAAACTAGGAAAAACAATTGCCTTTCGTGAATCTCTCGGATTGCGCAAAGTTTTCTATTGAACAGCCCAGTCCGCCTGTGCGGCCTCCAGAGGGGAAAAATGGCCGTACAACCTGCACGGCATGAAAATGCCGAGCCGCGCAGGGGTGGGGAGACGAATGCCGGGCACGGAACCGCCCCTTACCGTGGGGCAGAAAGAGAGAAGTCGCACTTCTCAACGTGAGTTGGGCCAGAAATCCCCATAGAGAAGGCCGAGAGAACGAAACCGTAACCCGCGTCGACTAACGCGCTGCCCCGGCGATTTCTTCCTGGCTTTCGTCCTCGGCGTCATCCATCGTGAAGGTAACACCGTAGGCGATGCCCGCGTCTTCAAACCGCACGGCGGCCAGCAAGTGGTCGGCCAGGGCGATCACTCCATTGAGTTGCTCCAGACTGCGACGGGCAGCATCCTCATCGAGACGCCGGGTTTGTACCACCGCACTCAGCACGGCATCACCGTTGTTTTCGATCACTTCCCGCATTCGCTGGCAATCGATGTAAATCACCTGGCTAGGCCGTTCCAGTCCGGCGGCCATCGCCTTGCGGAAACGATCGCACTGCCCCAGCGAATCTTCCGGCTTCACGCGGAGACTGTTCACTACGGCATCCCGCGACGTGCCTAACATCACGAAATCTTCAACCGCCGCCACCGTGGCCACCACGTACTCAGGCCACAACTTCACGCCTTCCAGCGAGGTGACATCAACACCGTCAACCTTGGTCGTGGTTACGCGGACCTCGTCGGGGTCCTGACCCTGTTCTTTCAAGAAGCCGGCGGCCAGATTCATGAACGTCTTCAACCCGTTCTGCAGAGCCTCGCTCACACTCGGCCCATTCCGACCGGGAATCGAACGCGTCTGCACCCCGGCAACCCAGGCAGGGGCGACTTTCACGTCGGACTCCGGCGTATCCTGAGGAACCAGATAAACGCCGAACTGCGGTCCCAAGGCCGGCAATACCTCATCGAACAGATCAAGCCCAAGGAACATCCCCCGCGTGAGATTCCGCACGGCGTCCAGGTCACCCTCTTCAGCATCGGGATCTTCAGCCAACATCCCTTTGACCAGCGCTGAAAAGTCAACATTCCCCGAAGCAGCCAAAATCGCCTCGCGGGGCACACGATCCAAAAATGTCGAATCGCCTTGCAGGCTGGCCAGCACTTGCTTCTCTGAGCTTTCGAGCAGCTCTTGGTCGACATGCAGATAACCGCTCAGGCGAACCTCTTCCCCGAGCTGAACTCCGGTGATCGAGTAATCCGAAGCCTGCCATACCGCATTGAGCAAATGCCGCAACTCGTGGCCGGGTGGAGCCAGACCCTCGTCCACAAACTCGCTAAGCAGCTCTTGCGAGTTCCACTGCTTCGGGCTGGTGAACACCGTAATCGTAGATTCCCGCGGCACTCGCTCTCGCGCTTGGCGGAACAGTTCCAGCGAATCGATACCCTCAACATCGTCGGCTTCGCCGGAATACAACTCCAACACGCTGAGCATCACCGACTCAGAATTGGTCAGAATGCCGAGGTTGCCCAGGGCCGTCATGTAAACGTATTTCTGCTCGTCCCCCTCACCGGTTCTTCGCATGCGATAAGTCGATCCGGCGTGAACCAGTTTCGGCGGAGCCTCGCCTTCGGCATACATCCCCGCAGACAGCAGATCGATCGTGCGGCTCAGCAGATCAGCATCTTTCACTTTCAGCAGAACCAGGCCAGGGCTATCGTCAATCGACCCACCGTCGGCCGCAGGCCAGGCACCCAATACGACTTCTTGCCCGAAGATCTTCTTCAGAAAGCTCTCGGTCGTCTCTCCTAGGTGATTGGCGATGCGATCGAGAATGAGCTTGAAGGGCTTGGAATACTCGCCCGTGAACTCGGCAACCGGCGGGAAGTTTTCTAAACGGCGAAAGAACTGCCCCGACTGGAACTGCTCGCCATGCTCGGCCAGGTTGTCCAGCTCGATGCAAAGCCCAGCATCGGAAGGAACCAGCGAGACCAGCGACTCGGGGGCCTCAGCCTTAACCGACGAAGCGGCGAAGAACACCACCAGAACGAATGCGGCAATCAGCTTGCCCCAGCAACCCGCCAACGCTGCTTTGCTCGACCGCATCATGCCGCCCTTCAGGAGGATAGAGGTGATTCGTTCGCGGGCGCGTCGCGCCACGGTTTCTATTCAGATTGAGCCAAGCTGAAGTTGCCCGTAGTACCAATACACCGAGCCTAGCTCAAGCTCATGTTCGACGCATCCACGAAACGATCATCACATGGCTTCGATCACACCACCATAAGGGGCTGAACGCCCAAGCAAGCCCGGGCCGGCGATAGACGCTCGACCCGCCCGATGGCGATCGGCCGAAGCCCTTAAGAGTTCGGTCGACGATCGGTTTCTTCGAGCACATCCAGAAGGAACCCAAACGACCCCACAACCGACTCGGTAATCTCGTCCAATCCGTCTCGTGATCTTTCGGCAGGAGCCTCATCGCCCGCGGCTTCGCTGGAAGCCACTTCAGTGGCCGCCTCACGATCCGCATTCGATTCGGCGGAAGATGGCTGCGCGGAACCCCCGGTAAGCAGGCTGGGGATCTGATCGACATTGCGTCGTGTGTCTTTGATTAGCTTCACCACCATCTGGTGGTCTAAATCCACCGGGTCGGCCATGGCCACTTCGACTTCAGAGGGAGCCGCTTGCTCGACCGCAACATTGCCCTCGGGGGCACCTGGAAGGATGAACGCCGCCACCAGCAACGCCGCCGCCGTGGCAACCAGTGCCGCTGCGTACAACACGTAATGCGGGGTGGAGCCAACCTTCTCTCGCTTGAGTTCGGCTAACACGCGCTCCGACATCTTGCTGTCGACCGCGGGAACCGTCAGCCCACGAACTCCCTCAAGGAACTCGGCCGTTGCAGTAAGCATTTCGGCGCACGAACCGCACTGACGGGCATGCTCGACCAATGCCGGATCGGCCTCGGGCAACTTGCGATCGTCAAGAACCGCGTTGAGCTGAACTTCAAATTCATTGCACTTCATGATGGTTCCTCTTGCACCACACCACGCGACCGCAGGTGCTGAGCCATCTCGCGACGGGCCCGAAACACCCAGGTCTTCACTGTGCCCACGGGGCAGTCCAATACTTCGCTAATTTCCACATAACTCAAATGCTGTTCGTGAAACAGCAAGAAGGCTTGGCGATACTCCTCACGCAAGTGCGTGAGCGCCAAAGCAACTTCTTCCGCTATGTTTCGCGCTGCCTGAGGATCGGCCCGACCGTCTGACGGTTCGTCGACCAATTCTTGCCCCCGGGGGCGGCGCACACGTTGGGCGAGCAAGCTGCGACACCGATTGCCGGCGATGGCCAGAAGCCAGGGCCGAAAATCTCGCTCCGGATCCCAGCGGTGGAGGTTCTTGAACACACGCACGAACGTCTCTTGCGTGATGTCCTCAGCATCCTCCCGCTGCCTAAGCATCCGGAAGCAGAGGCCAAATACTTGCCCACTGAAACGATCGACCAACTCGACCATGGCCGGTTCATCCCCGGCCAGGCAGCGTTCCACCAGATCGCGGACTTCTTCCGCCACTGGGCTGACTCCCGATAGTCAGAGCAGTGCGATCGTCTATAGACCAGTACCCCTGGGGTACGGACACGGTTTCACCGCGAACACACTGACTGATGGTTGATCGTGGGGCTACGGTACCGCGGGTACGCAGCCGGTTCGTAAGACACGAAACTACAGGCACTTATGACCCCAGCCAGAGCCCTCTGGCAGGTGGCCTACTCGCCTGTGGCCTCGTAGAAAATATCCCGAAGCTCTTTGCCCGAAACCTCTTCCAGCCCCTTTCCGCGGCGCTCCAGCGATTCGTTGACCTTAATCACCGTTTCCTGCATCACCGAGTGCGTCTCGTCCGATCCGCCATACAACACAAAGTTGTCACCCCGCGTAAGGCGGGTGTGGCCGTCGGTGCCGTCCAATCCCAGGCCGAGCAGTGCGGCACGGGCTTGCTTGTTACGTGATGCTTTCAACGGTTCGTCCTCGTCAGAATCGCCAAAAACTACCCAGCTCGGAAAAGACCCGAATTTCGCCCAGGCCACTGCACTATAGGCCCGCGACATCCTAGGGGTCAACAATGGCACAGTTGCCCTGTCGCAGCAACTTCTCTGCAATCCAGGGTGTGCACCGCATACGGCCGAAAGAACCAACTACCGCCGGTTGAACAACTTCCGCAGCGTGTCGGCCGCAGCCGAACCGCTGTCACCCATCCCACTCTTCGGCAGCGGCGGCAATTTACCGGGAGTTTTCTTCTTCTCCGGCTCCTGATCCCGTTTCATTTCCCGTGTGGGCTGATCGGGGGAGACATTCTTCGGCTTCGAATCGCCAGGGGCACCCATCAGGGTTTGACCAAGATTGATCTCTTCGGTTCCGGCATCGTGGATGGTCTGCGTTTCGTCCGTGCTGTAAGGGGCCGGAGTCGTCTTCGTCGGCGGCTGGGTTTCGCCACCATCGTCGATCCACTCCGAGATATCGACGTCGTCCGCTTCCGAGAGCCCCTCGGCACTGCGGGCGGCGGCCTCTTTGATGCTCTGCACCTTGGGACGCTTCTTTTTCGCCTCGGCAGCCTGGGCAATCTGCACGTCGAATTCCAACGGGCCGATCTTGAGATGGCAGCCGTTGGTCAGTTCACGCTCACCCACCACCCGTTCGTTATCGACGAGGGTGCCGTTCTTACTGCCGAAATCGCGGACCGAAACAAAGTCGTCTTCGACAAGAACCACACAGTGGTGGCGGCTTACTAAGTCGCTGTTGGGCCGCAGATGGCAATCGTCGGCACGTCCGACAATGAATTTGGGCCCCGGCAGGCGAATCTCTCGCCCTGCATTGACGCCCCCACGAACGATCAATTTCACACTAACCATATATTTTCGCCTCGAATGGCACTGCGACGCAGCTCGTTAGACCGAGCGCTGATAAGACAAGCGCCGCATCGTCGAATTCTTGCATCACACCCAACCACCGCGACGCTACCCCACCTCGGGGGCAACCGCTTTGAGCATAATGCTATTGTCCCCTACTCCTCACATCGGGCAGTTGCCCACTCTCTCCATACGAAATTAGGACCAAATAAAATCGACGAGCGAAAATAATAGATAGATGATATAGGCGGCCATCATACTCGCCGCCGGAAGCTATTAAAGGTATTTCTCAATAAAAATGTATCGTCGCCCTGTCCTCAACCCCACATCCTCGGGGTCGGGCTGGCATCCTTACGTAACTGTAAGAACTTGACAGTTGGTTGGGGACAGCGACCGAACGGTGCTCGTCAATGATAATGTTCCAACCACCCGAACAATCGACTTCCAGGTGACCCCCACCAAGGCCGCGAGCAATGCACCACACGGCCCAAGCCAGAATGCACAGGTATCTTATCGCCGTGTCGAGCCTGGGTCAAAGAAAATGAACGCTAAACGTCCCCACAACAATCACTTACGAGCGTTCCACGCATCCTGGCCATACCGCGATTCCACAAGCTGGTTGGCCGCATCGATTTCCGCCTTGTTATAGGCCTCGGCCTCGAAGCTCACCCCCAGCCGCTCGGCGATCCGTGGGATCCATGCATCGATCAACTCCTGCGGATCGATCGCCCTGCCCGTAAGCTCTGCAATGCCCGGCAACTCGGGCGCGGCTGGCGACGCATGCAATAACACACTTCCATGCTGCAGAATGGCTGCATCGGGGCGGCGTTGGGCCGAGCCGCCAATCTTTGTCCCACGCACCAACACGTCACCTTTAGCCCGTCGCTGGAAGCAGAGGAACGGTTCATCCTCCGGACTTACGCCAGAGTCTTCCTCGCTAAGCTCCGCCTGCACCGAAAGGTCGTCCAGCGCGGCAAGCAACGATCCGTGAATCGCCCGATAGAGCGTCATCGCGTCGGCCGCCAAAGCATGCCCCCGCGGAACGCAAAAACTGTAGGTCAACTCAGCGTCGTGAACAATCGCCCCGCCGCCAGTCGGACGTCGCACCACAAGGCAGTTGGCCACCGTGGTGTGCGCCTGCTTCTGAGCCAAGGGCTGAAAGTAACCCAGCGAAACCGTCGGTGTGGCCCAGCGATAAAACCGCAAACAAGGTTCACCCCGCTCGGCACTGGTGCCCAACAGCACCTCGTCCACGGCCATGTTCCACGCCCCATCGCAGGCTTCATCCACAATCAATCGGCAGCGATGCAATGCCTCAGCGTTGCGTTCAAGTTCGTTGGCAGAATCTGCATTCATCACAGTAGCCTTCCCACAGGTGAGGATGTTCCCCAGACGTCATTGATCGATATCAAGACTCATCACCATTACGAAGCGCAACCAGAACCCTTGGAACATGAACCTCCACCCAGGCTTTGGCATCGGGCTCAGTGCGAATCGCCTCGAGCTTCGGAATCGCCTCCGTAGCCCCCGGCATAAACTCGAGCGAATTGACCGCCATCCAACGCCGATCCCAATAACCTTCCAGCAAGCCATGGTTCATCGCCCCCGGAGGCTCCAACCACTTCATAACAAACGCTAGGTATGCTGCCTTATTGTCTCCATCCGCAAGCCGATAAAGTGCGGCAGCCGTGGCTATTTTCTCGTCGACCTCTGGATACGACCCATCGGCAGTTGGTGGAACATTCAGGGAACAGAGCGAATTGAAATGCTCACTCAAGTGGGCAAGAGCTTCCTCACTCCTGAACTCAACCCGATTCAGTGCGTCGATAATATACATCCGCACTAGGTTATCCGGTTCTTCTCTCAATCTCGACAGCAGGTGCGGACCAGTGTCTTTCGCACGAGTACCAAGCTCCCCGATCACATAGGCTGCCCGCATTCGAATAGAGTGCTCGGGGGCCTCCAGTGCACGGAGTAGAGGTGCGCTGGCAGTTTGAAAATGCTCATCGAAGAAGCGAATTTGTTCTTGATCAGGCAAATACATGCCCATCTCGCCCCATGAATCGATGTAGTCGGCAGCATCACGAGTACCGGATGCCCCCTGGCCGCACCCGCATACCGCAAATGCGATTCCTATGATGCAGAAGAATCCCAACCGGCGCTCGAAGAAAAGCACAAGACAGTCTCCTTTCTAAAGCCGCATAGCGGTGCTTTCGAGGCCGACAGTGGTCAGAAAAGCCAGAGAGTCAGGATAAGCAGGGTGGGTCAGCAGCTGTTCTCCCAGAGATTGCAGCCCCCACCTCTAACTAGTTTCCGGCGTCCACTTCAACACCGTATTCCGCGCCGCTTGAACTTCATCCGGCCGGCTGATGGGTGTTGAATGTGGGGCCTCGTGCAGCACCTCGGGCGACTCTTCGGTAATGCGGAACAGAATCTCGGAGAACGCGTCCAGCGTTTCCTTACTCTCCGTCTCGGTCGGTTCGATCATCATCGCTTCGCGGACGACCAAGGGAAAGTAAACCGTCGGCGCGTGTACGCCGTAATCGAGCAATCGCTTGCCAATGTCCATCGCCGAAATATTGCTCTCGCTCTTCAGCTTGGCCGCAGAAGCCACGAACTCGTGCATACAACGATCGCCATGGGGCACCGGCAAAATGTGTTTCACCCGGCTCAACAGGTAGTTGGCATTCAGCACGGCATTCTCAGACACCTCACGCAGCCCCTTGGGACCGTGCGTGACGAGATAGGCATAAGCCCTTACGAGAACACCCACGTTGCCAAAGAAACTTCGCACGCGACCAATCGAGTAGGGCCGATCGTACTCTAGGAAATACCCCTCATCGTTCTTGCCCACCACCGGCGTCGGCAAAAACGGAGCCAGGAAATCGCGGACTGCAATCGGGCCTGCACCAGGACCACCGCCACCGTGCGGACCGCTGAAGGTCTTATGGGGGTTGTAATGCATCATATCGGCGCCAAAGTCGCCAGGACGCGTGATGCCCATGATGGCGTTCATGTTGGCACCGTCGAGATAGATCAGCCCACCGGCCGCATGCACCTTCTCAGCAATCTCGACAATCTGCCGATCGAACAGCCCCAGTGTATTGGGGTTTGTGATCATCAGCACGGCCACCTGGTCGTCGAGCTTCGCATCAAGATCGGCCATGTCCACCGTGCCGGCCGAGGTGCTCTTAATCGTCACGGCCTTCATCCCGGCAAGCGTGGCACTCGCCGGGTTCGTCCCATGTGCACTGTCGGGCACCAGCACCTTCGTCCGCTCTTGGCCAAGGTCGCGGAAGTAAGCGGCCGCTACCATCAACGCGGTCAACTCGCCATGAGCCCCCGCGGCAGGCTGCAACGACACGGCGTGCAACCCCGAAATCTCAGCCAGCATGTCTTGCAACTCGTACAACAACTGCAGCAAACCTTGCAGCGATGCTTCGCTTTGGTAGGGGTGCAACGCGGCCATCCCCGAGAGCGACGCCAGCCGCTCATTCCGCTTGGGGTTGTACTTCATCGTACAAGAACCCAAGGGATAGAAGTGCGTATCGACCGACATGTTCTGTGTCGAAAGGTTCGTGTAATGCCGCACCACATCCGGCTCGGCCAACTCCGGCAACTTGGGTAGCTCCTCCGCGACCGCTCCCTCGGGCAAGAGCGCGTCGAGCGGTTCCTCGGGCACATCGATGGCCGGCATCTGCGAGCCACGACGACCGGGGGCCGAAAGTTCAAACAGCAATTGAGTCGCTCGTGTGTTACGCATGGACGGTCGACACCTCTCCCTTAGCCCGCGACAGACAAGCCGCAAGTTGATCGATTTCCCCTTGGGTCCGCTTCTCGGTCACGGCCACCAAGAAACAGTCGGCCAGTTCCGGATACCACCGCCCCAGCGGAACCCCGGCCGCGAACCCTGCTTGTTCGGCTTCGGCCAGCAATTGATCGACCTGACCGTCGGGATCGCGAACCACAAACTCCTTGAACACCGGTCGGTCGAACGCCGCCGTCAGATTACCTGCCGCGGTGAGTTGACCACGGGCGTAGTTGGCCTTCTGCAAACAATGCGTCGCCATCTCACGCATCCCTTGCGGACCCATCAGCGCCAGATAGATCGACGCCCTCAGCGCCAGCAGACCTTGATTCGTGCAGATGTTGCTAGTGGCCTTCTCGCGGCGAATGTGTTGCTCGCGGGTTTGCAGTGTCAGCACCCAGCAGCGTTTCCCTCGCCGGTCGACCGTTTGCCCGGCCAAACGCCCCGGCATCTTTCGCACCAACGCTTCGCGACAAGCCAGAATTCCCAGATACGGCCCGCCATAAGCCATCGGGTTCCCCAGCGATTGCCCTTCGGCCACCACAATGTCGGCCCCGTATTGCCCGGGCCGTTTCAACAGGCCCAAGCTCATCGGGTCAACCACCACGACCAACAGCGCCCCCACGTTGTGGGCCGCCTCGGCCAGTTGCTCGACTTCTTCCAAACAGCCGAAAAAGTTCGGGTGCTGCACCAACACACAGGCCGTTTTGTCGTCGAGTTGCGCGGCCACTTCGTCGACGTTCGCCGCACCGGTGGGCGTATCGACCGTCACCAGTTCCACACCCAGGTTGGTCACGTACGTTTTCAGAATCTCCCGATACTCAGGATGCACGCTGCTGGTCGTCACCACCCGGCCTTCGCGACGCGTGGCGGCCATGCTCATGAACACGGCCTCAACGGCACCACTGCCACCGTCGTACAGGCTGGCGTTGGCCACATCCATCTCGGTCAATTCCGAGATCAAGGTTTGATACTCGAACAACGCCTGCAGGTTGCCCTGGCTCGCCTCGGGCTGATACGGAGTATACGAGGTGTAGAACTCTCCGCGGGCAGCCAGGTTATCGACCACCGCCGGGATGAAGTGGTCGTAACTCCCGCCACCCAGGAAGCACACCTGTTGATCGGCCGAAACATTCTTCGCCGCCAGCGCGGTCATATGCCGGGTAAGTTCGATCTCGGTCATCGCCGGCGGCAAGTCCAAGTCGCGGTTCAACCGCAAGTCGGCAGGCACCATGTCGAACAGTTCGTCGACCGACGACACACCGATGGCCTTGAGCATGGCCTTCTGGTTGTCGGGGGTGTTGAGTATGAAAGGCATCGTGAATTCCTAGGGAAATGCGATCGAAGCCAAGCGACCGCTGCTGGCATGTGCGAATGATCGCTTCAAACGAACCACAGGGAATCAGAACTTCCGGTTTCCCTCGCCGCCGTTCGTCAGCAACCTCAATGATCCTCTTCAGCACACTGCTTTTGATAGGCAGCGTAGTCGGCCAGTTGGGCCAGCGAAGCCTCGTCGCTGACTTTGATTTTGGCCACCCAACCTTCGCCGAACGGATCGTCGGAAAGCTTCTGTAGATTATCCGGCAAGCCTTCGTTTACGGCCACCACTTCGCCCGTTACGGGGGCGTAAATGTCGCTAACCGCTTTGACCGATTCAATTTCGCCAAACGAATCACCGGCGGTCACTTGACGACCCACCTCGGGCAGTTCCATGAACACCAAGTCGGTCAGCGCTTCGACGGCGAAGGCCGAAATGCCCACCGTGGCTACTTTAGCGCCACTCTCGTCGTTGTCTACCTTCACCCACTCGTGAGTGGTTGCATACAGAAGTTCTTCAGGATTCACGACGCAGGCTTCCTTTCTGATTCGCGGCGATAAAAAGGGAGAGGAACGACGCGTGCCGGAACCCGGCGACCGCGAATATCAATTTCAAGTGATGAGCCATCGCTCGCATGTTCGGGCACGACATACCCCATGGCGATGGTCTTCTCGAGCGTGGGGGCGAATGTACCGCTGGTCACCGTGCCCACCGAGGTATCGCCGGCAAAGATTTCGGCCCCCTCGCGAGCGATCCGCTGCGAGTCCAACTCCAACCCCACGCGTACCGGCAAATCGGTCCGCTGCGAGGCCTCAATCAACGCGGCCCTACCGGGATAGTCCCGCTTCTCCAAATCCACGCCGAACTGCAAACCGGCCTGAAACGGGTTGATCGTCTCGCTCAGCTCATGCCCGTACAGCGGCATCCCCGCTTCGAACCGCAACGTGTCGCGGCTGCCCAATCCACAAGGAACCACGCCCCGATCCTTGCCCGCGGCCAGCAGTTGTTCCCACAGTCCGGTGGCAGCCCCGGCAGCCAGAATGATTTCAAAACCCAGCTCACCCGTGTAGCCCGTGCGGCTTACCTTGCCTTCGTGCCCGGCGATGGTCGTCTCGGTGATGGTGTAATACCGCATCGCGTCCAAGTCGGTATCGGTCAGCGGGGCCAGCAGCTCTGGCGAGAGCGGCCCCTGCAGCGCGATCATCGCCCAATCGTGCGTCGCATCGTTGAACGTAACGTCGCCCTCGAACTTGGCCAGATGCTGCCCGATCCAATCGTCGATCTTCTCGCGATTGCCCGCATTGACGACCATCATCCGGTACGAAACACCTTCGCCATCGACCAGGTGATACACGAGCACATCGTCGAGGATCCCCCCCTGCTCGTTGGTCACCATCGCATAACGCGCCTGGCCCGGCTTCAAGTTGTCGGTCCGCCGAGTCACAATCGAATCGACGAACGCGGCGGAATCGGTTCCTTCGAAGTGCAGGCGGCCCATGTGCGAGATATCGAACAGCCCGGCGGCCCCTCGGGTGGCGTGGTGCTCGTCGACAATCGACGTGTATTGCACAGGCATCGACCAGCCGCCGAAGTCGACCATTCGCCCACCATGCTCGCGGTGCCACGCGTTGAGTGGGGTTTCGGCTAACGTGCTGCTCATCGAATGCCGCCTAAAAAACGCCGCCAAATTGGAAAAGTCGCCGTCGGAATCGAGCCGTCGCGGCCAACAACCTGGGAAATGAAGGATTCTTCAGCGGTCGAGGGCAGCCTACCGCAGTGAAACAGAGCTGTATTGTAGTGTTCGCCTGCCGAACTTCTAGGGGCGAGGCAGTCCCCCCCAGATCGGCTGAATGCCCTCTGAATGCGGGATCTACCTACCCAGAGTGTGCGAACAAGGTTATTCCTCATCCAACTCGTTGTAGGCGATGTCGAACACCTCAGGAGCGAAGAACGTTCGCGGAGTGATGCTCGGCACCTCCTGTAGGATTCCCGCTTCCACTAATCTCTGAACATCAGCTCTTGCTGTCGGATAAGTGATGTTCAATTTACCCGGCAAGTCCGCCACCCGAACATAGGGCGAATAGAAAAGATTCTCGACAATCTGATTCAATCTCACAGAGCCGCCTACTTCGGCAACTCGGCGCATAAAGTCTTCGCGGACTGCCCTTAGACGCTCACAGCGATCGATGGTATCCCGAACTTGTTCGATTGTGCCACGAATGCAGAACTCAACCCATTCTCGCCAATTGGCATGGGTGCTTATTCGGAAGAGACCTTGAATGTATTCATCGCGGTTCTTGTCAAAGTACTCGCTCATATACAGCCAAGGTTTCGACAGTCCGCAGCGTTGCTGCAACATGAGCGCCAGAAGCAAGCGCCCTACGCGACCATTGCCGTCCATAAACGGATGGATCGTCTCGAACTGGTAGTGAACACAAAAGCAATCGACGAGGGGGTCGAATCTCGACGATGCGGTATGCAGGTATTTTTCGAATGCATCGATACATTCCGGGAGTCGCTCGGGAGGCGGCGGTACAAAGCGAGCCGTTGAGCCGATGGCAACTTGGACCTTGCGAAACTCGCCCGGCGCACGTTCCTTACCACGGACACCCTCGAGTAATATCCGATGCATATCCCTGAGCAGTCGAGCCGATAATGGCAGTTCCGATTCGACACCGTAGAATAGCGCCCGACGGTAGTTTAAGACTTCTCGCTGGTCGTTGATGGGGTCCGCCTCGGAAGTCGACTCTTTGGGTGCGAGGTCGAAGAGAAGCAATTCCCTCGCGGTGGCATAGGTACCCTCTAAACGCGATGAGCGAATTGCTTCCCGGTCTGCCAGGGGTCGTAACAGGATTCCGGGATAGGGAAGATTGCGTCCCAGACCTTCGAGGATTCCCAACTGCTGCTTTGCCTCTGCCAGAATTGGCCACAGATCACTGGGGAAGGTCCATTCCGGAGGAAGCGAATCGGGTATAAACGCAACTTCCCCTTGAGCGATCTGAGCTATCTTCCCCGGAGCATTGGGTTGAAAGATAGATGGATCCATGGGGCCTCGACCTGGTTTTCTGGCACGAAACCGAAGACGCCGGCAGGTTGTTTAAAATTATATCGCAAAAAATTTAATGCAAGGCCCTCTTATAAAGCCCGCTCACGAACACTAGCCATAAGTGATTATCTAGAATCAACTTGTGCATTAAAACCTGCACTCAAAGTAGCGTGAGTGCTCCCACGCACGAAAACCCTCAGGCCGCGCCACTGATCGACACCAATAACGCCCGCACAACGGTAAGTCCTTCAATCCAAGCCCCTTGCGCAGATGATTCCCCTCACTGCTCAACTGTCGGGGGCTTCAACTTGCGTGGCATTTCAGATCACCGAGAAAAGCGATCCGCCCGAGATCACTGTGAACTGTCAACTAGGACAGAACGACCGGAGCAATGCGAGACCCGCAGATCAATAATCCCTCTTTGGCCAGCCCTCACCCATCAACTTTCAACGTCCGCTACCATCGACAGGTTCGGCGCAGAGCGTTGTCCCAGACGTGGTGGTTCCCGCAGATTGCCGCCCACGCTCACGCGTCGCTTGCGCCCAGGACGATATCCGTTGCAGGAGAAAACAACGGAGAAGGATGCCACTTCGATGTTCACCACGCTTGCCGTACCAATGATGGTCGCCCTCAGCCTGGGCTGCGGAGGCGACCGCGAACTGATCGCGCCCGGTGGTGACGATGCGCGGGGCGAACTGGTGAACCTCTCCCTCTGCGCAGGACCCTGCGACCCCGTGGATGGCTGCAAGCCCACAGTGGTCATCACCCACGGCTTCAACCCCTGCCCCCGCTGCTTCCACTTCACCTTTCCACAAACCTACGCAGCGATCATTCGCTGCCGCTGGGGCTCGAACGTCAACGTTCTGTTCTGGAATTGGAACGCCGATACGTTCGTCAGCCTGCGCCCGAAGGTGAACGCCCAGCATGCCGCCGATCAAGGTCGCTGCCTCGCCGCGGCGTTGCTCGCCCGCGGAGTGAAGCCCCAGTGCACGCAACTCATCGGGCACAGCGTCGGCTGCATCGTGATGGCCTCGGCCGCCCAGTCGCTCTTGTACCGCACAGGCGAACCGGTCGCGAAGCTCACCCTGCTCGACCCGCTCGAATCTCAGCACGAACTCGTCTTCGAACAACTCGCCGCCTACCGCACAACGATCCAAGTCGAAAACATTTGGGCCCCCGGCATCAGCGGCTACGGAGCCGAAGCCCCCTACCCCGGCGTCCTCAACCTCCGAGTGCCCGGAGCCACCCCCATCCGCGGAGCCATCAACCCCGCCCTCTCCAACCACCTCCACGTAGTACGTTGGCACCTAGATTGGATGCGAACAGCAGAGTTTGCGTTTCCAAGGCACACTGACGAGATGGATTCCAGTGTGTTCTGCGACGAACGCCCTCCAATCGAGAGAGCTAACTCAACGCCTCCATAAACCCCCGCACCACCGCATTAAATTCATCCGGTGCTTCCAGATGAACGAAGTGACGGGTATCAAGCATCGCCACTTCAGCACCGGGAATCTGAGAGGCAATCCACGGCATGGCGTCGGGCCCGAGGTGGCTCTGTTTACCGCCGATGCAAAGCGTCGGACGTTCGATCCGCGGAAGTAAATCACGGTAGTCCATATGCATCACGCTCAGCATCATCATCGCTGCTGCCGGTAGTGGCACCCGCAGGCTACCTTCCATCACGCGTTCGACGTTCGCCTGGGGAAACTCAGGGCCGAATGCACCCGAAATGAATTCGCGCAGCACGTCCTCACCATGCTCGCCCACCAACTCGGAAGCCATTCCTTGGGCTTCGCCGGCCGTCAGCATCGCCCCGTAGTTGCGGCACTCCTGATCCGACCATTCGCTACGCTGAATCATGGCCACCATTTCATCGCAGAGCACCAGTCCCCGGATTCGGTCTTGGCCGAAAAGCTCGATGAAACTCCAAATCACCGTACAGCCGGCCGAATGCCCCAACAGCACGGCATCGGTGAGCCCCAAATGCTCGAACCAATCCAGGCAATCCTTCGCCAACCGCGAAACACGATAGCCATGGTCGGGCCGTTCCGACTCGCCGTGCCCTCGGTAGTCGAGCGCCAAACAACGAAACTCACCCGAGAGCGCCTCAAGCTGCCCCGCGAACCCCACCGCCGGCTGCGTCCAGCCCGGCAGTAGAACAAGAGCAGGCCCACTCCCCTGCTCCAGGTAATGAAGTTTCACACCATCGCTGGTGGTGAAGTGATGAGAAGTTGCATTCCTTGAAGCGTGCATGGCAAGTCCACCTGGTTCGATTCCCATGTTGAACTTACGTCAAAAACTTCACTTCCGCCGCCCCCGCTTCCCCTTCGAAGCCCCGCGTTTCCCCTTCGGCTTTCTGGGCGGCTCAGACGACTTCCGTTTTCGTTTCGGCTTGGCAGGCTTGTGCCCCTTCGACACGCGTTCCATCAGGCGGAAGTCAAGTTGCCGGCGGTCGACGTCCACGTGGGCCACCGTCACACGGAGCACATCGCCAAGACGGAATTGGTTGTTGGCTTTGTTCCCCGTCAGCGTGTGACTGGCCCGATCGAAGCGGTAGTAATCGTCTTGCAGCGACGAGATATGGATCAGCCCCTCAGCAGGAATCTGCAGCCCTTGCACGAACATGCCGAACTCTTCGACCCCGGTGACCACGGCGTTCATCTCTTCGCCAATGCGGTCGCTCAGGTATCGCAGCAGCTTCAGCTTGGTCAGCTCGCGTTCCGCAGCCTCCGCCCGCCGTTCACGTTCCGAGCAATGTTCGCCGAGCGACACGAGCTGCCCGAAGTCGTTGCGGGGTTTCTTTTCTGAAACCAGCAGGTCGATCAGCCGGTGCACCGTGAGGTCGGGATAACGGCGAATCGGTGAAGTGAAGTGGCAATAACACTCGCTGGCCAGCGCGTAGTGGCCTTCTTCCTCGGGGCTGTACACGGCCCGTTGCAAGCTTCGCAACACGGCGTAGTTCACCGCATATTCCGCCGGGTCGCCATGCACTTTATCCAACAGCTTCTGCAGCTCGAACCGGCTCTCCAGGCTTTCGGTCTCGAAGCCAAGCTCATTGACGAACTTCGTCAGCTCTTTCAGCTTGCGAGGGTCCGGGGCCTTATGCACGCGACGCAAGAACAATGTGTCGGCCTCGTGCAGTCGCTGGGCCACCGCTTCGTTGGCGGCCAGCATGAACTCTTCGATGATTTGATGGCTTTCGGTGTTCTCGACCCGATTGGCCCCCACCACGTGTCCGTCGTGATCGAGAACGACCCGCACCTCTCGCATCGAAAGCTCGAGCGAGCCGTTGGTGAACCGCCGCTTCCGCAGGATCATGGCCAACTCGTGCATCCGCCCCAACAGGCTGTGCACCTCGGGCGTGAGCTTCGACTTCCACGACGACCGATCGGCCAGGTATTCGTCCACCTCTTCGTAAGTGAAACGCCGTGCACTGCGAATCGCCCCCCGATGCACGTCGGTCGCCACGTGGGCACCATCTTCGGTGAACTCGATCACGGCCGTCTTGGTGTAACGCACCCGCTCGGGCTGCAAACTGGCCAGGCTGTTCGAAATCACCTCCGGCAGCATCGGGATCACCCGATCGGGCAAGTACACACTGGTGGCCCGACCGTACGCCTCACGATCGAGCACCGAGCCCTCCGGCACAAAGTGCGACACATCAGCAATATGCACACCCAGCAGCCAGTGCCCGTTCTCCAAACGCTCGAGCGAAATAGCATCATCGAAATCCCTCGCATCCACGGGGTCGATCGTAATCACCGTATCGCCGGTGAAGTCTTTCCGATCTTCGCCGATCGATTCATCGAACCGGTCGGCCTGCAGACGCGCATCTTCCAGCACCGCGTCGGAGAATTCATCGGGCAGGTTGTACTCGTGAATGATGGCTTCGGTATCGACCCCCGGTTCGCCGCCGGGCCCGAGCACTTTCGTAATCACCCCTTCGCCGTCGTGAACGTGTGAGGGGAAGCGAACCATCTCGAACACCACTTTGTCGCCGGCGGCCGCGTTCTTCGCTCCCGGGTCGCCCACGAACACCGGTTGCGAAAACACGGTCCCATCGACCTGCACGTAAGCCGATCCGGCCGATTCGAAATAGGTGCCCACAAACTTATGGGTTTCGCGTTCGATCACCTCGACAATTTCACCCTGCGGCTGTCCGCCCCGCCCCGTCGATCGACTCAGGCGAACCAGCACCGTATCGCCGTTGGCCGCATCGCGTGCTCGTTTGGCCGGAATGAAGATATCATCGCCTCGTTCACCCCGAGCCGTGCCCGCGGGGGTAACAAACCCGAACCCGCCCGACTTGCGACGAAACAGCCCCGTGATGCGATTACGATCCGTCCCCTTTTTTCCTGCCGGTTCGACCAGGTGGCGAGGTCCATAAGTAAGCTCGCCCTTCTTCACAAGCTTCTTAATTAGCTTCTTAAACGGCTGCAGTTGGTCTTCGGGCACCCCCAGAATCTTCGCCAGCAGCTTCGGCTTCGAGGGCTTATACCCGGGCGAGGTGACCAGGTGAATCAACAACGAGGTCAGGGCATCCCAATCGACCTCATTGGTCTGGCTTTCAGAATCGCTCACAGTCGGAGTCGCCTTAAATTATCAGAGAAGAGCTACCGGCAAACGCGTGGCGACGGCCGGTACTGCGTCGCGGAAGCTGCATTAGCGAGACGAAGGACGCTGCCCCTTGTACAGCTTCCGTCCCAGCCCAGGGCTATAAACCGTCCAGGCGCTGTCGACATTCGGATCGTCGTCGATGTGATGACTGAACGACTCCATCTTAGCATCGAGGCTATCGAGATAGTGCAAGGCCAGGGCTTCAAGTGTCATCGGAACCTTCGGGCTGCCGAACTCCAGCGTCCCGTGGTGGCTCACAATCATATGCTTCAACCGCAGGGCCTTGTCCTCTGGGAAAGCATCTCCGGAAGCGGCTTCGACTTCCCGCAGCTTCTCATCCAGCATTTCGCAGGCAATCACCATATGCCCGACGAGTTGCCCCCGGTCGGTGTAAGCCGGCACCGGGTCGGCATCCAACTCATCGACCTTACCCAAGTCGTGCAGGAACACACCAAACAGCAACAGATCGCGATCGACCTGTGGGTATAGGTCTTTGATCCGATCGACAATCTTCATCAACTTCGCCACATGCTGTAGCAGTCCGCCCACGTAGGCGTGGTGATGTTTGATCGCCGCCGGGGCCCGTGCGAAACGGGCCATCAGATCGTCATCGTCCAAGAACCGTTCGGCCAACGCCCGCAAGTGGCGATCGCCCAGCGAACGCAGCAAGTCGGCCACTTCTTTCAACAACGCTTCGTTCTCGGCCGGCGACTGCGTCATGAAGTCGGTCGGGTCGACCTCTCCCGCGTCGGCCTTGCCAATGCGTGTGGCGATCAGTTGCATCGCTCCCTGGTACAACTGCGACGTGCCCTCGATGTGCACGTAATCGCCATCCTCGAAGCTGCGGTAGATCGACTCGCTGGCGTTCCACATCCGGGCACTGAGCGTACCCGTACGGTCGGAGAGTTCGACCTGCAGGTAGAGATTGCCGTTGCGGTTGGGCCGCAGTTGCTTCCCACTTGCTACGTAGATGTCGTCGACGGCCTCTTGGTGCTGCAAATCATTGATGTAGCGGCGACCCATGAGGACAATCCTTCACTAGCGTCTTCGCATTGTCCGTCAGGCAATCAACGAGCACGCAACAAAACCGGTCAGGCAGAAAAAATGCGATATGTGCCGTCAATTTTAGTGCTCCCCCCATCCACCGACAAGGGAGCGAAGCCTGGCCTCAGGATCAAGTTCACACCACGTGGGTGCCACCGCTGGCTTGCCCAGCGGTGCGAATCGGCAGAAGAATTCTTTCGTTCGAATGGGTAGCCCAGGTTCTTGAACCGGGGTCGCCGCAGGCGGCAAAAGGCCATCAGTACCCACGACCTCATCAGCAATCCCACCCTCACCACGGCCAGCCCAAGCCTCGACCGCACGCATCACCCCCAGATGCCCATCAACTTCGCACTCCCTCTGTTCACGGCGATCCTTTAGAATGCCCGCCGTGTCCCAGTTGTCTGGAGGAGACGACTTTCCGGACCCCGGTCTCATTTCAATTAGAGGAACCCCCAGCGTGCGTTGGTCGCAATCGTTCATTCCCACCATGAAGGAAACGCCCGAGGGCGCGGAAATCCCCAGCCACGTGCTGATGATCCGTGCCGGGCTCGTCGGACAGGTGATGGCCGGCGCATACAGCTATCTCCCGCTGGGGCTGCGTTCGCTGAAGAAGGCCGAACGGATTGTCCGCGAAGAAATGGAACGAGCCGGGGCCATCGAGGTTCTGCTGCCGGCACTCACGCCCATCTCGCTGTGGGAACGCACCGGCCGCCGCGAGGCGTTCGGCTCGGTACTCATCAATTTCAAAGTCCGCCGCCAGAACCGCGAAGTTCACCTGGCCCTGGGTCCCACGCACGAAGAAGTGATCACCGAGCTGATCGCCCATCACGTGTCGAGCTACCGCCAGCTTCCGCTCACGCTGTACCAAATTCAAACCAAGTTTCGCAACGAAGAACGCCCCCGCTTCGGTGTTCTACGCACCAGCGAATTCTTGATGAAGGACGCCTACAGTTTCGACACCTCGGTCGAAGCCCTCGGCCGCAGCTACGACAAAATGTACGAGGCCTACTGCCGCATCTTCGATCGCTGTGGGCTGAAGTACTTGCCCGTCGAAGCCGAAAGCGGCCCCATCGGCGGCGACGCCAGCCACGAGTTCATGGTCCCTTCGGAAAACGGGGAAGACCTGGTCGTGGTCTGCGACAGTTGCGAATACGCGGCCAACCAGGAACGAGCCGAAACCGGCGAGCGAAAAACCACCAAGCCCGAGGCGGAAGCCAAACCGCTCACCAAGCTCGACACGCCCGATGCCCGCACGATCGAGCAGGTATGCAAGACGCTCAAATGCAAACCGCACCGCATGGTCAAGACGCTGATCTACCTGGCCGACGAAAAGCCGGTGGCGATCCTCGTCCGCGGCGACCACGAAGCCAACGAAGGTAAGGTCCGCCGTGTACTCGAAGCCACTACGCTCGAGCTGGCGCCACCTGAGACGATCGAAGAAGTCACCGGAGCCCCCGTCGGGTTCGCAGGCCCCGTGGGGCTTAAGGTCCCCATCATCGCCGATCACGATGTGGCCGCCATGGCAAACGTGGTGCTGGGGGCCAACGAAGCCGACAAGCATTATGTGAACGCCAACATCGAACGCGACTTCAAGGTCGAACGCTTCGCCGACGTCCGTAACGCCACCGAAGGCGACCCCTGCCCTCGCTGCGACAAGACACTCACGATGAAGGCCGCGATCGAAGTGGGCCACGTATTCAAACTCGGCACCAAGTACTCCGACGCCCTGTCGGCCAAGTTCCTCGATGCCCAGGAGCACCAGCAGACCATCATCATGGGCTGTTACGGAATCGGCATTAACCGCATCCTGGCCTCGCTCATCGAAACCAACCACGACGACGACGGCATCATCTGGCCAATGGCCCTCGCCCCTTACGAGGTGCTGGTCGTCCCCTTGAACGTCTCGCAACAACCGGTCATGGAACTGGCCGAAAAGCTGCACGACGAACTGCAAGCCGCCGGGGTCGAAGTGCTCATCGACGACCGCGACGCCCGCCCCGGGGTGAAGTTCAAAGATGCCGACTTGATTGGCATCCCCTTGCGTATCGTCGTCGGACAACGCGGGCTCGACGCCGGCGAACTCGAACTCAAGTGGCGGCACAAGTCCGACGCCGAATCGATCCCGATCGAGGGGGCCGTCGAAGAACTCACACGCATGGTGGCCGCAGCGCGGGACGGCGAGCAGAAATGATCGCCCCCAGCACGTCGCGCCGTTGATCGACCGGAGGTCCTCTGAACATGGGTCAGATCAACGCCCCCCAGCCGGTTCTGTTGGTTCTGGCGGCGTTCAGCCGCTACGACGAGGCCTTCGATTGGGCCCTCGCCCAAGCCTCAGCCACCTGGGGCACAGTGGCCCTGACCAGCCCTCGCTTCGACTTCGGCGAGACCGATTATTACGAATCGACGATGGGCCCGGGCCTCAAAAAGCAGTTTTGGGCCTTCGAAACCCTGATCGATCCGGCCCACCTTCCCCCCATAAAGCGGCAAACAAACGCCTGGGAAGCTGCGTATGCAGAACAGGGCCAGCATGCCGAAGTCCGGCCGCTGAACCTGGACCCAGGCTACATCACGCTCGCCAAGGTGGTGCTCGCCTCGACCAAAGATCACGCCCATCGGCTGTATTTAGGCGAGGGCATCTTTGCCGAGGTAACCTTGCGATACCAACAAGGCGGCTGGAAGGCCTGGGATTGGACGTTCCCAGACTATCGCCGGGGCGACTACCATCAATTCTTCGACCAGTGCCGGGAATATGTCCGCGGGCAATCGCGACGGGGAACAAGCGTGTGATTTGGCTTATCGCGGGAGCAATTATTCCCAGCCTGCTGGTCTCGTGGGCCGCTATGCATGTCATTCGCCGCAAGGCGGAAAGCTTCGGGCTGGTCGATCGTCCCGCGGGTCACAAGTCGCACCAGCAACCAACCCCAGCCGGCGGTGGAATAGGCATCTGGTTGGGCGTCGTCATCCCGCTCGCTGCCGGTCAGTTGGTCCTCATGTGGGCCGCCTCGTTATCCGATCCTTCGTGGTTGCCTGAGATCGCCACCTATCATCTCGGCGGACTCGTTGAACAGTCCAGCCGGCTCTGGCTTTTGGTGGCCGCCGCCACAGTGCTCATGCTGTTGGGCCTGGCCGACGATCGTCGCGGGCTCGACTGGCGACTCCGCCTGGGCATCCAAACCGCCGTGGCCGCCATCGTCGTTTCGGCTGGCTGGCGGCTGACACTTTTCGTCGAACTGCCCTGGCTTACCGGCGCGATTAGCGTGCTGTGGATCGTCGCGCTGATCAACGCCTTCAACATGCTCGACAACATGGACGGCCTCTCCGGCGGAGTGGCTACCATCGCCGCAGCCATGCTGGCCGCCGTCATGCTGTTGGCCCCCGACCCCGTCACACGACAACCGCAGTTGTTCATCGCTGGGTTCCTGCTGGTGCTGGTCGGCTCGTTGCTGGGGTTCCTCGCCCACAACCGGCCGCCGGCGAAGATCTTCATGGGCGACGCCGGCTCGTACTTCATCGGTTTTTGGATCGCCACCGGCACGCTGATGGCCACGTTCGCCGGCGAGGGACTCCCCCGCCACGCCATCTTGGCCCCACTCTGCGTGTTGGCTGTTCCGCTTTACGACACCACCAGCGTCGTACTCATTCGACTCCGCAGAGGCGTCAGCCCCTTCCAAGGCGATAACAATCACTTCTCACACCGGTTGGTCGAACTTGGCCTTAGCCGCACGCAGGCCGTGCTAACCATCTACCTCACCACCGCCACCACCGGCCTAGGAGCCCTTCTGCTGTACCAGGTCGATGCGGCCGGCGCGATCGTGATCGCCCTGATGGTGGTCTGTGTTCTGCTGCTCATCGCCATTTTAGAAACCACGGCCCGTCGCAAGATGCGGAGGCAGCAAGCAACCGAACCGGCCGCCGAACCCGTAGCGGTAACTCGTTAACCTCGATGCGTGGCATGAAACGAAAACAATCGCCCAACGCCGCGCCACTTTCCGAGGAGAAGCCCCTCACGGCAACCTCGCGCCTAAGGTTCATCTGTGCCGTAGCGCTACTCGCATTGTTCGTTGCCCGACCGTTCGTCCCCGGCGATTCAATCGCCGCCCTCGGCGACGGCCTGCCGGCCGTGATGCTCACGCTAGTGTTGCTCAGCGTCTACGTTGGCTCGCTGGTGCTCGGCGGAGTTCGCCAGATACGCTTCGGCGTCGTCGATGCGGCCGTAATCGTACTGTTCGCCATCGAGATGCTGGCCGCCGCCGTCGGTGCGCAAACCGGCGAGCCTCGCGCAGGCGTGAACATCATGTGGGAACTCACGGCCCTGGCCGCCATGTCCCTGCTGGCCCGGCAACTCTTCCGCCCCGGCGACATCCGAGCCGTGTTGGCCGTGATGATCGTCGTGGCCCTGGCCCAATCCACGTTTGGCCTGTACCAATACTTCATCAGCATGCCGGCCGATCGGGCGTTGTACCTCGAAGACCCCGACGCCGCATTACACATGGCCCAGGTCGATGCCCCCGTCGGCTCCGCCACCCGACAACTCTACGAGCAGCGGCTGATGAGCACCGAGCCCATGGGTCGCTTCGATCTGCCAAACTCGCTGGCCGGCTTTCTCGCCACCTGGCTCGTCGTCCTGCTCGCCGCCACGGGGTTCGGTTCCAGCAAGAAACTCGCCACTTGGCTCATCCCGCTGGCCCTTTCGATTCCTATTGCAATCTGCTTACTGCTCACCAAAAGCCGCAGCGCCGTGCTGGCCGCCGGCGTTGGCTTCATCCTGGCGGCGCTCATCGCCGGAAGCAGAAAGCACCTGGCCTCCGGCAAAGCTCGCCTGGTAGTAGCAGGAGCTGCCGTAGCCGTGGTCCTCATCGTCGGCATCGCCTGGGGGCTCGGCGGGCTAGATGCCCAAGTTCTCAGCGAGGCCCCCAAGTCGCTCGGCTATCGCCTCCAGTATTGGCAATCCACTCTGGCCATGATCGGCGACCATCCTTGGCTCGGCTGCGGGGGCGGCAACTTCCAAGACCAATACACCCAGTACAAGCTCGCGGTCGCCAGCGAAGAAATCGCCGACCCGCACAACTTCGTGTTCGACGTCTGGGCCAACTCCGGCACACTCGCCCTGCTAGCCATGATCGCCGTGTTTGTCCTCCTGGCCCGCACTCTCTGGCAGGCCACATCCGCCCCCACCGAAAACGCCACACAACCCGCCGAACAATACCAACCGCTGCCGCTCATCTTCTCCGCCTCAATTGCGGGGCTGGCCCTGGCCTTTGTTCTTGGCCTGCTGGGCCAGGTGATGCTCTCCCCTATCGAACTGCTCGGCCTGCTGATCGTTACCTGCGGCGGTTTGTTTTTATTGAAATCCTGGATCGCCGGCCCCGTCCCATCGATCGCGGTCCCCGTGTTGGGCCTGGTGGTGATGCTGGTGAACCTCACCGCCGCCGGAGGGTTCCACTTCCCCGCGGTGGCCGCCTCAATGTGGCTGCTCATCGCCCTCACGGTCACCCTTGCCGAGGGCGACACACAGGCAGTCGAAGCCCCCCGCCCTGCCCTCATGGCGGGTTTGGTCGTGTCGCTCATCATCCTGCTGGGCTGCTATTCCACGGGCTATCAGCCCGTCCTGCAGTGCAACCTGCTCTTACGGCGAACTCACGACCGGCAACTTCCGTATCAAGAAAAGGTGCGTCTACTGCAGGAGGCCGCCGAGGCCGACCCGTTGAGTGCCAAACCGTGGTGGACGATGGCCGCGCTCGAGGCCCAGCGACTGCAAGCCGTTCCGCAGGCCAGCATGGGGAACCTTGAAGACCTGGACAATTTCTCGGAGGCATTCCTCAATCGCGACCCCCTCAGTAGTGCGGCGCACGTGCAAGTCGGCGACTGGTATTGGGACGTTTACCTCCGCTCGAAAAACCTGACGGCCCTGCAAACGGCCACCGAAGCCTATCACCGCAGCGTAACCTTGTACCCCAACGATGCATCACGTCGGGCCCGGCTCGCCGTAGCACTCGAGGCCTCGCAACAATCCGAGGAAGCGGCCGTGCAGCGTGAACGTGCCATGCAACTCGACGAACTGACCCCACATGCCGACAAGAAGCTTTCCGACGAATTGAAACAGAATCTGATCGACGCTCAAAATCGGGCAAATTGACTACCCCCGCAGACACATTTACGATCGAAGATACGGTGGCGACTCCTTTTCTCCCGCGATCTTTCGCCGCCCGTCGACCGCTACCAATCGCATCGCTCCCGGAACAATCGTGAGAAACATGCTGGCTTCGAAACACGCACCGTCCACCCCAGCCATCGCTCAACGACGACCAACCACAGGACAAGTCCCCCTGGTTCTGCTCTTCGCCTTCTCAATCCTGCTCGGCCTGGGAATCGGTGTCGCCACGGCAGTTCCCAGCTTCAACGTGTTTGCCAGCAGCGAAGAAATCGCCATGCCGGTCGACCCGCTGCTGAACGACGGCACCGCCCCCCCGCTGCCTCCGGCCAATGGACCTCAACCGCGGGTCGTGGTCGACAGCACGAAGTACGACTTCGGTGCCCTGGAGAGCCTGGCTGAAGACAGCCACACGTTCGTGATCAAAAACGCCGGCGACTACCCACTGGAACTCGTGCTGCGCAAGACCTCCTGCAAATGCACGGTCGGAAAGCTCGGTGACAAAACGGTCGACCCCAAAGGCAAGCCCGTGGGCATCTCCGTCGAACCGGGCGGTCAGACCGAAGTCACCCTCGATTGGACCGTGAAGCGCGACTTCAGCAACCATTTTCGTCAGACGGCCCTGCTGCTCACCAACGATCGTGAAATGCCACGTTTGACATTGGAGATCGTGGGCCGCATCGCTCAAACCGTTCACACGGTGCCGCCGGCATTCTCGTTCGGCAAATTGCTGATGACCGACACGGCCACCCAAGAAGTCCGAGTGGAGTCGATCCGTAGCGATCCGCTGGAAATCACCTCCGCCGAGCCAACGATCGCCGGCACGGCCGAATTCTTCGATGTCGAATGCGAACCGCTAGCACCCGAAGACTTGCAGATCGATGGGGCAAAAAGCGGCTATCGCGTGCGGCTCACCGTCAAACCCGGCTTGCGGCAGGGTGCCATTCAACAGACAATCTCGCTGGCCACGAACCTGGAGAACATGCCGACCATCGACGTTCCGGTGCAAGGCATCATCGACAGCGACTTTGCCATCATCGGCGGTCGTGGATGGGATTCGGCCTTGCGAAAAGTGAACCTCGGCCGCATACAGCGCGACACCGGGGCCAGCCGCAAGCTCACCATCTTCGTCCGTGGTCCCCAGCGTGACGACATCGAATTACAAACCCCAGTCGTCACGCCGGAACAAGTCAAAGTAACCCTCGGCGATCCGGTGGGCAAAGGCGAAGCCAACAGCGTACAGTACCCGTTGACCATCGAGATTCCCCCCGGCGTCCCCGAGATGAACCACCTCGGTAACGACCAGGGAGAACTGGGAAAGATCACCATCGAAACCAATCACCCGGACGTGCCCGAGTTGGAAATCCATTTGCAGTTTGCCACGGAATAGGACACTGCAAATCACCCCGACCTAATGGAACACAAAACCACGCCGGCCGGGGCCAGTCACCAGCAAAAACTACGGCAGGGGCTGCACTCATCTTTAGCATCGATCAGACAACCATGGACGGAACACCTTTGCGTAACTCGATCGTAACCGCGCTGTGCACTCTTGGAATGCCCCTGGCGCTGTTGCTCGTCACCGGCTGCAATCAGCAAGCCTCCACTCAAACGGCCTCGTCCACCACGAGTTCGACCGCCTCTTCGGAAAACGAACAGTTAGCCGACAGCTCCGCCGACTACGGCTCCCACGAGCCCATCGACCCCGTGGCGGTCAACGGCCCCATCTTCGAAGGCTGGCCTGAACCTCAGGGCGCCCTGGTCATCTCTGGCGAAATGCTGGGGTACCTCGAACCATGCGGCTGCGCCGGATTGGAAAACCAAAAAGGCGGACTCAGCCGTCGCAATTCGTTGCTGAAGCAGTTGGAAGACAAGAATTGGCCGCTAGCCAAAATCGACCTGGGCGGTCAAATCCGACGTTACGGAACCCAGGCCGGCATCAAGTTCGATAGCGCCCTGAAGGGGCTGCGAATCATGGACTACGGCGCAGTCGGCTTCGGTTCGACCGACTTGCAGCTCCCGGCCGAACGCCTGTTGGGACTGGTGATCGACGAGGAGAACCCGTTCGTCGCCGCCAACGTCGGCTTCAATCCCGAGAACGATCTCTTCGCCGGCATCGACTTCGCCCCACCGTTCCGCATCGTCGAGTGCGGTGACCAGAAGATCGGCGTCACCGCGGTCCTTGGCGAGTCGTACCAACAGAAGACGAACAACCCCGATCTGCAATTCACCCCCGCGGCCGAAGCCCTGCAGACGGTCCTTCCCGAGCTGCAGAATCAAGGCTGCGATCAAATCGTGGTCCTCTCCTACTCCACGCCGGAAGAGTCGGAAGCCCTGGCCCTGGCCTTCCCCGAACAAGTCGATTGGATCGTCACCGCCGGGGGCGCCGACGAACCGCCGGCCGAACCGAAGACGATCGAAGGCTCGAAAGCGAAGCTCGTGGAAGTCGGCCACAAGGGCATGTACCTGGCCGTGATCGGTTTCTACGACGATGAGGAAATGCCCATTCGCTTCCAGCGAGTTCCGCTCGATTCGCGGTTTCCCAACAGCGATGCCATGTACGAGTTGATGGTCGAGTACCAGAACAACCTCGAGCTGGCCGGGTTCGCCGGACTGGGCCTACAGCCGGTGGCCAACCACAAGGGCACCTACGCGGGGGCCGAAAGCTGCAAAGAATGCCACAAAAAGCAGTACAGCATCTGGCGCGGCACCGGGCACGCCCGGGCGACCGAGTCGATCATCGAAATCGCCGAACCTTCTCGCATTCACGACCCCGAGTGCGTGAGCTGCCACGTGACGGGCTGGAACCCGCAGAACTACTATCCCTACGAAACCGGGTACGAAAGCCTGCAAGCCACGCCGCACCTGGTGGGCAACGGTTGCGAAAACTGCCACGGTCCTTCGGCCGACCACGTGAACGCCGAAACGAACAAAGATCAGTTCAGCGAACTGGAACGCCGACAGCTTCGGGCCGCCCTACAACTCACCAAAGTTCAAGCGTTCGAAAATGTGTGCATGAACTGCCACGATAAAGACAACAGCCCCGACTTCGATCCCGAAACCTACTGGCCCAAAGTCGACCACGGCGGCAGCGTTCGCTGGGACGAATCGATGTCGAACCTCAGCCCACCACCCACTGGCCACTAGATTTTCCTTTCTCACGGCCCTCCCCAACGCTACGATCTGGTCACCCTGCGACGGAAGATTTCAAACGTCGCGTTCATCAATGTGAGGTGCCCTGTGCAGTATCACTCGAGCGGCATACGGTGGCGGTCCAAAACGGCAATCTTTGGCTTCCCGCTGCTGGATATCGCCCTCGGCCCCGGCCCTGAAGATGCTCGCCGGGGAAACGCTCGTGGAATTATCGCAATTGGCGATGTCGCTCGCGGGCTCATTGCGATCGGGGGTGTCGCATACGGCGTGCTCGCCCTGGGAGGCATCGCCCTCGGCCTCATCCCAGTCGGTGGCTTGGCTCTAGGCGCCGTTGCCATCGGCGGAGGGTCGGTCGGTCTGCTCTCATTGGGTGGAGCAGCAATCGGAGGCTTAGCGGCCGGAGGACTCGCCCTAGGCGTTGTTGCATACGGCGGGCTGGCAGTCGGTGTCGTTGCGATTGGGGCTTTATCTGTCGGCTACTATGCGATGGGTGTCGCCGCGGTCGGCGTGCACGTAGTTAGCCAAGCCTTCGAAAGCCCCGAGGCCGTCGAATTCTTCCAGCGATACTTTCCGGCCTTGATGGATCAATGGTAAGTCAGTGTCGTCGCAAGCTCACCTGCTCTGCACTGCAGAGATAAAGCCGTTGGTTCCAAGTGCGGTTCAGCACTGAATGACGTCCAGGGCTGAGTGACTAAGTTCCCGTTTCCAACTTCGGTTCCGCGGCAGCACGGGTGGCATCTTCTTCCTTGATCCGCACGGGGCCAAAATCCTCGGGAAACTTGGCCGTAGCACCTTCGTAGTAAGCTCGAACCTTGTCCATGTCGGCCACCACATCGTCGGTCGGCCAAAGCGGTTCGTCGAGCCGGCCAATCTTGGGGCCCCAATCCAGGCGGCCCAAAACCAGCGGAACTTCGGCCTTCTTGGCGATGTAGTAGAAGCCGCTCTTCCAGTATTCCGCCCGACTTCTGGTTCCTTCGGTGGGAACCAGCAACACGAACTCATCGCGCTGCTGAAAGAATTGAGCCACTTGCGTCACGGTGCCCTGCGGGGCCGAACGGTCGATCGACACACCGCCCAACAATCGCATGAACCACCCGAAGGGCCAGCGGAATAGTTCCTTCTTGCCCATCCAGTGAATCCGCAGGCCCAGCACCCAGGTGAGCGACAAGACGACCGGCAAATCCCAATTCGACGTGTGCGGTGCCGCCACGAGGATGAACTTCCGCGTCTCAGGAGCTTTGCCCTCAATCCGCCAGCCCGAGAGCCGCATGTAGATCGTGCCGAGCAACCACCGTAATGTTTTCAACGCTCACCATCCCTGTTCTGGAGTAGAGCCTCTTCGTCAGTCAGGTTGTCACAGCAACCTAACCTTCCGCGGCGAGTTCTGCCATGGCCTCGTCGGGGATGTTGAAGTTCGAGGAAACGCTTTGAACGTCGTCATGATCGTCCAGTCGTTCCAACAACTTCAGCACTTTGCGGGCCGTGTCGACGTCGAGATCGACCGTGGTCGTCGGGATGCGGGTGATCTCGTTCACCTCGCACTTGAGTTCCGCCTCGGCAAACGCGTCGGCCACTTGTTGGTAATCGCTGGGATCGCAAGTCACCTCGAACATGTCATCAACTCGCTTGACGTCTTCGGCCCCCGCCTCCAAGGCGAGTTCCATCAACTTCTCTTCGCCGATGCTCTTCGTCGGAATGCTGAAGAACCCCTTGCGATCAAACATCCAACTCACGCAGCCTGTGGCGCCCAGCTTGCCGTCGGCAAGTTCGAACACCTTGCGAATCTCCGGCGCCGTACGATTGCGGTTGTCGGTGAGTATCTCGCACAGCACGGCCACACCGTTGGGGCCGTAACCTTCGTAGAGGATCTCGTCGAGGTTTCCACCTTCGAGTTCGCCGGTGCCGCTCTTGATGGCCCGTTCGATATTGTCCTTCGGCATACTCACGGCCTTGGCCGCGTCGATCGCATAGCGAAGCTTCAGGTTCATCGACGGGTCGCCACCACCCGACTTGGCGGCCACGATGATGGCCTTCGAAAGCTTGCTCCAAACCTTGCCCCGCTTGTTATCAATCAGGGCCTTCTTGTGTTTAATACCGGCCCAATGTGAATGGCCTGCCATGGGAATACCTCTTGAGAATATGGAACCTAGATCCGGCACTCGTCATAAACGAATACCGAATGCGTTGTGAACGGTGATGAATTCGGCCGAATGCGAAGGGGGCGATTTTTCGCCTCAGGGTTTCGCTTCACCACTAGGAGGAGGGTGAGCGGCCAGCTTTTCTTCCGTCTTCGCAATGAAGTCGGCATGGTGCTCCGGCTCGAACAGCTCGAGCGCTTGCTGCCAGGCATCACGGGCCTCGTCGACCTGACCAAGCTCCAGATACACATCGCCCAAGTGATCGAGAATCACGCCGTCGGGCTCTTCCGTCTCAGCGGCCTTCTTCATCTCGACCAGGGCTTCGTCGTAGCGACCAAGTCGGTACAGCACCCAGCCCAGGCTATCGCGATACGCCGGATTGTCGGGCTCGGCCTCCACCGCGTTTTGAATCATGTCCAACGCCCGCTCGAGATTGATCCCCTCGTCGGCCCATAGATATCCCAAGTCGTTCTGGGCCGAAATATCCTCTGGGAATTCATCCAGCACCTGCTCGAGCCATTCTTTCGCCCGGGGGAGATTCCCGCGAATCGAATCCAAGTTCGACAGCACCAGTCGGGCGTTGCGAAGCACATCACGCACCTCGGGCGAGCCGGGTTCGTCGTCGTACTCTTCGATCAACCCCAAGTACAACTCTTCGGCCAGCTCGTAGCGTTGAGCATGGTAAGCCACCCAGGCCACGCGGCTTTGGAATGTGGGCACCCACTCGGGAAACGCTTCTGCCCGACGCACGCCCTCGCGAGCGACCTTCAACGCCTCATCGGTCTGGTCGGCCATTTCCAGCGCACCGGCCAGGTAGTAGTGTTCGAAGGGAGGCTTACTATCATCCACGCCCGCGACATCAATCGCGCGCTGCAACCAGCGAACAGCACCCTCGTACTGCTCCTCGTTGAGGAGTTCCAGGCCCCACTCCCTCAACAATGCCACCGCCTGTTCGTCCGACTCATCGAGCCCAGCCTTGAACAACTCTTCGGCCTTCTCGGTTTGCCCGGCCGCCAACAAGAGCCAGGCGAGGTTCATGCTGCGTCGCTGGTTTAGAGCTTCGTCCTCAGTGGGCTCGGCAATTTGCTCAGCAAGCGCATTGAGAAGTTCTTCGTTCTCAACCAAAGCGTCGGCCTCATCCCCCAGCCAGGTGCGCGGATCGGCCGGAAGCTTTTCGGCCTCATCATCACTGTCGGCGGCAAGCCCCATGTGCCGCAGCAATGCGGAGGCATCTTCGCGAGTGCGGTCGATCTCAATCAACCCTCGCCGTGCATCCAACGAGCCCGACTCGGTCAACAGCCCTTCGTAAAGTTCCGTCGCACGTTCGAACGCTTCATCCTCGACCAGTTGCTCAGCAAGGAAGGTCGTCAACGGTTCGTTCTCCGCATCCTCTTCCTGAAGTTCCTCCAAGCGACCAAGCAGCTCATCGGTGCGGTCTTGTTCGGCGAAGATCTCGGCGAGCAACTCGTAAGGCGCTTGACCCAAGTCGCTGGCTTTCTCATCGAAATAAGATTGCAGGGTGTCCAGTGCCTCGTCGGCCTCGCCACTGCGGAGCTGAACCCGCGCGACGTTATACGCCAGTTGAGCGCGATTCGGTTCGGCGATGTTCGACTTCTCGAACGCATCAACCGCTTCGTCGTAACGTTCGGCCGCCAGGTAGGCCTCGGCGAATTGCCGGTACGCCACATCGGCACCACCAAATCGCTTCAACAGTGAGTCGTGAAACCGTTCACCGGCTTCGTCTTCGGCCGGCAGTTCGAGGAACTCTTGCACGCTGGCGTAAGCCTCGGCCGCATCCTCGTATTGATCGAGGTCGGAATACATCTGCCCGATTTCGGCCAACAATTGAATGCGCCCCGAAGACGATTCTTTCAGTTGAGGCAAAGCCAGAGCTTTCTCATACAGACGAACCGCACCATCGACATCATCGTTGCCGAACAGGTGCAGGCCCAACTGTCTCAGCAGCTCGGGGCGGCCCGGCTGCAACTCGGCCGCCATCAACGCATAGCGAATGGCCTCCGAGGTACGTTCCAGCTCGAAAGCCAACGTCACAATCTGCTCGAGCACCGGTAAGGCGTCGGGATCGTAACGGAGGGCTCGCTGATAAAGCCGCAGGGCCTCCGGAAAGTCTTGCCGCTGCTGATGCATACGCGCGGCTGAAAAAAGAGTGATCGCTTCAAGCTGATCGCGTTCTGCCTGCGTCGGCGGATTCTTCGGCGTCAGCTTCTCGGGCAGGCCGTCGAAAATGTCCTCAACCGTGTCCTGCCGCTCAGCTTGCTCAGTGGACTCAGGCCGAGTTGCCGCATCATCGGGAGCGTCGCCCCCCAGTGCCGGGGAACCACTGAGGAAAGCTCCCAGCGAAAGCGTGATAATCGCCAACCCCGCACCGACGCGTCCGAGACACAACATGGCAAACGCTCTTCTCATTGGAATGGTTCTGGAAGGCTCGCTTACGACCGCTCGCAACCCCGTGGCAAGCGTAGGCGGGACTTGCCGTAAGCTGGGGGCCAAGAATCGCGCGGTGGCCCCTGCCCTGGGTGTTACTTCCCTGGGGCTAACTATGGTGGAGGTCAACGTCGCTGGCTGCCGGTCATCCGTGAGCACGTCCGTGGTCTCCCTACTGGTGGGCCTGCTCCGTGCCGCCTCCGTACGGCGTGCCTTCTTCTACCAGAATCTTAACCCACAGCGCCCGGATATTCCACGCAACTGCCCTATCCAACGATCAGTTTCCCGACCGGGGCACCCAGCCGTAGGCCGTACGCTGAGACCACCCCAGGGCCAATTCACCCGCCAGCTAGCGAGGTTTCCGTTTCGAGATCCGCTTGGGCGTGGTTTTCTTCTTGGCGACCTTCTTCTTAGCGGCTTTCTTGGTCGCAACCGAAGTCTTCGCCTTAGCAGTCTTGGTCTTGGCGGCTTTCTTCTTCGCAGGCTGCTTCTCTTCAGCGGCCTTGGCTTTCGACTTCTTCTTTTTCGGGGCTTCCTCGGGCTCGGCCTTCTTGCGAGTTCGCTTAGGCAAATTCGCCTTCGCCTCGGGCGAGACTTCCAGCAGAATCTTGTGAACCGCGGGCGAGTAAGGGCTCTTAAAGAAGTCGGCCCCCAGTTGATGCAGCATCGAGGAGAATTCGACCCCCTTGGTCTTCGGCACGGCCCGAATGATGCCGGGCACCGTTCGATCTTTCTCGGTCTTCCCTTCGACCAGATCCAACACTTCTAGAGCACCGAGCGTTCCCGAGTCCATCGGAATCGCGTGCCCGCCCAGGCTCACCTGCGTTACATACGCCACGGCAAACGGCGAGGCTTTGGCCTTCTTCTCTAGGTGCTGGGTTGCCTGACCAAGCTTCATCTTCTTCAAGTTTTCCAGGTCGAACGTGTAGCTCGACTCAAACACGTTCTGCAAAACCTGCCGCAACCGACGGGCCGCGGTCTCGGCCTGAGGCAGTCGCGGGAAGACTTGGGCTAACTCCTGAGAGGTGCTCACCCGTATTTCGTTCAAGTCGTAGAACGCGTCGGTCACCGCGGCCAAAGCTTCTTCGGCCGGCTCGTGATGCGAGTTCTCCAACAGGCAGGCAAACAACAGTTGCTCGAGAACCGGACGCTCTACCGGAGCGACGGGCTTGTAGTGCTTACGCAATACCTTTTGCAACTTCGTGATGAGTGCTGAACGATTCGTCGTGGCCATGCGATCAACGAAACTCCACAGGTTGTGTCAATGTTGGGGGCGGGAAGTCGTCGACGGGTGCGAACTCCGCCGCGAGGTTGTTAATGGTATGCGGGGCAACTTAGCTTGTCGAAGTCGCCCGTGTTTGTTGTCGAAGCCAATCGAGCTTTATCCCGGCGGCCTCAGGGTGGGAATCTGTGTTGTTATTCAGGCCTGTCGTCCGCGTCCGATGCCTCGTCCGAATCCACATCGTCTGCGTCCTGCGATGCGGCACTTTCCGCCTCGAGCTGGGCATCTTTCTCTTTGATTTCCTTCTCCACTTCTTGCAGCAGCTCGGCGATCTGAATCGACTTCTTCACGCCCTGATCGAGCACGAACTCGAGACGCGGCGTGTAGCGGATTTCGATCTTGTCGGCCACGCGTCGTTGCAAGAAACCAGCCGAACTCCGCAGCCCGTGCAGACTCAACTGTTGCTTCTTCTCATCGCCCATCACCGACACGTGCACCTTGGCCGAACGGAGATCCGCCGGGACCTCGACGTGCGTCACCGTCACGTCTTGAACCCGAGGGTCCTGCAACTCGGTTAAAATCGCCATGCTGACGACTTCGCGGATGGCTTCGGCGGCCTTGAGGGAACGGCGAGATGACATGGGCAATCAGGCTAAGCAACAGTAGCACACGGAATGCCGCCGCAACGGAAAAACCGGCAGCACCGATTCAGGCAGGCTACTGAATAATCTCTCTATTACTAAATATCCAAGGGGGACGAACGGGGCGGCAGGCATGCACTCAATCGCATCCCCACGGGGGCGGACGTTAGAAGGTCCGAGCCACCTCTTCGATCTTGTACGCTTCGAGAATGTCGCCTTCCTTGAGATCGTTGAAACCAACGAGCTTCATACCGCATTCGTAACCTTCCCGAACCTCTCGGGTATCGTCCTTCTCACGACGCAGCGAATCCAACGGGTACACGCCGAGGATGCGATTATCGCGAATCACTCGAATGCGGCAGTCGCGTTGAATCACACCCGAAAGCACACGGCAACCGGCCACTGTACCCACACGGCTGATGGGGAACAGTCGCAGCACCAAGGCTCGGCCCAAGTCGCTCTCCCGCAACTCGGGCTTCAACATGCCTTCCAGCGAGGCCTTGAGATCGTCGGTCACTTTGTAAATCACATCGTAACGACGAACCTGAACGCCCTTGGTCTGGGCCAGGGTTCTCGCCCCTTCATCCGGCACCACATTGAACGCAATCACCACCGCGTCCGAGGCGTCGGCCAGGTGAATGTCGGCCTCGGTCACACCACCCACGGTGGCCTGCAGAACCTTGATTTGCACCTCGGGGTGATCGAGCTTCGACAGCTCTTTTACGATGGCTTCAATCGAACCCTTCACGTCGGCCCGCAGAATCAGGTTCAGCGTTTGAACCTCATCGTCGCCCAAATGGTCGAACAGATTCTCGAGCGTGACATGCGTCTTCGTACCGCTGAGCGATTGACGCTTGGCCGAAGAAGCACGCGTGCTGGCAATTTCTCGTGCTTTGGAGATATCGTCCATCACATAGAAGTGCTCGCCGGCGCCGGGGGCCACATCCAAGCCGGTCACGTTGACGGGGGTCGAAGGACCTGCCACCTCGTGCATCACCTGCTCGCCGAGCAGCGTGTCGTACATGGCCTTCACGCGGCCGTGGGCTTCGCCGCAGACGATCACATCGCCGATCTTCAGCGTTCCCTTCTGCACCAACAACTTGGCCACCACACCGCGACCCTCGTGCAACTCGGCCTCGATACAAGTACCGGCCCCAGGACGATCGGGGTTGGCCTTGTAGTCGTGCAACTCAGCAAGCGTGGCCAGCGTTTCCAGCAGGTCGTCGATACCTTCGCCGGTCATCGCGCTACATTTAATCACTTCCGTATCGCCGCCCCACTCGGTGGGCAGCAATTCGTTTTCAGCAAGTTGCTGGTAGATTCGGTCGATGTTCACGCCGGGCAAATCGATCTTGTTCATCGCCACGACAATCGGCACACCGGCAGCCCGGGCATGGCTGATCGCCTCTTCGGTCTGAGGCATGATGCCGTCGTCAGCCGCCACGACCAGCACAGCGATGTCGGTGACATTCGCCCCGCGAGCACGCATCTCGGTGAACGCCTCGTGACCCGGGGTATCGACAAACGCGATGGATCGCCCATCCCGATCGATGCGATACGCCCGAATGTGCTGCGTGATGCCGCCGCTCTCGCCGCTGACCACATCAATATCGATGATGCGATCCAACAGCGACGTCTTACCGTGATCGACGTGACCGAGGAATGTAACCACGGGGGCACGCTCAACCAGCGAGCCTTCCGGATCCTCGAAATCTTCGAACTGCGTCAGCAGTTGATCTTCCAGGTTGACCGCAGTCTTGAACTCGACATCCGCTTCCAGCTCGATGGCCAGCAGTTCGGCCGTCTCGCGGTCGATCTCGGCGTTGATGTTCGACATCTTGCCGAAAGCCAAAAGCTTGCCCAGCACCTGACGCGCGGGCACACCAATTCCTTCGGAGAAGCTACGCACCGTGGCCGGCAATTCGACCACCACCTTGCCCTTACGCGGCGCGGCCGTATTCGTACCCGTTCGCTTGGGACGGAAACTCCGTCGTGGGCGGTATTCGACGTCCGAATCCTGACGACCGCCGCCACGCTTACGCTTGAGTTGGCGTTGTTCGCGTCCACCGACCGAACCCTTTCCGCGATCTTCGTCGACTTCCCGTTTCTTGCCACCGCCACCACGGCGATGCTCGCGGCCAGTGACCAACGGCGGCTCAGAGCCCGGAGGCATTATTGCTGCGTTGTCTTCTTTCTCTTCCGTCTTCCGGCGCGCTTCATGCTTACGCAGATGCTCTTGCAGCGGCTTCGCGCCCGCCTTGCCCGCCCGAATGGCATCGGCCGGCAGCTTAATATCCGGCTTCTGCGGCGCAGGCTCGTTCGATCGCCTGACTGGCGGAGGAGTATTGGCACTCGGCATTGGTGCCAGTTTGATTGTGGGGGCAGCGGGTTTCGGAGGCCCCTCGGTCGCCGGCGGCTTCTTCTTCGTCTCCGCCGGAGTTTCTTCCTTCGGAGGTTGCTTCGGTGGCTGCTTCGCCGGCATCGTGGGCGGCTTCTTCGAGCTCACACCCGCCGGTGCAATGTAGTCCTCGCGGCGTAGAACGCCTGGAGCACCACCCGCAGCTTTGCCTGTTGCAGGCTTCGATCCACTCGCAGCAGCATCGCCGCTGGGTTTGGCTGCCTGTCCAGAACCGGTCGCTCCGTTGCCGGAGACGTAGGCTTTAATCTTCGCGACTTCGTCGTCGTCCAAGCTCGCCAGCGCCGAGCCCTTGCCCGAGATGCCTGCTTTAGGACAAATCTCGACCAGCTCTTTGCTGTCGATCTTCAGCTCTTTCGCTAATGCGTAAATGCGCACAGACAACTGTGGCTTACTCCCTGTCGTCTCGAAAAACCTCCCCTAGGGAAAGGTTCCTGAGCGACTCTAGTTAACGTTTCAACTCATGGGGTTGTCTCCTCGATCGACCCTCGAGTACGAGGCTCCCCGGCACAGAATGACCATGCCGATCGACAATCCACCAACTTAAATGTTCAATCAATCAGGCCACACAGTGTGACCTCAATGGCACCTTACGACGTAGCCTCGCGGCTGGATTCTTCAGAGTCGTCTGCCGAGACATCGGCAGACCCATCCGTCGATCCGGCTTCATCTGCCGAAGCGACAGGGGACTCGCTAGATTCCTGCTCCGCGACCTCGGGTTGGGGCTCTTCACCCCCTTCGCCTCCCGCTGCCTCTGCTTCACTCGCGTCTTTGGCAGCGGCCTCTTCGGAGGCAGCTTCTTCCTCGGCAGCAGCACGCTCTTGTTCGCGTCGCTTTCGCCGTTGTTCTGCAGCAGCCTTCTCGGCCTCTGCGGCCCGAACTTCTGCTATCTCAACGATTTTGTCGACCTGCTCCATGGTCAGGCCGCCCATCTCCATCAGCGCTTCGGGCTCGATGATGGACAAATCATCGTAAGATAAATAACCCTCACCGACCAGTCTCTCACTGAGGTTTTCGTCAACCCCCTCTATGGAACTAAACCCTGCCACGGCCACGTCAATCTGCTCGTCGAGTTCCTCGCGAGTCATGATCTCGATGTCCCAAATGCAGAGCTTGCTCGCCAAGCGCACGTTCTGACCTCGGCGACCGATGGCCAGCGAAAGCTGATCTTCGCGAACCAGCACAATGGCCCGTCCGAGCATCTGACAAAGGATCACTTCCTCCACTTCGGCCGGCTGCAGGGCGTTGGGGATCAACTCCTGCATATCGTCGCTCCAGCGAACGATATCAATCCGCTCGCCGGCGAGTTCGTCGACCACATTCTTGATACGGTTACCGCGGCTACCCACGCAGGCCCCGATGCAATCCACCCGGGCGTCGCTGCTGGTCACGCTCACCTTGGTTCGGTAGCTCGGCTCGCGGGCGATCGACTTAATCTCGATCACACCTTCGGCGATTTCCGGAATCTCTTGTTCGAACAGGCAACGCACCAGGTCGGGTCGGGTGCGGCTCAAAATCACCTTCACGCGGGTGCCCACCTTGCGCACTTCGCATACTGTGGCCCGTACGCGCTCGTTCACGTGATGCGATTCTCCGGGAATCTGCTCACTGCGTGGCAGAAGCGCCTCGACGTTACTCAGCGTAACGGTTGCGGTTCCGCCCTTGCTGCTCTGGATCACGCCGGTCACCATCTGACCGATCAGGGCTGTGTATTCGTCGTAAAGTGCGTCGCGCTCCGCCTCGCGAATCTTTTGAATCATCACCTGCTTGGCGGTCTGCGCACCAATGCGCCCAACGGTTTCCTCTGGATCCAGCGGAATGCCATCACGCGTGCCAGAAATCGAACCGTCGACCCGGTCGATGTGCACGATGATGTCCGACTCCTCCCCGTAATGGCGTTTGGCAGCCGAAACGAGAGAGGCCTCAATCCCTTCGAAGACAATCTCCTTGTCGATGTTCTTATCCCGATGAATCGTATCGACGATTCGCAGCAGTTCGTTGGGATTCATTCCACTTTCACTTTCCCCCGCATAACGGGGAACTGAGCCATTCGAATTGTCCAAATTGTAAAGGGCGATCAGATTTCGGTGACTCCGCGTTGCCGCACTCACACGTTGTCTGGCCCTGCCCGATGTGGCGTCTGGCGCCCGAATCGGTTTCTTGTTCTAGCCCGCTCTGTGTTCGTTTCCTCCGCGTGTTTCCGTGGTGGTGTGGTCGGTGAATAAAAAAAGCGGTTCGCGATCTTCGAACTGAGGGAAACACAGAGCCACCTTCCCACTGTCCGTCGATCAACCGTCCGCCAACAACACTCCCATCAGCGATATCGAGTCCGCCATGCGGACCAAGGGGCCTTCGGCTCGCGTTTGCATTCGCGAAGCGGCCTGCGACATCTGTCCCTCGTACTTACTGGTGAAATTTCGTTTAATCAGTTTCCGTCTGCGTACTCCAAATTCTGGCCCGTCTCGGGGTCAAAATAATGAATACGACTTCTATCTAGCTTCAGTTCAACTCGTTCGCCGGGGTCGAACCGCGTTTCGGGGGCAACCTTACACATCACGGTCGCACCCAGCCCGTCGGTCTTTTTCCCGAGTTGCACATGTACAATAGTTGCATCGCCCAGCGGCTCGACCAGGGCTACCACGGCTGGCACCCCCCCGTCAGAGCCTGCTGAAGGCCTCACAACCTGCACCGATTCGGGGCGGAATCCCACCACGAGTCGATCGCCAACTCCTCTTTGTACCTTTTCTGTGGCCAACCTGTCGACCGCAACTGTGCCTTCAGACTGCGTAAAAGCCACCTCAGTTCCGTCGCCCTGAACTTCGGCTTCCAGAAAATTCATCGGAGGAGAACCGATAAACCCCGCCACAAAGCGGTTTCGTGGGCGTTCATACACTTCCTGCGGGCTGCCAACCTGCTGAATTCGGCCGCTCTGCATCACCGCGATTTGGTCGCCCAACGTGAGAGCCTCGACCTGATCGTGCGTCACGTAGATCATTGTCGAACCCAATTCGTTGTGCAGTTGCTTCAGTTCCCGCCGCATATCCAGCCGCAGTCGGGCATCGAGATTCGAAAGCGGCTCGTCGAACAGGTAAGCCACCGGCTCGCGTACCAATGCCCTTCCCAGCGCCACCCGCTGCCGTTCGCCACCAGACAGTTCGCGAGGCCGCCGCTCGAGCAAGTGCTCGATTCCCAATTTCGCGGCCACCGTGCGAACCTTCAGCTCGATATCCTTAGCCGAGACACCATCATTCCCAGACTTCGATGAGGCCACCCGCTGCCACAACCGCTTGAGCAGCCCACCCTGACGAAGCCGCAGGGCGAAAGAGAGGTTCTGCCGCACCGTCATGTGCGGGTACAGGGCATAGTTCTGAAAGACCATCGCGATGTCGCGGTCTTTCGGCAGCAGCGAGTTAACCACCCGCCCGCCGATGCTGATTTCGCCGTCGGTCGCTTGATCGAGCCCGGCGATCATCCGCAGCGTGGTGCTCTTGCCGCAGCCACTTGGGCCAACCAGCACCATGAATTGCCCATCGGAAATCGACAGATCGACCGCATCCACCGCCACCGTGCCGTCGGGAAACACACGAGAGACTCCCCGAAGGACAACGTCCGCCATCGATCTGCCTGCTATTGAGTTCGGGGAACCACCATCAAGGGTGCAAACGTCCCGCTGCATCGGCAAGAACACACTGAACTGCTTGCCGATCTTCCGTTTAGCAAAGAGGTCGGGCCACTCTATCCCTGGCCCCTAGACGGGTCAAGTTGCGAGCCGATCGAGACTGCTCGCTAAACCAGTCGCACCAACACCGCGCTGGCCTGACCCTGATGAGTGACATTGAGATTCAACGCCGTCCGCCCCGGAGAAACTCCCGGCCCGGCGGCGACCGCTACCGGACACTCGGGATCGGGCGTTTCATAGTTCAAGCTCGGGAAGAGCTTCTCTTGGTTCAGCGCCGCAATGCTCGCAGCCAACTCCACCGCGCCACTGCCGGCCCCGAGATTGCCAAAGTACGACTTCGCGGCCGTCACCGGGGGCTGCTTCTCGGGCGGGCCAAACACCGCCTGAATCGCCCGAGCTTCGTCCATATCGCAAGTTCGCGAACTCAATCCGTGAGCATGAATATGACCCACGTCGCTCGCTTCAATGCCCGCATCTTCCAAGGCAGCACGAATCGCCGTGGCGAGTGCCTTTTCGCGGCTAGGCGCGCCGCGTTCCCCAGCCACTACCGAAGAACCCGAACCGATCACTTCCGCATGAATCTTCGCACCGCGGGCTTCAGCCTTCGACTTTTCTTCCAAAACCAGCACCCCGGCTCCTTCGCCAAGCACCGCCCCGCAGCGATCGCGATCGAACGGACGGGCCGCCGCCGGTGGATCCTCGCTGTCGGCCAACTCCTCTTGCAGCACGGTTTGCACCCAACGCACCAGGTGCAGTCGAGTACCCGTCGCGCCGGCGACCATCATGTCGGAGCTGCCGCGCTGAATGGTTCGCATCGCCTCGCCAATCGCCTGATTGGCCGAGCTCTCTCGCAGCGTCAGCGAATTGTTCGCACCACGCAAGTCGTTATAGATCGCAATATGGCAGCCCGGCATGTTCGGTAGATATCGCAGCAACCACAGCGGGGTCATCTCGGTCATGCCCGCCGAGGCCCATTTGTCGAAGTCGAACTTGCCGTCGTTCGTAACACAATTGCGAAACGCATCGATCAAGTCGTGCGGCTCGGTCAGCATATAGTCGGAACCGAAAACCACACCCGAGCGTTCCGGCTCGTAGGGGTTCTCCGCCAGGCCCGCGTCGGTCAACGCTCGCTGAGCAGCGGCCACGCCCATCTGGGTTTCGCGGCACATCACCTTCAGCCCCTTACGAATGGCCTTCTTCCGCGTGGGGTCCAGCTCGCCAAAATCGCCAATCGAGCCGGAAAAATCGTGGGCAGCCGCACCGATCTGCGTCGGCTGTTTCTCTTGTCGTTCCGGCAGTGCGGCGACACCGCTGCGGCCTTCGATCAAGGCCTGCCACAGCTCGTCAACTGTGTTGCCCAACGGGGTAACGACCCCCATGCCGGTAACCACGACCCGTCGATTTTGTCCCGTGCGGAAGTTCATCCGCTAACCCTCGCATTCAAACTGAACTTTCCGCCTACCGCGAAATCCATCGTTGGTCCATCGCCCACATGGCCCGGCAGCGAAACACTGGAGACGGAAACAATCAACCGCCTTGCCCGCTGCAGAGGGTCATTGTCGAAAGCCAAGAGGAGACGCCCCGCACAATCCAGGGATTTTAGGCAGACTCTAGCGAAACGTCGAGGCGGGCCACCGAATTGAATCGGGGGGCTCGCCACCTGTACCCGGGTCATTCAGCTTCCCCGCCGCCATACCCTCATGCGTAAAACCACTGCGTCGCGTTACGCAAACCCCAAGCTCTAGTATCGCCCGCTGTAACTTCCGGGGCTGCGTTGAGCACTGCGGCTGGTATCCACGGTCGGTTGTTTCTGCTCACCTTTACCATCGACGAACACCAACAAGTCGGCCCGCGGCGGAGCATCGAGAAACGGAATCGCGCCCAGAATCGGGTCCTTCTGCTGCGGCACCGGCGTGGCCACCACACCCAAGCCCACCAGCAACACGTGATCGGCCGGCCAGCGGAACTGCTCTCGCAGCCGCACATGCGTCAGCCGAGGAACTTCAATCTTCGCCCGTTGCCGCTGAGCGACCGGGGTCGGAACATCGATCATCACCGACACCAACTTTTCGACCTGATCAATCTGGCAATCCAAAACCACGTCGATCGTGCTCCCGTCAATCGAAAGCAAAGGGCTCATCTGGAGCGAGAACCCTTCGTCCACCTGGCCCACTTCCATTTCAAACCCTGGCCACACGTCGGGACGCGGGATCACATCGCGCACATAAGTTCGCGGTTGAATCGCACTCACCACGTTCGACTGACCGTTGTTAATCAGCAAATGCGGCGAACTGTGAATTCGATAATCAGAACGCTTACCCAGATCGGCCAACAACAGGGCCGCATCTTCTTTGGCGACGATCCAAGCCTGAACGCCCTGCGACTGCACCGCGATCGGGTGGAGCATACTGTGGGCTTTGGCTCTCCAGTTCGGGTGCCCGACCGTGATCACGTGCACACCAAATGCGTGGCTTTCCGCCTCGGTGTTCACGAACCGGTCGACCAACTCGGCAACCACCGCGTGCATCTCGGGAGTGTGATACACCCGCAGCGTTCGACGATCGGCACTCAGAATTCCCAGCGGAGTACCGTGCCACGCTTCGTGGCCTGTCTCTCGCAGGACCCAATCGACCACCGCTTGTTCAGGGGTCACCGTCGCAGTCACGCGACTGGTGTAAGGCGTAATGTCATACTCGCGCCAAACCTGGCCATCTTCGTTCGGCAACGTGCCGGGGCCTTTGGTCACTCGAGCGATCGTGGCTCGCGGCGTCGAGTCCAACGGACGCAACGGAGCGGCCTGACCACTTTCGTTGCTCACCGAAGTGGCCGGAGTGCCCGCGTCTTGGGGTCCAGGCTGCGGTGCAGGTCCTGGTCCCGATCGCGTATCGGCAGTCCGAGGCGAACGCCATTGGGTATCGAGCGCCACGGTGGGCGGCGACGGATTCGATGGTGCTTGTTGCGCACCGGCGGGCACGGCTATTCCCAGCCCAATCAACAGTGCGAAAATTGATCCTCGCGCCAACATACTCAAGCCTCCTTGCCCGATAACTGGCGGACGCCGCGCGATGATTGATGCAAATAGGGGCGAATGCCCAGCGGCGCACGGCGGCGGGAGTATAGGAAGGCCCCCTAAGCACTTCAAGGTCGATGTGCTGATTCCGACCCGACTAGTGCACACCGCACTTCGCTAGCACTGCCAGCGGTACGACGATCGCAACTTGGTGAGCACATTTGATTGCCTATCACTGCAGGTGCTTTCACCCGCGCTGGGCCTCGCTCGAAAGAGGCCGATTCTGGCCTTGACCCCCACCCGGTGGCTTTCTAAGGTCTCGCCTCTTCTCTGATACGCGGGGGGGCGATTTGCACACAAGTTGCTTGCTTTGTGTGGACGCGCAACTCTTATCGTCCGAATAACCCTTAGGGACAGAATTACCGCGTTCGTCGGTACGTCCTGAATTTCCGCATTTAAGGTAACAGTCGTCAGGGCTTATCAGCATTTAGGGCAACATGGGCCTCCGCCGCTGGGATGCGCTGGAAGCCGCAACTGTGTTGAAAGCCGGACCCACACAGCAATTTTAGAGGGAGCGTGTGCCATGCGAGCTATGAAGCCGCTGGTCGTTGTGCTAGCCGTCGCCGTCTTGGGCGCCACCGGGTGCAGCAGCAGTAAGAACAAGCTGAGCAAGAGCAGCTGGAAGTTCTGGCAAAAAGATAAAACATCGGCGACCGAGCTAGCCGGCTCGAGCACCGCCCCGCTCTATCAGCCGACGCTCCCGTCGGCGACCGTCCAGCCCGGCTCGTCGACCGTCGCTGGCGGAACCGGTTACCCTTACAACTCGGTAGCCAGCACCACGGGTGCCGCCGGCACGGCCAGCCCGTTCCCGGCCCCGGGCACCTATCAACCCACGCAAACTCCGACCGCCCAGCCGTACACGCCCGCGGGCTACTCGGCTCAAACCGCCTCGGCCTACGGCAACAGTGCCTATAACGCCGCCGGCACGGGCTCCAGCTATGGCTATCAGCCGCCGACTTCGCAAACCGCTTCTACCTCAAGCACCGCCGCCATGGCACCGCAAAGTGGTTACTACGACGCGGGCAGCCAATGGGGAACGCCTGAAACCTCGACGCCGGCCGCCACTTCATACGGTGCCGCGGCTTACACCGCCGCCGCCCCCGCCGGCTACACTCCCGATACCAGCAGCACCAGCGCCTCGAGTTACGGTGCTTCGGGCTACGGCACCACCAGCTCGCCCAGCCCCTATTCGAGCCCCTCGACACCGACCAGCAATCCTTACGTAGTGCCCAGCAGTGGCGCTTCGAGCACCGCTCCGGCCACGATTCCGCAGGTGACTTCGCCTTCGGCCTCGACCATGCCGCAGTCCAGTGCGACTGGCACTACGTCGACCGCCGCATTGCCGCAGTCGTCTCCCACGCAATCGACCAGCGGTTACACCCCGGGTCAGTCCGACTACACACCCGGCTCGGGATACACCCCGGCTGGTGTTCAGCCCTATCAGTCGCCGGCACCCAGCTACCAGTCTCCTCAGAGCCCCGGTGCCGACCCGAACTACTATCCGGGAGCCTCGGGCACCTATCGCCCAGGTGGCACGGGAACCTATCCCATGCCCAACACCTCGTCGACCAGCCCTGCTGACAGCAGCAGCAGCGAGACCGGAGGAGCCGTGATGCCGGCCTCCTACACCGAAGACATCGGTTCCGCCTCCTAGGCTCTGCGACGACGACCAAACGCTCGACTTTCCAATGGCGCTGGTGCCCGATCACCAGTGCCATTTTTTATTGCGCCTATCCGTGACTTTGCATTTGAATGGGTGCCACTGCTGGCTCGCCCAGCAGTGAACCGTTTGCAAGAAACACTGCTTTTATAAGTGCCCTTCGTGCACACGCACCCTCCTCACACTGCTAGGCCGTAAACCCTAACGGTTAGCGAAACCCTGGCGCCAGCGTCATGCGTTGTTCGGCTCAATGCGGAAAATCGGCTAGAGAGACGAGCGCCTAGTATCCGATACGATTTGTACCAACTGATCGGGAGGGCGGGACTTCGGTCTCGTATCAGGATAGAGGTCATGGTAATCGACGGATCGATTACCATGACCTTTTAATTTGGAGTCGGTACTCTCTGCCATGCGCTGGACTGCTCTTCAGTCCGTGCCTTGCCATCCACAACCCGACGTTTCTCAACTCGGGTGCCACGGACTGCTTGTCAGTCCGTGCTGTAACCATCTTCAGCGAGTGAGATCGTTCGCACCGATGAAGATTCCCAGCGAACAGCCGAAACAAACCCAACTGCTAACGAAGCGGCTTCATCCCCAACTCACCCCGGCGATCGTTCACTTCAATGACGGGTGCCACGGACTGCTTGTCAGTCCGTGCTCGTACCATCCACAGCCGGGCACATCTTAATCAGGGTGCCACGGACTGCTTGCCAGTCCGTGCTCGTACCATCCACAGCCGGGCACATCTTAATCAGGGTGCCACGGACTGCTTGTCAGTCCGTGCTCGTACCATCCACAGCCGGGCACATCTTAATCAGGGTGCCACGGACTGCTTGTCAGTCCGTGCTGTAACCATCTTCAGCGAGTCAGATCATTCGCACGAATGAAGATTCCCAGCGAACAGACGACATCACCCCAACTGCTAACGAAGCGGCTTCATCCCCAACTCACCCCGGCGATCGTTCACTTCAATGACGGGTGCCACGGACTGCTTGTCAGTCCGTGCTGTAACCATCTTCAACGAGTGAGATCGTTCGCACGGATGAAGATTCCCAGTGAACAGCCGAAACAATCCCAACTGTTAACGAAGCGGCTTCATCCCCAACTCACCCCGGCGATCGTTCACCTGCTTAAGCGATCGCGGCTCCACGCGCAACAACTTCACCAGTTGCGATGAACTAACGCCCAGCCATCCGGCCGCCGCAGCCACATCAAACCTGTGCCGCTCAATCGCATCGAGCGCCTCGGCCAACAGCGGCGCGAAATCCTCATGCGTCGGGCTGACCACAATCCGCCCACCGCCACTTCGTCGTCGCCATCGCTCGCTCACTTCTGCTTCTTCACGCTCCTCCGAAGCCCCTTCCCCACGAACCGCCAGCGCCAGGTTCACCCGCAGTCGCTGCAAAGCAACCCGATGGTTCTCATGCTGCGAGCGCCGTTCGTTGGCCTCACTCTTCACACCCGTGGGAACATGCGTCAGCACGATGGCCGTTTCCACCTTATTTCGATGCTGCCCGCCCGGCCCTTGCCGTCGGGTACGCGTCACCTCGCACTGCCGCAACAGCCGTTCTTCGGGCAAGCCCGCAGGATGAACTCTGTCGTCCATAACTCGTTACCGCTTATCACCAGCAACTGCCCAACAGCCACTC